GATCGGATCCCGATCTTTAAGAATAGAATCATGTTTGGGGTGTAAATATGGAAAAACATCGGGTTTACCGAAGAAAAAAAAAAAAAAAAAAAAAAAAAAAAAACACCGGTCTACGCTTCAACGTAAAAAAAAAAGAAAAAAAAAAAAGAGAAAAACTGTTTTAAAGGGATACTTCAACGAAATTTGAAATATTCCCGTCGTGTTCAAAAATAGTTTGAATATGATCCACAATATCCGTAAATGACAATCGCACGTTTGTAGTGTGAGCCTGGTGGCTGTATTTTTCGTTACAAACGGCCCACTCTGGAAAGCGCTTGGAGAAGGCCCAGCTTAGAGCACGTGACATCCGACGCAATCGTGACGTAGGTCGTCTCAGGACGAGCAAAGCTACGGCGAGGCTGACGTCGAGAGGATGGCCTAGTCGTTCCAGCCACCGAAGCGGCCGCTTTTGTACGAATTTTGAGTGACGGGTTAATCTTCTGTAATCTTGTAGGGGGACAATAGCGACTTCTGCGACACACAAAAGGCATTCTCGGGAAGAGGGGAGTTCCTCCTGTCCCTCTTCTCTCGTCGTGGCCGGAGACGAGACAACCTCCGTCACTAGCTGTCAAGGTTCCTAGACGGGCATTACAAGCGAGGTGTTAGCGACATCCACCAGGTGCTCTTTGCTAATCGTTTAATTCGTCTTAAAATTCCTTTTCGAGACTTTTTTTAACAAGATATTGGTATGTTCGTTGTGATGCTGCCTTTTTGAACACATATAGACCAAAAAATGAGCGCCGAAATTTCGTTGTAGTATCCCTTTAACGCATTTAGCCTGACTGATCTAATCATCTTCACGTAGCCAAATCTTATCTGAGCAATTTTATATTTGTTACTGTCCTTGATGTATGTTGTCTTTCCTCTCAGCTGTGCGGTCGAATCCCTGTAATTCATCACCCCGCTTCTTTAATTCTTTACTGTTGTTAGCCAAGTGAAAAGTTCGTCTTTCTTACTTTTCTCGTTTTCGGCACTGTTTTGCGGACAGCGCTTGATTCGAAAGCACCTTGCACGTTTAAATTATTTTGAAATGTGTCATTTTTTTTTTCTCTTTTATTGTTTTTCAGCTTCGCGATTTGGAGAGACAAACTCGGGGCGCCCAGCTGCGTGCTGCCGCTGCTGGAAGAAAGGTAGGCTCGATAAGATCCTTTGCAAAAATCCCAAAAGGCCGCGCGCGGACATCGTACCCGACGCCGGCGAACTTCGGCGGTGTCATCGCACTCGGGTACTCGGGCGGCCGAAGCATTTGGCACGCGACACTCAAGAGCGCGAGGGGGTAGCGCAGTTACTCGCATACATGTTGTTCCCGGCATTCCTTTCGACGTCGTGGACGGCGCTGCACGCTTTGCGCAAAGGCGTAAAGTCTTACTTCATGTCATCTCGACCTCTTCGTTTCCTGCACCGAACAGGGAAAAACCTGTAAACCGCCACCTAACAAAATAGTGCTGGTCCATCGATCTAAACAAAAGAAATAAAATAATATTAAGAAACACCGAAAAAGCCGTCTCGAATCGTCACTTCCTGTTTCCTAAAGAAAAAAAGAAAAAAGAAGAAACATTCTTTTGGCGTGTTTAAACATCTAAAGACTTTTTTTTTTTAGCTCTCGGCATTATTAATTGGTTATAACAAGAACCGTGAACATCACTACTGCAGATGGACGCTGCACATTGAAATTGATTGAAAATGTTTTCGAAAGAGGGTCTTCACTTTCCGAAGGCCTTAGCCCACATCTGTCCAGCATTTTCAACCAAACACCTAAATGCAAAAGTACAGTAGAAAACAACATAAATAAGACATTCGGAAAGCCCATAAATTGAAACTGAAACTTTCATAAAGGCGTAGCTTTTATGATAAACTCGTGTAATGAAACTAATAAAACTACCCACAACTCAAATAAAAAAAAAATGGTTTGGAGGGGAATATGAAAGACACGGGAAAGGTGGGCGTCTCAAACTGCTCAATAAATTCAGATTTCCAGTCTCGGGTAGGTCGGGTAGTTTTACTTTCATGACAAAGTTGACTTCCACCAGTTGGTCAAGGTTCAAGGTTCAAGGTGTTTAATGGTACAACTTCCACACAGCCGAGTGCCTGAGGCAGCCAAAAGGCAGAAGCCCGTACAGCCAAGTACTGGCTGCCTCCTTGGCTGTGTGTTAACAGGTGAAATGATGATGATGAATATACAAATGAAAGGGAGAAAGAAATGATGGGGTGCACAAAGTTACTGAGTAGGAGGGCACGCGACACTCGCGGGCTTCTCGCGCAGGGGTTGCGGTGATGCCAGAACGCCGAGCTCACTGATTGGTTCCGATTGGAAGGATAATTGTTTGGTAAAGTACGCTTAAAGGGACACTGACAGGGTATTTATGCTCGCCGAGGTTTTTAGTTGTACGTGACATATGAGAGCTCAACTACCCAGAACAGAATTTGCGGCTCGAAATTCGGTTTCTTTCCACCCGAAAACCGCCGATCAAGAACTGGCCGGTTCGAGTCTCGCTCACTCTCTTTTTCGCGGTCACGGGCCGTTTTCTAAGGTATCGATGCGACCACCAAATTTAATCAAAGTCGTGGGTCACTGAAGGCACACACTCAATCTTAAAAATAGAAAAAAATATGAACCCCATTTTTTTGTGGCTTCTAAAAAGCTGTAAATACGTTGATTGAAAAAAAAAGTTCCACAGACAACCGGAAGCATTCTGTGCGTTCGTCGTTTCGCGTATCGTGGGACTCGCGGGGACGGCGATGACAGCGGACGACGGGCGTGGGACCTCTATTTCAGAACTGTCGTTCGCGGTACCGGCGAATTCTGTCGACCGTTAAAAGAGAAATTTGGGACTGATCAAAAGAATTGGTATTCATCCGGTACGACACGGCCGGCCACCAAGCCGATTTGCACGAAGACGTCGCCGAGCCGTCGCTCCCTTCTCGTGGCTGAAGACATCGCTCGCGCAAACGTCAAGCACGACGTGTCTACTTCGAGTTGAATATGCACGCGTACGATTTCTTCACTAGGTGCGAATGTCCCCAATGCGTGGTGCTTCCCGACTTCGACCCGGGAGTGCTTTTTCTAGAGAAAAATCGACAGCAAGCTTTCCAACTTAATTAACGGCTGAATTATTACTAAGGAAAGAGATCCACAATTGAAGAAATGCTGCAGTAGCTCAGTGGGAAAGACGTCCGGTTCACACGCGGTAGGACCAGGTTCGATCCCCGTGGAATTTTTTTTTTTTCAAACATTTTCCGATGTTTACATATCTTTTTCTTTTTTCTTTTTACAATCATCACTGAAATAACAAACAAATGTTGTGGGCGGTACTTCGCTGAAATAAATGGTATGGGATTTCCGTTTTGACACCTCTGAACTCCATGTAATCACTTTCCACAAAATGCAAGGAGCATATAAATCGGGTAGCGTCCGCTTTCCGAGGTGCCCGTAACTGTTTTGCAGGAATTGCAGCCAGCCATTGGTCCCGCTCCCGTTGATCTTTCGGAAACTCTGTCGCACAATGCCACTTTTTTTCGGATGCAGGACATATGAGCCAGCTCTTCACGCAACATCTTGGGCGTATTTTTTTTGGAGCCGATCATGGAAATTCACCAAGGGCACTCACTACTAATCTCCAACTCCTCAATGTACAAAACAACTCATCTTGGAGCACAGAACAACGAGCGGAACAAACATAACTGTAAGTAATCGCACGGCGAGCAGTTCCCGCACGCCGCATCGCACGCCGCATGTCGTGTCGTCTGCTACGGAAAGAAGAAAAAAAAAAACAAAAAAACGCACGGTCGGGTGTAGCCACGTGACTTCCGCCACTCGCTCTCTTCTCTCCACTTCTCCGACCTCTGTCGGGTTTCGGTTTCGGTTTCGAGCAGTTGCGCCTTTTGGCTTTATTAAAAAAATACGCTACTCTGTTGCAAAATATTAATTGGGCAGTCCTCCGACACCATAATGAAGCGCCTGGCAAAAAATGAAAAAAATTTTTTGGGGGGTGTCAGTGTCCCTTTAAAAAGGTACTTGTAAAGTACAAAGTAAGTAATGTAGTAAGCACACCGGGAACCAATCTATTTATAGTAAAGTACCATAAATACAATGTCATTTTAAAGTAAAGTGCAAGTGCTTTTTAACACAACATTTCATGATGCTCTTTTATTCCCCCCTTTTCTTTTTTTCTCTCTTTCTCCAACTACTGTTGATTCCCCCTTGGGTTGATCGGGGTAGTGTCAGTTATTTTCTGAAATGGAGGCGAATACTGGATAAAGTCAAGTGGTTGCAAAGTACTTGTATTACTCTCACTAACGAGCTATTTTAACACGATCAACTTAGAAGGCACTTATTTGTTGACGAAGCATAATATTTTGTGATACAAATTTAACAAGGCCAAATTTGGGGAATTTACTTTGAACTTAGGAGTTGCACATTCTTCGAAAAGCACACACACACACAAAGAAAAAAAAAAGTAAAGTACACATTGGTTCATACTCAGATATTGTACTTCAAGTAAAGTAGAAGTTTTGCAAACCTGCTGCCTTGAGGTCTACTCACCATCTTTCACCATCCTTCCAATCAGAGCCAATCAGAGCCTGGCTTACGGACGTCACCGCAACCCCCGCCAAACCCCTGCGCAAGAGGCAGACGAACTTGCGCTCTGCGTTGCCCTCTGTAGGAATCAATTTCTTTGTTAAATATTGAATTTTACATGCCGCAACAGTTTCAATCAGCGTTACTCTTTAAATCCACAAAATTTATTCACAAGGCTGGGGGCGATAGCCGGGTTGGTATGCGCCCTCTGGGGTGAATGAAGTGCACTCACATAGCGCGCTCGCGCCCGCAGTGTGCGGTGTTTACTTATTGTAACACCAGATGGCGCCACGACTTCAGCGGCGCAGACGGCGTTCATTTTGTTGTAAAAAATAAACAAAACAAAAACGTGTTGAAAAAGAGAGAAAAAAAAAAAAAAAGTATTCTTCCGTACAATAGACATGTGCTCGGAGTCGCGCACCCCCTCGCCTTTCTCCGTAATATTTGAATCGTCGACGGAATCCTCATCTGTGTTCGTCTCGTTGTGAGGTGATACGTGCCCGGAAAGACCGCCGACCAAGTGGCGCAAGCTTCGCCCAAGCTCCCATCCTCAAAGCATCGTCGTTTCGGATCGCGCAGTCGAACCCGACGCGACCGATGCTCTGTTGGTGTTCGGCAGCAAAGCAACGCTTCGGATGCTCGGCGACATGGGCTAAGCCTAATGCTTCTCCGTGAACACGACCGGTGCTTTTCTCTGCCGTCGGAGTTCGGAGGGGGTCGGCCTGTTTGACGCTGCTCTCGGTGCACTCATGGATAGGTGCTCTGGTTTTAGGTGAGTGTAGTAAAAGCGATGAATCGATATGCGTTATTTTTTTTTAACGGTTTATATTTGGAGAGCGCCGATCACAAAAGTGTCGCCGTTTGAGCGATGAATGCTAGCTGCTGCGCTCAAATCGCGATTTCACATCTGTTCTCTCTTTTCTTTTTCTATTTGAATCGTTTGGCAAGATACAGGGGTCTCAGACTACGAGGTTAACTTATGTTATTTATTTATTTATTTTATTACCGCGAATGGACCAGAATCGTTTGATGGATGACAAGTGATGGCACTTCAATGAGCTTCTGTATAGGCTCTTCCTTTGGATTTTTCTTTTTTTTAAATATTTCTTATTGTATATTTATTGAGGTTTCCATTGTAAAGAAAATGTTTCGCTGTTTTCTAACCAAGTTCAAACCTGATCACCTGTAAAAGCGGAACAACTTTGTTACTTCGTGAATTTATTGACGATGTTCGGATGTGATCAATATTTTTCCTCTGTGCTTCTTGTACTGCACCAAGTACACTGTTTAATCGGTTTAATGCGGTACACTAAGCGGTGATCCAATGCCTTTCGGCGATGTTTTGTGGTGTAGAGTTAGCAAAACGCGCATGTTGATCGTGCTGTACACTCGTGGGAGCCGATACCTCTTGACCTTTTTACCTTGCGTTGCACAGTGGACTTGCTTATTCTGATTTTCATTATAGACGGTTACCTGCGCTAAATATTAAAATACGAAAAAAAAAGAAGGAAAAAAAAAAAGGAGGGGGGATAATACGATGGTAAGTTTCACCGCAATGCACGCGAGCTGCGCAAGTAAGCCATCGTTTAGCCAGGTATCGGTGTCTTATTTCGTTGTAGCCGTGCCGTCAGATGTCCCACGTAAGATTTTACGCTTGAAGACCGCTCTAAAGGTTAAGGAACAAGGTGAATTGAATAACGTTTTTAATCCCCAGTAATTACAGTCATGCAAGTCTACAATTCTACCTGGATTAGTACGTTCACAATCTAAAAACAACAACAGCAAAGAAAAAAAAAAATGTTAAGGTTACGTTTGGTAACTACGCGCGAGGAAGCCCTTAATTATTGATTTGCGGAATGCACGAGAAACCACTGGAGAATAAACCACCTTTGTGTGCGGTTGCCCTCCATCGGTATCCTTTTTTACGCAGCGCGCTCGCTCTGCTTCTTTTTTTCTTTTACGTATTATATTCTTTCTCGTAAACTGACCAACGCAGCAATACAGTTTTTCTCGAAGTTTCGTTGTGAATTCCTACTAAAATTTTTACGCGTTGAGTTTGTTGCCCGGCCTCGCGCGAGCTCAGATGCCGCGCTCGCTCTTCATTGCACTCCTCCGCTGTCTTGTTTTTGCCCTGGGACCTTCCCTGGATTGTCGACAGCGCGACGCGGGGGATGATGACTCATAGGCGGCGGCGGCGGCGTGGGAGTACCGAGAACCAGCCCACTGTCTGCCTCTCCCTCAATCTGCACGAATCGGATGGGCGCCCCTTCAATTTTTATTTCTTTTATTATTTTGTTCTGTGGCGCAAACATCGGAGAAGAGAAGACCGGGATGAAAGAGAGACCCGGAACGATATATATATATATATATATATATATATATATATATATATATATATATATATATATATATATATATATATATATATATATATCCCTTTCTGCGCGAATAAAAGAAAAAAAAAATCGCGATGCAGAAAGAAATACGCGTATAAACAGTTGGGTTCATTGATGCATAAGATGGGAGTCACTGAACCTTGAGGCAAACTTGCCTTACACGGCTTGCAGTTGTGTAACATCAGCAGCCTTTGTGAATGAACCACCAGATTTGTTTTTCTCGCAGATTCAAGCCACATATAGGTGGTATATGGTGGTTTCACTGGCAGCCATTGTTGAGCCCGCTTTCGCAGAGTGCTAGTTTCCCCCAATGCTTCTGCAATGTGCAATTCACACCACCAAGATTGTAAGTCATGTTGGAAGATGAGCGGGATGTCATTCATAGCATGCGCCGTGAACGCTGTGCTCAAGTATGGTGCCCAGCGAAAGCCACATATAGTCACGGAGAGGATCAGAGCAGCGGGGAGGTACTCCACTTGTCCCACTTCCAGCGTGCGCTTCCTGACTTTGAGCACACCTCTGTGTCTATTGAGCCTCCTGGGGGCACTCACGGCCAAAGCATGAAGGAAGGTAATGCGTGCATGCTGAAAATTGGGCGTTCGGAGGACGTACCCTGGGGTTGTCACTCTGTGAGTGACTACAGCTGTTCCAAGTAATGTTGGACTTTTGTTTTTAACGACTGTGTTTGTCGTGGTGACACGGCTGGCTTGGGAAGGTACGGCACTTGTTTCCAGGAACATCGTGGTTGGTGACATGCGGTGCTTGGACAAAACATTTTGTCGTTGCTTGTTGGGTCCGTTTAATCTATGTCTTTCTCGGATTCTTGGTTTTGTCGGTACCTCGGGGAAGGTACGTTGTTGAAAAACGGTTAATCAAATGGGGACATCTAGAAATTGTGTCGCTAATATATTTTGGACGATGAGCGGGAATTCGAGACTCCCAAGTGGGGTGTGAAGGTTGCTGGTAAACGTGGATATATTTCTTTGGCTGCTGTCAAGGTTTTACCCGTCTGCTCTAAAATACCGAGTCCCTTTTTTGTGCGTGTGGCATCCTGCCAGTCAGCCTGTCGGGTTGACTCACAAACTGCCGAGTTACACTTCCTGCGGCTGGCCGCTTGACGTCCTGGCTGACAATTGTGCAACTTTTCTAAGGCTATTTGTGCCAAAGCTTGCGCGAATAAATCTGCCAGTGTTACGTGAGTGACTCGTGAAAAGTCATAGCAATCCTCGTTGTTTATTTTTTGGGATAAAACCTTGAGTTTACTTTCGGCACTTGTTTATGTAGGCTAGATCGGTGCATTTTGGCAGTGGTGACTGGTAGTTAACGGTCTAAAATTCATCACCTTCGAGGTTGCTCTCGCAGTTTAGTGACCTGCGATCCAACGTCAAATGCAGTCAGTCAAATTTGATAGTTTTTTTTTCACTTTTATTTATTTAATACTGCAGACATCTGCAATATGTTCAGGGCCCTGGTACCATTAATGCGGTTCGTGACCTTGAAATTGTGAAGCATAAAACGCAATTCTCCGTCAAAACCCCTCTGGACAAAGTAATGTGAATTGGCGGGTCATAATAATCTAGGATAAAGCTATTAAGCAGGCGAGCCGTTTGACGTTACACATGATTCTAAACTGGAGACGAACGGACGACGGGGACAACGCACATGTCTTGGACGCAGCTGAATATATTTATTCACACATCATGTTTTTTTATGCCCCCCTCGCACACAACCTCCTCCAATCTTCCACACATTTACACAGCAAATGTATCACCCTCTATCAGATTAGAAAAATTCTACATTACAAACAACAGGGGTGAAAGGGCTGTGTCCTAATAGACATTTGAAGAAGCATAGGAGGTTATCTAGACGGTAGTTTTAAAAGCGCAAAGGACTAAGAAGAGGAGGAAAGGACTAGATGTTGAACCAACTAGGGTGCCTGTTTCCCTTTCTCACACTTTCTCACAACAAAGGCCAACTGCCTGTTTCCCTTTCTCACACCCTCTTCCTCCGCCATTTTCATTGTTTCCTCATGCGCTGGAATGTGGCCTTTGTGTCCATCGGTCCTCCCATCCTAGGGGGAAAATGCTAATCCTCCCTCCGTGGGTTCCACAACGCTGCTCCGAACTTGTGAGATAAGGTGCTTGTTTCCGGGAGGGTTATAAGCCCCACGGATTATCGCCGAGAGCCAAAATGGCTGCTGGGTGATCGGCGAGTGGTATTACAAAGGGTGGCACCACCCTAGCAATACGCACATGAAGGCTCCCTAGAACCAACTTGTCCCCCAATTAATTCTGATGCGTAAGAGGTTACCATAATATTCCGAGGGATAGCCCACCTAAAAGCGAGAGCGAATCGGGTGAAAATACGGAGAAAGCCAACTTTCAGTGTGCGATAAAAAAAAAAGTTGAAAAATTGCTAGATTTAGATTTTTGCGACCTGTGAAACTTGTGATTGCAAGGAGGAACGATGAACAACAGACAAGTATCCTTCCCAGTCAGCCGTGTTCGCTTATCTCCCGCAATGGCTGAGTAACACCGTTTCTGCCGACGTCGTCATTGACCAGGGCCCTGCAATTACTAGAAGTGGGCTATCTTTTAGTGTTTTCAATAAACAGAAAATTTTGCCGAAAATGGGGGCGGTTTATCTTTTGGGGGTGTGGCATCTCGCGGCATATGATGGTATGTAGGAAAGGACTATGTACTGTAGGCGTGACGTAAGGCCTGCTTTAGACGGGGCAACTTTTTGACCAATTTCGGAGTTGCTGGAGGGTTGTTTCCTAGCTTTCCCTAGATCGACACGAATTGCTGAGATCGGGTCCGGCTCGAAACGGACGAGCAACTCGAACAGCTCGGAGATGTTTGAAGTGGCAGCAGCCAATCAGGGACTCAATATTTTCACATGACACTTCGTGGTGGTGATGATGACAGCTAAAGACTTAGTTCTGGTTTGAAATGGATCGGTCTTGGAAATAAACCTTTTCAGAAAGATGAGTTAGTATTCTCAGCGGTATTCAAAGATATGAAAACACGTTTTTAGCACGTAGCTGTGCGTCTACAATGTGCAAGAAAAATCAAATTTCATGATGATGATGGCAAGTCCTAGCAATTCGGTTGCTGCATGTGAACGCGGGCGACCCGTGTTGCTGGTGTTGCGACGTCCAGTTGCTGGGCGAAATTGCCCCGTCTGAAGCGGGCCTAAGGAATTCTTGAATCCGTGATATGACGAGAGGATGAAAGCTTAATGAGTTTGTTTGGAAAGTAGTTGCTGGTCATCATCATCATCATCATCATTCATTTTCCCTAAGGACCCGATAGGGGTCTTGGTAAGTTGGCTAATTGACTGAAAGTTTTGCGGAGTGGCTTAATATGCTGCACACGTCTTATATTTTTGTAAGGCGCATATTTAGTGGTTTTCGATGATTCCCAGAAAGTTTCAGATTAAAATATACCTTTAGATTTATTAATTAAAAAGTTAATTACACACAGTGGAAGGGAACAAGCCTGTACCGGAGATAGAGTGTCTCCAGAATTCTTGACCTGTCACCGACTACAGCTGTCGACAGTGGTATAGATAGAAACAAATCGGAATAGGCCCCCAACTATCCAAACAGTACAGACAGCAGCAAACCGGAATTGGCCCTAACTATCTTCAACAGTATGGACGGTAAAAAACCGGAGTTGGCCCTAACTATCCACAACTGTGTAGTCGTAGATAGCAACAAACCGGAGTTGGTCCTAACTATCCACAACAGTGTAGATGGCAACAAACTGGAATTGGCTCCAACTATCCACAACAGTATAGACAGCAACAAACCGGAATTAACCCTAACTGTTTATAATGATAACGATGATGCTTTATTTGTGTTGTGCCCCGAGAACCACCAGTCGGTCACAGCATGGTGGCAGATACAAAGAAAACTACACTAAGACAATATATACTTTTGCATTGCAGTTCCAAGCAAAAACTAAATAAAAAATATATAATAAGCTCTTCTTTGCGAGACAATATTCCAAAAATAAATCGACATGAGGCATCAGGTTATTTAAGCAAATCTGCATTTTTACCAGTGGTGATAGTCTAGATTAAATAGATAGGTGAAATATGCACGAGCCTCTGGACACACGAGCCGGCACATGAAACTGCTGTGACGACAGCAGTTCACAGTTTAAAGGGCAACTCCGCTTCATTCTTGATATTTAGAAAACTATGCAGCCCTTTTCAGTACCACATAGGAAGACCCCATGTCAAATATTACATTATAATTTTGTCTATATATTTAATAAACAGGCCAGCAAACTTTCAAACGAGCCAAGTCGCCGAAATCAGCCAACTCTAGCGTGCGACGTGAGGCGCAATCGTCAGTGCAGTCAATGCGACGGGAGTGGGAGCGGCCAACGTTGAGCCACTTCGTCGGAGGCATGTCTACGTCATTCTCACGTTTTGCTTGTTTTTACTTCTCAGAGCAAAATTGAACGATGACGTCATGAGTTCCACCTCCCGGTGTTGGCTCAACGGCGTCCACGTGATCACCGTAATGAGAATGCGCTCGTTTGCGCTGCCCTGCATGCTTATCGGTCTGTTGCTCCGCTCCTCCTCTCCTCTTTCGTCTTATCCCCTTCCCCCTCCCCCCGGGCCATCATCGTCCACGCCATGCGAAGCAACCTGCCTGTGTCGCACGTCCTGTACCTCGCCCCCACGAACGTCACAAGCCCACATGTGGTTCGACGTGCCGTGGCCATGACTCTGACGAAACAAGACCAATGTTGCCTGACGCAACCCAAGTTTCGGTTTTGGTATCTGCTGATGTTTAAATTAATAATGTTCCACATTTCGCGAATCCGAAGACGTAGAGCTGTTTAGTAGTGCTTTGGGAAATGGAATCCCATATAAGCCTGAATTTTTCGTAATTGAGTGGACGTTGAAAGAATTTGCATCTTCTACTTTTGACATTTTTTATCTTGTCACGAAGGACAGAAAACACTTCTTCCTTTGAAATGTTGCAATTCCGCCGCGCAATCGCGAGGCAAAAATTAGAATATTTCGCGACCTGCAGCCGCGAGCGGCGGCCATGAGAAACACGCGGCGTGACGTCGATGGGGGACTTGTAAAAAGGTAGGAAGTTGTGCGAATACTTGCTCGATCAAAGGCAACTTTTCTATAAATCTTATCGTTCCAACATAAATATAGATGCGTCAGAAACCTGTTATCATCGACAAAACTTTTATTATATGGAGTTTAGTGCCGCCCTCTATCCGAGGTCAACAAAACCGTCAGCTCTATCTGCTACCGTTAACAGCCACCAGAAGCCGGAGGGGAACGGGTATGGCCAGACCCGGATGAGACTTTCCTCCTTTCGCCATGTTGATCTGGGCTGTGCAAGCATGTTGTCACGAGGTTGTGAGCGAGTGAGTTCTCACTGCTCACTGATGGCTCTAAAGAGAGAGCTTCACCGGAACCTTGCACGTCCCCCATTCACGTCACAGCGCATGTGACTCGGAAGACGGTGAAGGTGTTGAGAGGAGCCGAAAACCTCAATCCATGTCCATTTTTAAAATAATATTTAGGACATGCAGGCAAAAGCGGTATTTTGTTCTTTACTTCAGAAAGGTCGAGACACCGACCCCCAAATTATTTAAGCAAAGCACTGAAATTGTTGCGCAGCTCCTTTAAGTGGCCATGAACTTCTTCGTGCAACGATAAAACGTCACACGCAATTCTCTTCTTTGACCAGCTTTCTAACGAGAGCCCATTCAGTATATGTTCAAAGTCGTAAAAGCATCTTTTACGAAAATATCTATCGTACACAATGCAACTAAAGCATTTTTGCACACTCTCGATCCATGCTTCATTAGGTGCCATTTAGTCAATTGTACGGTCCATGGCAGTATTGGCAAACTGGAATTAACTCTAACTATCCACATCAGTAGAGACGGCAACAATCTCGAATAGGCCTCGACTATCCACAGCAGTACAGACAGCAACAAACTGGAATAGGTCCTAACTATCCACAACAGTGTAGACTGCAAAAAAACTGGAATAGGCTGTTGGTATTCACAACAGTATAGATGGCAACAAAGCGGAAAAGTCTCTAGCGATTCATATATGGCATTGATGACAAACCGGAACTGATCCACGGTGCTCTTGTGTGCCGCCCAGGCGGACTGCCTGATGGCGGAGCGGGAGGACCCCTTTGGGGACGGCGAGGCCCCCGGGGGGGACGCCTGGGGCCCTGAGGGGAGCCTGGAGGAGGCGTGCCGGGAGAAGGACCTGCTCATTTCCTCCCTGGAGCGGGAGGTGGCCCAGCAGCGCCAGCTCAGGGCTCAGGACGCCCGCCAAGTGGAAGCCAAGGCCATGCGCATCAAGGACTGGGTCGCCCACAAGCTCGGGGAGCTCGAGCTGCAGAATGCGCACCTGCAGGTATGCCCGTTGCTTCGGCCGCGGTACGCCGCCTGGAACCATGGTGCCTGAAACGCATCTTCCGACTGGTCTGCTAAAGGCCCTATCACTCCCATACATAAAAAGTGGTTCAAAAATGGCATCGTCTGCCACGTAAATCGCCACCGCTCCGGCACCACCAGGATCGGCACAGCACGTCACGTCTTTGACGTCGTCGGGCGGAAATAGAGGGATCAGTTTTTAGGATGCGGTAAGTGCACCAGTTGGAGACGCGTTGCGGGCACCACGCAGGAACCAGCATCACTTAGAACAATCGAAGCCCATGCACTAGCGCTTTGTTGTCGTCCCTAAGGATGTTGCGAACTTTTGCCAAACCGGAAGTTGGACGGTTTCGGTCTGGTTCCCGGAGTGCGTCTCCGACTGGTGTGTTTACGCGCCTATCTTGAGCAGTATGGTACACACTTGGGTTAGTTGGTGATGCATCTCGAATAAAAACTGCACGATAAAAATGAAGTATGAGTCAAAGAAACTGCACAGAACAAGTGCTGTCTCATGCTTGCACAGAAAGTGGTCCGCAAATGGCAACCGACCGTGTCGCTGGAGCTGATGGGTTGTGCTGTTGGATGTCAAAACCCCAGCGGTTGGTATTTGGAGAAAAAAGTATGCGAGAATGCGGGGGTTTATTTATTTATTTCCTCTCGGAGCCAAAGCATTACAGAGAGGAGTGGGTTAAAGAAATGTCGGCAAAAGGAACACATTGGAAGGATTCTACCAAATGATTAGCAACGCCAGTTTAGAACAAGTCGGTGTTGGTGATTGAAGAGACGGAGATGGGGAGGTGGTTCTAATCTGTGGAAATCTTCAGGAAGAAAAAAACTGAAGAGGGGGGGGGGCGGGGGGGTCATTGGTGCGGCAGCTTTGAATGCCAACCTCGAATGGCGGTAGCTGCGAGATGAAATGCAAGACAGTGGCGCAGAGAGAGAGAGGGGCTGAGGGTTAGGTTGGGATGGTGAATCTTCTGAAACAGACAGAGGCAATGAAATCTTGGATAAGTGTAGGTTAGACTTCATCTAACATTGGCATTATGGAACTACCGTAAGATACTGGGCAAGTGCCCACTCAAAGTTTGGAGATAATCGCAAAAAAATGGAGGATGGGCGCTTGTCCGGTCATCAATTTTACGTATAAATGTACTGTGCGTATTTACTCAGATCTTACAAATTTGGTAATGGGCGCTTAATGTGGAATGGGCGAATGCACAGTATTCTATGGTAGTTGGAAACAAATTTGCAGTTTCGTTTCGATCTGGCGATCAAACTTCCGTAGGCAGAATTGCGTTCTATGAGAAGTGCAACAAATAATAACTCTGGTCTCGGCCCTCCAGGCATGTGATGCCATTTCAGTGTTGCCATCCTCCTCTTGTACCGTTTTTTTTGCTTGTTTTGAATACTATTGCAACTGGCAAAGCCTTTTCGAAGCTCTTCAAAGTCCTCTTTCTTGCTTAAGTTTTTTGTCCCTTGCATTGGGAAATGCTTAAGACCAAAGCTCCCAATGTAGGTGTTACGCAGCTGGTCACGCTTCACTCACTTTTTTTGAAGGCCGAATCGGAGCTTGCTTCAGTAAGAATGCAATACCGTACTAAACACACAAGCAGCTCCAGATGCTCATTGCTGTAGTCTCGGGCGGTTGCATTCCGGCGCGTGCCGAAAAGAGGGAACCCCGCCCAGAACATTGTCCCGTGGGTGGTTGCGCAGGAGCAGAACCAGCGCTGCAACGAGCAGTTGGAACTGCTCAAGCGGCGCCTGGTCCAGCTGTCCCAGCTGAGCCAGGCCGGGCAGCCGAGGCAGGCACCGGAAGAGGACGAGGCACCCCCTGCCTACGCAGCCGTGGACTTTGCCTCTCGGCCCCCGCCCGCCCCCTCGGGCGCCTCGGAGGGCAGGGTGGCCGGGCCCAACCTCAACGACAGGGCCGCCCAGCAGGCGGCCCCCACGCCCTTCTGCCTGCAGCAGCCCCTGGCGGTAAGATCATACTAAATGTGTAGCAATTACGGGGCCAGCTCCGGGCATTTTCCAACCGTGGCACGTGGTCTCGATCACATCGCAGTGTCGCGACACTATGACGTTGTTGAGACTATGTGCATGATCATGCAATGCCACGACGTAGTGGGACATTGCAATGTCAAAGGACTTTATGATGTCGCGTGAGCATGGGAGAAAGTTAACAGCTACCCTCAGTATTTTCATTCAGTTTTTCTAAACCTGAGGAGCTTGCGAGCACTGTGTGTGCTCTTATTAGATAATTAGAAATAAAACATGCGCACCAACCTTTTCTTTACATTCCTTTGGAATAAACAAAAAACCCTGCCGACTACCGGCAAACATGTTTTGGGAAAAAAACCCAACCGTGAAAGGTTTGGGTTTTTATGTGTGCAGAAAGAACTGTAGTCTTTCAGCAAGCATGGCAACCTCACTGGCTTTCCGCGAGCGGAGCATGAGACGGCACGAGGATTGTCATGTACTACTGCCTACCTCCTGTGGACTAAAGGGCGGCGTCATACGTGCGTGGAACACTTAAGGCCCGTTCACTCTTGCAACCGAGTACTACCGAGAGAGACGAGATCTGTTAAAATTTCTTAAAATGTCTTAGGACAAGGGGCACACTGGCATTCTGGCGTTATCCATGCGGTGACCCTAGAACTGCGTTTCACAAGAGCAAAGGCTTTGCGGGATTTCCTAGGTCAAATGTGCATAATACCTATAAGAAAGGCTCGTTTATAACGTTGACAAAAGTTTTCCGAGCCAAGAAAAAAAGGATAATGCGCGAGAGAAACAGAAAATATGCCGTACCGCCAAGTTTATACTGCTACTCAATAGATGGCGCCAGTGTATCCTCTCGTTGTAAGAGGTTTTAATAAACCCAGTTTTAAGAGGTCGCAAGAGTGTGAACGGGCTTTTAGAGTGATCGGTTTATTTATTTAATTCTGTTTTCATTGTAAATTAATTCTCTTTTTATTGGTGAAAATAATGCTACTGTCAGACTTTGCTGTCAGCGTTAGTCTAAGAATATGATAATTCCAAGCTTCCAGTGTGCTTTTTCATACACCATCGAATGTACTGTTTGCATTTCACATAAGTAGTCGAGATCATAACTCTTGATGTCACGGCGAAACAAACCCTGGTTGTGATGTCGCAGAGAGGAACCATAAGAGGGTGCCACTGAAAAATGTTGTGTAAGTACTGGATCTCTTAAGTTGTGGGAAAAGCCCCCGACGAGCAAAAATCGAATATTTCTAGCTTGCATTTCGGTCGTGTGCGATCACGCTTGCCCGCATCTATATAAATTTGAGAAATGGAACAAAGACTAAAACATTGAAAAGAAAGTATTGCAGTGTCTATACAGGACGGGCATTGATTTCCAAGATGTTTTAGATGAATATAGTAAGAACACCCCTAGTCTGGGAAAAAGAAAAGACAAACACAGGTCTTAGGGCCTATCTTTGTCTGTTCTTTCTTTTATCCCAGTTTCAGTGTGTTTTTACTATGTTCAACTACCCCCAGCTCGTTTGCACCGTAGCCTTCTGTTCGTGTTTTAGTTCTTTCAGACCCTTTGTTAGCATGCATGGACGGACGCGTACAGACACTGACAGACTGGCGTGATGAAACACTATTCTCCGTTTCACCTTATGTGGTACCGCAGAAAAGGCAAGAAGCACGAGCTCATAGCGTTGGGAGCTGCTCTGGACTCACGAGAGATGTGCCCTAGAGCAAGGAGCTCGCGCTTGTAGCCTTTCTTGCGGTACATCATAAGGTGAAATAGAGTATAGAATGTTGCTCTATGTCAGCATTAGATGGTTACGCTTTGCGAACACACGCAGAGGCTGCAGCGCCCCTTTTGTCATCGCATCTTACTGACGCTACAGCATCCCCTGGCTGAAAGAAATAGAAAAATACAACCCCTTTCAAAAGTCTGAGCCATCTAGTAGCCATTGCAGAAGCTCCAAAATTTTAGGGGTGAAGCTCCTTAGGGTCTAGCCTTGTCCATCCGTCCGTGCGGCATCCGTGCTCACATAAAAATAAAAAATGTTTGCGCAGTCGACAAGTTTCGTACCTGTGCGGGGAGACCTCAATGGATTTCTAGTCCATCGCCATAACCACTTGGCCATGACTGTGGGACGAGTGGGGGCTCTGAGATGTGGCAGTAACTCAAGAGCTGGGGAGGTCATGGATGAAACGTTGCACGTAGCCGCTCAACGTCTATACAGGAGAGGGCGCTGTGGTCAAATGCGTATATAATAGCGTTAAACTTTGCATGCATTGGCTGAACATTTATAGACGAGAGGACGCTGCGGTCAAATGCTCAAATGCGTATATAACAACGCTCCATACCACACATTCTCTTTCTGACATGGACCGTTGACTTAAGCGGTGGAGATGCGTTCCCACGGCTTCTAGCGGATCCAAGCTGATCCGCCAGAAGAACCACTGGCTCTGCATTTCACCGACCATAAAGCAATAATAATGAAGTCGAAACGCAACCCGGAACTCAGCACTATTTATGAGCAATAAAAAAAAAATCAGCACCATCAGCACTACCTATGAACAATAGAATCAGTATCATCAGCACCACCAGAGCTTCGCCCCAATCAACATCATTCACCACGTGGAGATGCGGTCATTTTTGATTAGACAACGGTTATGAAGAAGTCTCAAACACCTTCCAACTTTTAGATCGAAGACGACACACAAATGGCCACTTTGTGAGATTCAGTACGTTCCCCCTCCTTTTGTTCTGTGGTTTAGTAGATGTTCTGTTTTGCTGGTTTAGGGAAGGTGCGGGATGCCGCAGTGATGGAAGTGCTGCGCCATTTGCGCCAAATTGCGCCATGAACGAAAGTCTGGTATAGTATCTGGTAGCAAAATGGCATTTTTTGCTAAGAATTGTGCCACACCTGTCCAAAATAAACTTTAACAAAAAAAATAAATGATTAGTTGATTTTAATACTGTCACAGATGAAAAATGGGTAACGAATGTAAAAGCGAAAATGAATGTCTGATGGGCAAACTTGCGCCTAAAAACTTAAAAAGAAAAAGTTCCACACATCAAGCGTAGTGACATAAGGGCAACTGAATCGAGGGAGTGCATCACCACCGTCTTTACATACGGGGTACGTTCAGGATTTTTCCAAACCAGAACTCTCGATTAGAGGCAGCCGCGTGCGATGCCAGCTCGGCCACGCACTTGGCAATATTCAGAAAAATAGAAGGGAAGAAAAACTGCACAAATACATATTTTCATAGCATCTCTACTCGTCGTTTGGTTTGTTTCATCTTAGGTCGGAGCACGGTCGAAGAATAGAACGCATACAACCGTCAACACACGCACTAAAAGCGCAAGTCACGGTGCATTCACTGCACTTGATTGGTTTAGCCGATGAAAGAAAGCATACGGAAAAATGACAATTGCCACAATATTTCCCTCTTGACACAGTTTGAATGCAGTACAGAGATTGCTGTCGACTGCGGTGGCCCCGTTGTCGTCTGAACTTTTGGACGACGTTGGCAATATTGGGAGCTAAAAGTCGCGAGAAACATTTGCAAAGTCGTGGGATGGCTCTTACTGTGATAAGAGAGGCCCAGGGACTTTAATTTCTATGCGGAGAGCGAGTTATCTGCTTCTAGCGCAGGGGCTGCGGTGACGTCAGACCGACGCCGAGTACTAATTGGCTTTGATTGGAAGGATCATGGGTAGACCTCAGTGCTAGGTGCCTCGAGGTCTACCCGCAAAATTTTTTAATCAGCCAATAAGAGCTCGGCGTTCCGACATCATTGCAACCATTGTGCAACAAGCAGATGAACTTGCGCTCCATATACTCTGTTTCGCTTTACGTCCGACCGGAGTCGATGCTACGATTGGATGGAGCCAGTCAAGCCACGCCAAAAGTGCGTCGTACTGATGCTCATCATCGTAGTGCATCAGCCTAATATTACCGGCTAAATCACTCCCAATCAAGTCCGGCTATGTGCGCCATAGCACGTGCGCTGCTTGCGTCAGCCTTTACCACGCCTCATACTTGCTTGTGTTTGTTGAGCTTTGCAGCTTTGCACCAGAGTGCAACGAGCAGCGGCTGACATGGGGTTGCGCCCGGGTCGACCTTTGGTTTTGATTGTAGGTTAACCTTTAGTTTGAGAAAGCTGGGCCGAGAAAGGGCGAAGAAGAAGCGCGGGTCTATATTCGAATAAATACTACGGTAGTCAAGGTAGTTTTCGCGCAGCGGTTAATCGAAAGGGCAGTGAGTTCGACTCAATACTGGTTCCAATGCCGCTAAAGCGCTCTGTCATTTTTAAAGCGTGACTGTGGGCTTTTATAATGCTTGCAGCTGGTTATTTTTGTACAGTTTATGACAGCGGAATCTTGAGTTTGATAGGTTAAAAAAAGGCAGTGACTATTTCGACGTCCGCTGTCAAAATATTGCAAAAATTATTTTGACGTCTGTGACGTCACTTCCGTAAAATTTCAAAATAGTGGCGTTATTATTTCGATGTCTTCTTCAATGCAGAAGCCGTAGGTGTGGTAGCCGTAGCAGTGGTTTCATTCTGTCGAATTTTCGATGGTGTTGGGTTAGTGTTTTGACGGATAGTTCTGGTCCTAGTTTGACCGTGGAAATGTTTTATTCAGTGTGTGTGTGGGACTGGCTCGACAGTTTATCCTTTCAGACGTGACGCGCCCAGTGGCAGTGGTCTGAGCGCTCTGAGCGTGCATTTCAGCACATGTCTCACTTGAAATTTTCAATTTACAACATAGGACAGCTAAGTATCGCTCTGTCTTCCCTGCACGTTACAAATGCAAGTGCGTACACAATGTAACACTGAGAAATTTGGCATGCTTTTTGTGCCTTTATATCGTGCGAGCATGTCTTCGTATGGTTGCAATTTCGCTTTGCATCTGGCTCCCGCTCTGTTTTCAACTGGGTTTTGTGAGTTCCTTGTTTAGTTTAGATTTTCGGTTTGGTTCGTGTATAACGAGCGGGTTAACTATGACACAATCGGGGTGTTAAATAAAAGGTTGTGAATGCAAACATTGCCTCCTTGATGTTTCTTGACAGGTGCAAACGAACAAACGTTCTAGCGCGGTTGTACGAGATACACATATTTTCTCGTCAACTGCAAATTTTATGGCATGGCATTCAACTCCTTTGTTTGTATAAATCACGTGCCACATTCGGTAATGCTTGGCACAACCAAGCAGACATTACTTTCGGCCTGACAGCTGATGTACTTTGAGAAGGTCTTTTTGCACTCCTCATCACTAAAGGGGAAACACTACTCGGGAAGGCTAACTTTTGAACCGTTTGTCTTATTTGCATGAAATTTGCAGGGTGTACTCGTAGCACTCGACAAGGATACCGTGGAAATTTTCAACCCTATAAATTTATCCCACAATGAGTTACATAAAAGTTCATAATAAAAAAGTGGATCTGCTGAGCAAAGCTATCATTTAGAAAGGGTAATAAAAATGGCCAGTTTTTTTGCTGGAACATACAGCAGAATACTTGCTTCAGACAACTATGAAAAGAAATTTCAAAAATTATAAAATTTATTCACAATAAAGCTTGGAAAATAAATTTTTTGGTGTACATTTGATTTAAAAGAAATATAAACTTTTCACAACAAAAGAGCATAAAAATGCAGAAAGTAAGTTCACAGTCGTGTTCTCCAGAAAATTTAAATATAGAAAAACCAAAATATATCTGCACGCATAATTTGATTATGAAATGATAGTTTCCCTGAACTGATATTTGACACTAAAAAGTAAAGCTGAGATAAATGCACTTAAAGTTTCATGATGACATTTTAAAAATTTATTTTTGCATCTTAAATGTCAGAAATTCTTTCCACCAGTGTAGGTGATGTCTTCCTCAAACTTCTTCTGATATACTGACATTGCTTTCAGCTATTTTCACTTGTGGATGACGAGTGCTACGCAGTGCAGCACACCTCACCAACATATAAAGAATAATTATTTTTGACATTGTTTGTCAGTGCTCATTGGCAAGACTTTGTGAGAGTGTTCTTTGTTATCCATACATGCCAAAACTTTGCAGTTCTGAATAGGCATTTTTTTTTAAAAAAAAGGTGCAATTCAAGGTGGTGTCCCCCCTTAAAAGTCATAAAAACAGCAGTCGACTGCCTGACACTTGTTTTCGGAAAACGCGTGTCGAACAATGACGCTGCCTGCAAGCAAGATAATATTTCTTTGACCGCTACCTTCGATCACTCCTCAGTCTGGACTCCGAAGCTCCAAAGTCCAACTCCAAAGTTATAAAAAGTTTGATACGTCAAAATAATTACAAAATTATTTTGACAAGGGACGTCGAAGTGTCTGAAAAAAACTTCTTCAGGAAGTGGCGTCACGGACGTCAAAATAATATTCAGAATTATTTTGAAAGTGGACGTTGAAATTGTCACTGCCTTCAAAAAGCTCGGGAGGACATATTTTTATTGATAGATGTGTTAGCGGGTATGATGGTTTTTGCTGGCGTTTTAGAAGAATTATATTTACAGGCTAAATAAGCTACCTAGTGTAAGAAGGGGGAGAAAAGAGGCTTTATCTGAGCTGAAGTGTTGCACCATGCTTTATTTTTTAACCATTTCAACCACAACGAATATAAAATAGAACCTACTCGAGTCTTATTTCTAAAAGGAAGGCTGTGTGCTCCATTTAATAATGCAGTCACTTTTTTATTTTCAAGTGATGAGCAAACAGATGTTGGCATTTGCTTCAAAAGCGTCAGTGGTTGCTTCAAATCAATATTTTGCCAGCTACAAAACCTGATACAAAAGGTCAAATGCCACTTCCATGACTGGTGCTGCCATTGGAGCTTTGATTTCGGCTCTGGACGATGCAGGTAGAGAGACTTTTGAAAAGGGTTGTTGCATTTACTCTAAAAGGAATTTCGTGGAAGCCTCAGAGTGGAAGCCATTGCTTAGCTGAGAGATCTGGATTCTTCAGGCTGGCAAAAGCGAAGTCTTCGGGCTCAGCTTGTCCAGGGTGTGAAGGGGTCAAGGGAATTTCGCCCAGCTATTTCAAAGTGTGAAGAAGCCGAATCAAGCTTGAGGCGCAGCCTCTTTAGGGCCTGAAGAAGCCAAGCCAAGCCTTGAGGCCCTAGCCTCTTCAGGGCCTGAAGAAGCCGAACCGAGCCTTGAGGCCCTAGCCTCTTCAGGGCCTGAAGAAGCCGAACCGGGCCTTGAGGCCCTAGCCTCTTCAGGGCCTGTAGAAGCTGAATCAAGTCCCGAGGCCCAGCCCCAAGGCCTGAAGTGGGCCAAGCCAAGCCTTGAGGCCCAGCCTCTTGGTGGCCTGAAGAAATCAAGTCTCAGCAAATTGTTGGCTGCCACTCTAGGGTTTCAATAAGGTTTTTTTTGGAGTTCTTTTTGCCAACTCCGATTACCTTCATGTTTTCTCGCGTTTCTTCTGATTTTCATTAGTTTCAAAACATTGGAGTCTCAAAGTTTCCTCCTTGTCCCAGCCCCCCGGTGTCCGGATCGAGCGCAAACGTTACCGGGACGACCTCGCATCTCTGGTGAGCTCCACGGCCTCCGACGACCTCTCCGAGATGGACTGCGGACGCTCCTCTTCCTCCTCTCCCAGGTAGGGCACACCGCCACGTCGTTACCAGTATCTTTGCTGCAGGGGCCAATTTTTAGGGAACATCCGACGCGTTTGAAGGGATACTGAACATCCAAAAACAATTCAAGTTTGTTTATTTGTGTCTTTATTTTCGAAACAAAGGTCTCGGAGAGAGGCCAAAAGGCTGATACATTCTGCCTGATGAACCCCAGTCACCCTCCCGCATTGCATTGGCAGGCAATGGAAAATATAAGTAGTAAAGAGCAAAAAACAAAACATTGGCAGAAAACAACAGCAGCACAATACTGTAAGTGCCTAGATTGGACATTCATGTGAGAAAATTTATGGCAAAATTGCTAGGCAATTGGGTTTCATACGTGAAACGTTCTAGTATCACAAATGTTTAGCAATACTCTGACTTTCCAGATGCCTACATCTGTACCTACACTTGATTGTTGCTCCTAGAATGAAGCGTTACTGCTGGTAATCGGGCCGATAAACCTGTAATCTTCCAGAGCCTTCTACATTTGAAAGCTTTTCTCCCTCGGTACACACAGGTGGTCGAGCACCTCCTCACCTACCTCTCTCCTTCTTGTCTACCACTCTGGTCACGTGGCCTCTCCATTAATCAATCAGCGTCGAGCACCTCACTCCTTCTCCCCACCCGTCAACCAATCAGTGTCAAGCCTCGCGACCACGCGTTTATCTAGTCTTATGAAAAGCCGAACGCCTAGCCAGAAAGATACACAGGATCTCTTTGTTATCCCTAAGATGACTTGAAGGCGAAAACCCAAGCGCTGATGTAAACATGATAGCGAACCTCCGAAGAAAGCGCACTCTCTGACGACGCACTTTTACCGCCGCTTCATTGGTACTTTTCGTGTCGCCGACATGTTTTCACACTTTTCATGTCACTGACGTGTTTTCGCTTAAGGACCTTAAAGGTCGACTGAACGACGAGACATATAAGGCTTTCGCCTTAATAAGCCTTAATAATGTTTCACATTCATATGAAACTGGCGTGAATAAATAAAATGGTGCAATAATGGCCACAAGGGTGAATAGATGGCTTACACAAACCCTGCTGTGTTTAGTGCATAATTTACATTGTGAGGCACACTTTCAGTTACGTGCAGTTCAAATACATGCTTCTATTTACCCTGAAATAAAAAAAAACGTTTTGGAATCTTTTTAAATGACTCTTACACAATGTTAGTATTCTGCTAAACCCGTGAAAGTTTGTTTTGGGGCATAAAAGTCCTTTTTAGGCACTTGAAAAATTATAGCTTACCTCTATAGCTTCGCCTAAAGCCGACTAATGCAGAATGCGTCGTGTGTTTAAGTTGACCGTTTTCAATTTATTCTGACCTATTGTGTCCATTTCGCCCATTTAGTGTTTGGAGCCATTTGTTGCGGAACGTGACACAAACACGCGACACATTTTGCATCAGTCGGTTTTAGGCAAATTCCCGAGGCAAGTAGTAATTCTTTTTCTCTTTTGCATCTTTTTTGTTTGTATTCATCCGTATCAATCTTTGTCTTCCACTTCACCTTCTCTCCGGTCTTCCTCATCATTGTGATGTACGTTTTCTTCCTACACTCGCCGTAAGCTTCGAGACGTTTGGGGCCCGTTTTCTTCCTAGGCATCGCGGTGCGGTGGCAAGCCGCCGCAGTTGATGAGCCACTGCAGCTCGTTACAGCGTACACTTGGTGCTAGAACATTTTGCAGCCGCACGAGTAGATATGTAGCGGCTGAAATGTTGCTTTTGGTAGTGCAGGGATAGAGCGTCGGACTGCTGACCGAGAGTTCCTTAGTTTGACATGTGTCCGGAAACAAAATGATTTTTGCGAAGAACCCTGACCATGTTTATCATGTTTTTTGTCGCATCCTTCTGTGACATTCTTAACTTAAGGAGGGACACTGGCTACAGGGTTCTTTTGAATTACTCAAGTGATAAGAAGGAAATTGGCAGGGGAGATTTAACATGAGATGTAGGCATATTGTGAAAAGTTTCAGCTCTCTAGAACAATTTTACATACCGTATTTTCCAGTGTATAAGTGGTAGTTTTTTTTAAACATGTTTCTTGGTGCGTCTTATACAACGATAGACTTATATGCATTTTTTAAAAATTCACGATAGGACGCCAATTTCCTTATGCACTGTGTGCCATCTTTTGTAGAGCACCGTAACTACGTAGCCATGGGTGGTTTTGCACCCTCCAGGAGGCACTGCTGTCGCCGCACTCTCCTACATTTTTCATAACCGACTCGGGAAGCGAGAAATTTTATGGTTTTTCCAAAGCGGAATTTTGATGTAACTTTACTAAGAAACTACTTACCTGATTACACGGAAACTTTTACAGCTTATAATAAAATATCTTGGCAATAGTTCGAACCTAAAGGTTTCACAAATTCATTAAATTATAATACAGTTGAATCTCGTTAATTCAAACTTGAGGGGGACCAAAAGTTTGTTTGAATAAAGGAAAGTTTGAATTACCAGGAGTTCCCTCCTATAGAGACGCATAGGGTGGGACCTGCATGTTAGTTTGAATTATCCGCAAGTTTGAATTAAGAGAGTCTGAATTAACAAGAATCGACTGTGTTAAAAAAAAATTTAGATATAAAAGTTCCCTCATATGGCCAATGTCAAGAAAGAACAATATTTTTTTCTTGCTTTCTGCATGTTCAAACTCATTTTTTAAAGTTCAGTTCAAAGCCAGTAACGTGTGCAATATACTTGCCAAATTAAATGAGCATCCCATTTTTTGTTGCTGAGAAAAGGTACATTAAAAACTTGAACTCAGCCTAAGATTCGACACTTCGTTACTAAAAATATAAGATATGCTTTGGTAGAAAAGCAACAGAAAGTAAATCTCAAGAGTGTAACCATTTAATACATAAAATATCACAATAAAATACCGTATACACGCGTGTAAGGGCCGCACCTGTGTACGGGCCGCACCCGTGTACGGGCCGCACCCCGTTTCTCTGAACTACATATTCGGAAAAAAAAAAAAAACCCGCGTAAGGGCCGCACCCACACTTTCGTTGACGCATACGCATTCAAAATGCGCGTCCGCATGCTAGCTTCTAAGCGTTGTCGATAGATGGCGCTATCCGTATCGGCGTTAGCATCACCAACTTGTGCAGTTCAGCCAGTTCAGCCGGCCATTTGCTGGAGTTGTGCATGCCGTATTGTCTCTCCTGTTTGGGTGTCTTCTACCGAGCATTTACGTTGTGGCACGATGGGCAAGTACCTGAATAGCTACACGGCTGGCTACAAGTTAAAGGTGATCAAGTTTGCTCTCGAGAACGGGAAACGTGCCGCCGGCAGAAAATTCGACGTCGACAAAAAGTGTGTTCGACGATGGTGTGCTCAAAAGGAAGCTTTGGAAAACACCAACAGCAAAAAGCGCGCTTTCCGAGGAAAGCCATGCAAGTTTCCGGAACTGGAAGAAGACTTGTTACGCTATGCGACTGAAGTGCGGAACGATGGTTTTGCACTCACAACGGACATGCTGCGCGTGAAGGCACTAGCCTTGGCACGTGCGAAGAACATACCGGCCGGGACTTTCAAGGCTAGTGCTGGCTGGGCGCGAGGTTTTTTGAAAAGGAAGGGGCTCTCCTTTTGGCGAAGAACCACGTTGAGCCAGGGGCTGCCAGAAGACTACAATGACAAGGTGCTTAGTTTTCATAAGTACGTCATCGGCCTTTGCCATGAACATAATTATCTACTTTCGCAAATAGGGAACGCTGATCAAACTCCTGTATGGTTTAACTTTCGGGAGAACTACACAGTCGAACTGAAAGGCAAGAAGAGCGTCACCGTGCGGACCACCGGCGCTGAGCGCCAACGCTGCACCGTGATGCTTTGTGTGACCGCGGATGGGCGTAAGTTACCCCCGTACGTTGTGTTGAAAAGGAAGAGGATTCCCAACGAAGTGTTCCCCAAGGGAATCACAGTGCAAGCCCAAGAAAAGGGGTGGATGAACGATGACTTGGTGCTCGACTGGGTGAAATGTTTGGCAAAACCGACCGGGAGCGTTGTTGGCCAAACGGTCACTTTTAGTGTTAGACAGCTTCCGCGGTCACCTTACCGATAAGGTGAAGGAACAGCTGCGCCATGTCGGCACAGACATGGCCGTGATTCCGGGCGGCCTCACTGGAATGCTGCAGCCGTTGGACGTCAGCGTAAATCAGCCTTTTAAGGTTGAATTCCGAAGGCTCTACACTGAATGGATGGCAAGCGGCAGCTATGAGCAGACGCTGACCGGACGGCTGAAGAGGGCACCGCTTGCGACTGTTCTCTGTTGGATCCCGTCAGCGTGGAGCTCGGTATCGACGGACGTTGTATCCCGAAGCTTTAAGGTCACCAGTATATCCAACAGCTTGGATGGTACTGAAGACGACTGCTTGTGGGAGGACGATGCTGCGCAACAGACCACCTCGGACTCCGAGTCTGAGTACTCGTTGAGCGACGACGATTAAGCACATATGCCGTGTACTGCAATAAATGCTCTTCGTTCGCTATCTGGTACGTTCTTTTTACTTTAAAAATTGCACGTCGCGTGTATGGGCCGCACCCTAAAAATTGGTCCTCATTTCTTGAAAAAAAATTCCGCCCCTACACGCGTGTATACGGTATGCAGTAGTTTTTGAGATACCAAAATTAAAACCAAGATGACCCATTACCCTACCGTCCTTCTTTAAAAATCGGTTGTGTCGAAGTCTGTTGTAGTCAAATGAGAGTGTTTGAACAGGCTTTAAGAGTACATGTAAATATATAATGTAAGTTAGATCAGAAATGGCAGTAAAATGTTCAAGATCAGAATCTTCCTTCAAAGGGACACTGACAGGGTACCATACTTGGGTAGTAATTCAATTACAGTAATTAAATTACTGTAATTTAATTACTTTTCCTAGTAATTTGTAATTGTAATAATTACTTTTGGCTGAAAGGAATTGTAATTGTAATTTAATTACTTTCTAGCATCAGTAATTGCTAAATTTCAGGCACAATTACAATTACTTTTGCAAGATTTTGCGGCGGTGGCGCTTTTCCCCCCTGGCCACGGCGACGAGAGCACAACCGAAGCAATAAAAGAGAGAGTCTCCCAACCTGCTCAAAAAAAGGGAAAAGGGAGGCTGGGATAGAACGGAATGAAGGATTTTGTAGACTGCAAAACGATTTAATGAAGAATTTCAGAAATAATTTGATAAATGAGGGCTTCATTCGCGTCCGTTTTCGTTCCTGTCGTAGTTGAATCTGACTCTTCGTCTCGTTCGCTTCCTGTTGCTCCTGTTTCTAGGGGTCTTTCTTATTTCTCATTCCCACACGGGGGTATGGGGGTCGAAGTCGAGCTGGTTGGCTCCGATCACATCATCCGGTCGAGGCGGGGAGGTTCGAAGTTTTCCTTACGCGTCTTCGCCGCTAGCATATTCGCTTACATATTTCAGTCAAGTTTGGGGACTTTTTTGTTCATGTAATTATTCTCTTTTCTTTATGAGTTTTCACGTCTTTCTCCTCTATCTCGTATGTTGGTACCACTAACAGAGGGTCGTGCTACTCTAATATCGAGGCGAAGAAGCGCAGTTTAGCAACAACAGTTGGAAGTAAGGCAGGGTGAGTCGTGTTAATTAGACCTGCTGCTTCTTTGCTTCTTCGCCTGACATGACGATCCTAAATTTATTATATATCTCAGGAGCTTTTTTTTTTTTTTTTGGTGTTACCGTGCACTGAATTAACCCAGAATCCCTGGCAAGAGAGTTGCTGCTATTGTGACACTAGTTTTGTGGAAGCGACCGCAGTTCGCGTGCTACGGTTACCCACATCCGACATGTTACAAGTCCACAGACAGGGAGAGGCAGCGAATCACCGAGTTTTATGATACCAGTACTGTCGCATATTTGTTTCCTTGTATTATTTTTAAGTTTATTTTTTGTTGGTTTGACTTGGATACCATTTGCACAAGCTCTAAAGAGATTCACCTCGCACCTGTGAATTTTGTCGCCATTTATTTTTATTTTTTGAGAATATAAGAAATCAGAAGTTCATTACTCCAAACTATTAAGTTCTATAATCCATTTAACAAATTTTATAAAAGAAAAGTACAATGCGTGACATTAATACAGCGGCCATATAACTCGTTTACAGTTATATGGCCCAAGGTGGGTAACTCTCAGAAATAAGTAATTGTAAAGTAATTGCATTACTTTTAAAAAGTAATTTGTAATTGCAATGAACTACTTTCGCGTAGTAGTAATTGTAATTGTAGTTAAACTACTTTGGGGGCTAAGTAATTGTAATTGTAATTAAATTACATTTTGAAAGTAATTTACCCATGTATGCAGGGTACTCATGCATGGCAATGTTTTATTAAGGCGAAAGCCTTATATGTCTGATTGTTCAGTCGACCTTCAGAGTCCTTGAGCGAAAGCACGTCGGTGACATGAAAGGTACCAAAACGTTTACGTAACCACTCAGGCGAATTAGAGGCAATGCAGTTAAGAAGGATGACAAAGCAAATGAAGCAGAATCAAAGTGAATTAAGAGGAATTAAAGAGAAGTAAGAGTAATCAATGAGAATTAAAAGGACCATAAAGCGAGTTAAAGAGGAATCAAACTGAATTAAGAGGAATCAAAATGAATTAAGAGGAATTAAAGTGAATTACGAGGAATTAAAGCGAATTAAGTGGATGACTAGGCAAATATAGTGGATGACTAAAGGCCTGTTCACACTGTTGCAACCGAGTACGACCGAGAAAGACGAGGCCTGTTGAAACCTCTTAAAATTTCTTAGGATGAGGGAACACGCTGGCATTCTGGTGCCATCTATACGGTGACCCTGGAAATGCATTTGACAAGAGCGAAGGTTTCGCGGGATTTCTGAGGTCAAATGTGTGTAATACCTATAAGAAAGGCTCATTTATAAAGTTGACAAAAGTTTTTCGAGCCAAGAAAGAAAGGATGATGCGTGAGGGAAATAGAAAATATGCCGGACTGCCAAGTTTACACTGCTACCCAATAGATGACACCAGTGTGTCCTCTAGTTGTAAGAGGTTTCAAGAGACCTAGTTCTAAGAGGTCACAATGAGTGTGAATGGGCCTTAAGTGAATTAAGCACATTGAGAAGGATGACTTGGCACATTGACTCAGCACGTCAAGAAGGATGGCTCAGCGAATTAGGCTGGCTAATTAAAGTGGCTATGTGAAAAAGGAGAATGAGAAACAAAGTAAATCATGTGTCTGTCTTTAATGCATCAGTGCTTGGGCTTTCACCTTCAACTCGTCTTAGGGATAACATAGGAGACCCTGTGAATTTTTGAACATCACGTATGAGAGTCCAGCTACCCAGAACACAATAGACCCTTTCCAGAATTCATTGCCATCTGGTGGCTCAAGTGGCAGTTTATCTTTCACCATACTAATGGCAGCCATGAACCTGTAGTCTGCAGTATTTTATCGGGCACCGTAACTCCGGCAAGTCAACGGCAAACGAGAATGTGCGCTTCACTGCGCAGTTCTTTCTCAATCTCTTTTCAGTGTCGATGTAGAAAAAGATTCAGAAGAAAATGCCAACTCGCATAGGTGCCTTGATAAAGCTCTATACATCAAGGGGCTTTGAAGTCGACTCTGTGCTACTAACATTCACTGGGCCCAAATTGAAGAAATGAATGCTTACACAGTTCTTGGATCCAATTCCTGCTTCACATCATGCCAGTGTCCCGGCTTAGAAGCTTAGGAGCATCTTCAACTTCTATTTTTATCAGTAAACACAAGGCCATCTTTAGTATGCCATTTTTCAGATGATCATAGTGATCAGAGGGGCCAGATTGAATTTCGGAAAGGGTCTATTTGCGGCTCCAAGTTCGTATTCTTTTCGCTCGAAAACTGCCGGTCGAGAATTGTCTGGTGGCGCGTTCACTCTCTTTTCCAAGGCCACTTGCTGTTCAAGCTTATGCGTACCAAATCTACTCTATCTTCGTGGGTCATCTAAGCCACACATTTATTATTAAAAATAGTGAAGAATGGGAACCCCATTTTTTGTGGCTTCCAGAAGGCTGTCAATACGGGGATCAAAAAAACGAGTTGCGCAGATCACGGGAAGTACTTGTACACGTCATTCTCAATATGGCTATGTACCGCGGGATGAACGACGCAATGACGGCGCAGGAGAGACCTACGTTGTGACGGACGTAATCCACTACTTCGGAACTGTGGTTCTTGGTACCGACCAGTCGACCTTGAAGCCCAGGACAGCGAGGGGAAGGGATATAAGTGCAAAACAATTGCACGACAAGCGGTTCACGCAACATCCTCGTTGCCATGGTCGTCTGCTTCAAGCGTCCGAGAAGCGGAGGAACGGAAAGAAAGGGGGTAGGGAGGGATAGCCATGTGACTTCCGGCTAATCTCTTCTCCGAGCCACCGTGCACATGTTTCGGTTATGAGCAGTTGAGTGTTTAGGCTTTATTAAAATTGTATCTGACTCTGTAGCAAAATATTAATGGGGTAGTATCCTGACACCATAACAAAAGGCCTGACAAGAAATATAAAAATTTTTTTTTTTTGGAGGTGTTAGTGTTTTTTTAAGCCTGAATATCATGTCTGGTTAGGACTGGCTGTGCAAGAGTGCATCCGGTCATAGGCATTCACGAGAGCCTTAAAGGGCAACTCCGCTTAATTCCGAAGATTTCGGGATAATGATTGATTTCGAATTAAAAAGCCCTAGTAAAACACACTACGTCGTTTGCTTCGCGAAAAATGGGATATATATTTTTAAATCTGATTTTAAACACGAGTGGAAATCGAACCGAAACTTCGGCTGCGCTCGGCAACATTGGCCCCGGGTCGCCAAGTACATGGCCATCACGTGGTACGAGATGTCACGTGATCCTCGGCCCAACGACGGGCGGGATTGGGGCGGGCGTGTGGCAGGCGCGAGTGTCGTCCGCACCGCACTCTTCGCCACGTTTTGGTGTCTACGGCGTTCGACGACGTCTGCACAACTGCGGCATAAGTGTGCGCGCACGTGGTGTCCGTAGTGTGGACGAAACTCCGAGAGACAATAATCATAATCGGTGAGACGATGACGGCGGTTGTGACGCGGAAGACGGCGGTAACGGCGGGACCACGGCGGGCGGCCGGACGGCCCCCAAGAAACGCGCTGCGCAGGCGCGTTACGCCAATCACATGGACACTGCTGAGCTCCGAGAGGCAACTTGCTGGCGTCATGCGCTACGCTCGCCCGGAGAAGTGAAAACAAGTAAAAGGGGGCCATGTAGATGGCGTTTAGCTCAATGTTGGCTTCGCCCATGCCGTAGTTTTGACTGCGCTGCTGGTTGCACCTGAATTCGCCTGCTCAAGTCAGCCGATTTCGGCAACTTGGCGAGTTGCAAAGTTTGCCGGACCGTTTAAGAAACATTTAGACAGAACTGCGTCGTAAGATTTCACGTGTGGTCTTCCTAGGTGATACTGAAGAGGACTGCATTGTTTTTTCAAAACCAAAAATGAAGCAGAGTTGCCCTTTAAAAACATTTTTTGAGCCACTCCGGTTGTAAGCGGTTGCAAGTGTTAGAACAACCTTTTAGGAGCCAGTCCTAACACAGATTCTGCATTGAACAATGTTTTAAGAGGTTTGGTGTCCCTTAAGAGGTTTGGAGGCCATTGAGCGCTTTCCAACTCGTGCTGGCAAGTGACTCGACTGCTCTTTCGTGACTTGCAGGTCCAATGCCCGCACCGCTCCCACGCACGACTGCAAGCTGGGCCTGGAGCCAGACCCCAGCTTCACCAGCGGGGCGGGGACCCCCTTTGGGAGTCTTGACCGGAGGCTAGACCTAGACCCCACCTCGTCTCCACGTGTGGCCAGAGCGCGCAGGTGCGTGGCGACCTGCCTCGAGGCCAGAGGAAAGTAGAGCCAAAAGGGTCGCGTAACACGTTTATTCATATCTTAACACGTGATCTGCTCTTTTTTTTGTAGCGTGAGCTACACTGGCCGAGGTTGAGCAATTTCGCGTGGCTCCCAAAGAGCTGTGCTGCGCAAGCGCGAGGAGCAGTGACGTCACACGGTGCACAGCTGGCGCGCCAGAAACGCCGCCGCTGTGCGCTTCACCGCTGTTGCGCGCGCCTGGCCGGTCTGCGCATTCCAGAGGAGTGACGTTATAGTTGCGGCAGACGCACTGGCGCCGCCTTGTGCCCGGCTGTGCGCCTCCGTTGCGCAGTAGCCAAGTCTGATGCTACACTGGAGCCGCTTGATAGCGCCTCTCATTTTGTGCATAAGCTCACGCTACGTATATCCTGGCATAGCCGAGCTAAGCCACCGCAATTTTTTTCTCGAGTACATAAACTGGCAGTGTGTTAGAATTGGGGGCACATTACAGCAGCTTAAGTATGGTAAATTATTAGGGCTAGCTGCAATGTCTAACACAGTGCTACTTGCACCTTTAAAGACACGAGTACTGTCGAGACTGGTTATAACGGAGTCGGCGGGAATCAGAGATCTCTTCGCTATATGCGCTTCTTCGTTATATCTTGACACTGTAAACGTAATAGGCAAAAAAAGAATAACGCGGGTCGCCTGGGGCGCACATCTATTGCGCCTGCAGAAAGCGGTCGAGGCTTCCCTGCACGTGCTCTCTGAGCGTGCATTTAATATGCGAGTAGCTCCGGTCGAGGTAGAGATCTTGTCAGGTACGTACAGACTGTTTCAATAGCTGCGATGGCCGCCTCGGAGGACGCTGGCGGTGAAGCGGCATTCTTTAAGTTTGTGCGCGCTTCGTTGAGGACGGCACGCTTCTGTTTCAAAGAAATCGCCTTCCTCTTTCCCGTCGAGGTGTCGGCAACGCAGCGATCGCACGCTTGCCATCGTTGAGTGGCGATGATTCGCTGAATCGGTGCTTGAGCGAAGTCAGACTTTTGCACAGAAAGTGACCACGCCAACCAGCAACACCGACACAAAACACGAAGTAAGCAGAGGTGCCCGCACGACACCATGTTGGCACTCAAAGTTTGCGTTTCGTAAGTGAGCCTAGATTTAAGAGGGGTGTTGTGTACGAGGTGACCGGCGCATCGGCACGAGCAGGGAGCGCGCACCAGCCACGAGCAGAGCGTTCGGACACTGCCATCGTGGAGACATTCCAGTGAACCCGCTGTCACACAGGCTCCATTTTTGATCTATTATATGATGTATTTAACAACTGGCGACGAGTAAGACAACGGACCTTGTACCTCAGTAGACATGACTACTCACGGCTCCATGGAGGAGTTCTCCGGCAAGGGCTGGCCGTCATGGGCAAAGCGGCTACAATATTACTTCGAAGCCAACAGCCTTGGGGACGATGCAAGGAAACGTGCTGTTTTGCTGATGCTGTGTGGCCCGACCACGTTCGAAACAGTGAAAGCACTGGCAGCACCGAAAACGCCAAGTGAGTTTTCTTTCCGCGAAATCGTCGCCATGCTTCAAGCCCATTTCGATCCGCGCCCCTCGGAACTCTTCAGCCGGTGCAGATTTCAACGCAGAGATCAGCTACCGGACGAAACTGTCACTGCATACGTCGCAGCCCTCAAGAAGCTTGCGGCGGACTGCAATTTTGGAATGATTCAACCTGTCGCGACCACCACCGCTACGACTGTCACATCCGGTGTCTCCGGTTCGGATGGATCAGTTGGAACCTTTGGCAGCGGTTCAACACCATCTATAGTCAACATGACTATGCTGCCAATGGACATCATGCTCCGAGACCGTTTCGTCTGCGGACTTCGAGACAACCATCTGCAGCAGCGTCTTTTCGCCGAAAGGGACCTGACGTTTTCTAAGACTTTCGACATAGCCGTGCGAGCGGAAAACGCCAAAAACCATCAGCGTCAAATCAAAGAAGACTTCAAAGAAGTGAACAAAGCAGAAACGTCTCGTCTGCCAGATCGACGGCGTGAAGAGACCCCAGTGACAACAGTAACGCCTTGTTACCGCTGCGAGGAGCCTTACAGTCCAAACTCGTATAAATTAAGAGTTCGACGTGCAGATACTGCAAGAAGGTGGGACATATAGCAAAAGCCTGCTTGAAGAAAAAAAAGTCCGCTGGCAGCAGCACGGTTCACGATGTCAATACAAATCAAACGAGCGATTTGACTGCTCATGAACCAAGCCATGCAAGCTCACTTCATGACCTCAACTCCCTGAACAATCGACGGCAGTCGACAGACAAACTCATGGTGAACCTACGAGTTGAGGATGTTCTTTTTCGTTTCGAGGTGTACTTGGGGGCAGCGTTTTCACTTATCAGTGAAGAAATGTTTCGATCGGCGTGGCCCACACAACCTCCCCAGTTCACGTAAGAGGACATTGCCCTGCGCACCTGGTCAGCTGAAAATCTAGAATCGCTGGGCGCGATCCAGGTTACGGTGCAGTTCAAGAGCTTCAGAGCGCAGTTACCACTCCTGGTGATGAAGCGTCCCGGCTGCAATCTACTCGGACGGAACTGGTTTAAACCTTTTGGTATTGGACTAAGTGGCGTTCATCAAATCGGGCTCGACAATAGCTTGCCGGATGTCATCGGCAAACACGCTCCACTCTTCGATGGTGACCTGAACCAGTTCAAAGGCCTGGCAGTCAGTCTGGAGCTTCAAGAGAAGGCTGTGCCAAAGTTCCTGAGAGCACGAACGGTGCCATTTGCGCTGAAACCAGCAGTTGAAACCGAGTTGCAGCGTCTCACGGACCAGGGCATTCTAGAGCGGACACAACACTCGGAGTGGGCCACACCCGTCGTTTTAGTACGAAAAAAAGACGGTGGAATACGACTTTGCGGAGACTACCGCAGCACCATCAACGCTGTCACACGCAATGCGGCGTATCCTCTACCTACCGTTGTAGAGGTGCTGGCGAAGCTCCGTGGAGGAAAAGTATTTTCAACGTTGGACCTTGCGCAAGCCTATCAGCAACTGAAGGTAACTGAGAGAACAGCTGATATACTCACGATCAATACTATCAAAGGGCTCTATCGGGTTAAACGCCTACCTTTTGGAGTGTCAGCAGCACCAGCCATTTTTCAGCGGTGCATTGAAACAACGTTGGCGGGACTACCTGGAGTCAGTGCCTACCTGGACGATATCATCGTCACCGGCGCCACACCGAAAGAACACGCGCAACGTCTAGACGCCGTCCTGACACGGCTCCGAGAAGTTGGCCTACGTGTTCAGAAGACCAAGTGTCGTTTTGGCGTTGCAGAGGTGACCTACTTGGGACACAGAATCAACGCAGCAGGGGTTCGTGCCACACACGACAAGCTAAAGGCAATCAAGGATTTGCCAGAGCCAACCTCCAAGGCCACTCTCCAGTCATTCCTTGGGATGCTGGCTTTCTACGATCGGTTCATGGAGAACAGGGCAACAGTGGCTTATGACCTATACAAGCTGCTAGAGAAAAATGTACCGTGGAGATGGGAGAAAGAGCACTCCGATGCTTTTAAAAGACTTAAGGAGCTCTTGCTACGCAAAACAACTCTTGTCCATTACGATGAATCAAAGCCGCTTCTTTTGTCATGCGACGCTTCGCCATATGGCATTAGAGCTGTGCTCGCCCAAGTGGACCCAAACGGCGCAGAAGCTCCCGTCGCGTTCGCGTCGAGAACACTTGGTGAAGCTGAAAGTAACTACTCCCAGTTGGACCGAGAAGGGCTGGCTGTGGTGTTTGGAGCGGTCCACTTCCATCAATACATCGCTGGACACGAAGTGGTCATCGCCACTGACCACCAACCTTTACTTGGGGTCCTAGGTTCCCAGAAACCGGTACCCCAGGTTCTGTCTCCCAGAATGCGACGCTGGATTGTCAAGCTCTCAGCTTACGACTACCAGCTGGTCTACAGACCAGGAAAAAAGCACCAAAACGCGGATGCGTTAAGCCGCTTACCTTTGCCTGTGAGCGAGGATAACCATGTCCTCCAGGAGACGTTCTCATGCTTGAGACACCAATGGATACACCGCTCACAGCCGAGCGGATCGCAGAAATGACACAAGCCGATCCAGTACTGTCATGTCTTTTTCAAGCTGTGCAGCAAGGAAACCTCCATCAGCTAAAGGAGGCAACGTTCCAGCCCTTTTTGAAGAAGCACACCGAGCTGTCGACACAGCGAGGATGTTTGATCTGGGGATCAAGGGTGGTTATACCAGAGGCTGCACGTGCTGATGCCATGAAGCTCCTGCACGCAGGACACAAAGGAATTGTAGCCATGAAGATGACAGCCCATAGTCACCTGTGGCGGCCAGCCATCGACAAGGAAATTGAGAAGGCGGTAAAAAGCTGCGCTGCCTGTCAGGAGTCCAGACCGATTCCCAACAAGGCTCCTCTTCCAACGTGGGACCATCCGTCCAAGCCCTGGGACACAATTCATCTGGACTTCGCGGGTCCCTTGGAAGGGCAGATGTTCTTAGTCGTCGTAGACGCCTTTAGAAAGTGGCTGGAAGTGCGCTATATGACAACGGCCACGACCGCAGGAGTTATCAGAGAGCTGAGGGCTCTGTTTGCAACTTTCGGACTACCTCGAAAGATTGTGTCCAACAACGGGGCAGTTTTTGTTTCAAAGGAAATGATGGATTTTTATCATAACAACGGAATACATGCAGTGACGAGCTCACCATATCATCCTGCAACGAATGGCCAAGCCGAGCGGATGGTATATGAACTCAAGCAAGGGCTAGCAAAGGACAAGAAGGGACTTTTGTCGTTGCGAATAGCGAGGCTACTGTACAAACAACACATGACAGTTTCTAACTCGACCGGGAAGACACCCGCTTTTATGATGTTTGGACGAGAACTCGCTACAAACATCAGCCGACAGATGCCCTCTCCAGAGAGTGAAAAGAAACAAGTGGATGAAACATTGCCTGCATCCAGAATTTTCAAGGAGGGACAACATGTGGTTGTCCTCAATTTCAGAGGGACTCCCAAGTGGATACACGGCAGGTTGATAAAAAAAACTGGCCGTCGCTCTTGGCTTGTTCAAACAGCTGGGGGAAATGTCCGGCGACACCTAAACCACATAAGAAAATGCTCGTCTCCATTGACTCCGCCTGCAGCCTGGTCGATTGGTGGTCACGACTGCACACCGGGTCGTCCTACAGAACAGAACATACCGCCTCAAGCAGCCACAACGAACGCAAATTCTGGCAATGTGGGTGTAGCGCCTAGCAGTGCCTACCCGCCGAGAACCAGACGTCCACCCGATCGTTATGGCGACCGGCTCTAAGAAGGGAGGGATGTTGTGTACGAGGTGACCGGCGCATCGGCACGAGCGAGGAGCGCGCACCAGCCACGAGCAGAGCGTTCGGACACTGCCATTGTGGAGACATTCCTGTGAACCTGCTGTCGCACAGGCTCCATTTTGGATCTATTAAATGAAGTATTTAACAAGGGGGCAACTGCTCAATCGGGGTTACGTGGTTTATGGGCTGCACCTACAAAGCGAGCTACGAGGGGGAATCAAAAGCATTCATTATCTGCAAACGTCTCCGCCTCTCTGTCTGTTTTCTTCCTTGCCACGCAACAACCCACGTGCGCCAGTCTTCCCAGAAGGTGCGGATCGGCTTGGCCGGCACGTTGAAATGGAGGGTGTGACCGTTCCGCGATATCGTGGACTTTGCACACAGAATTTAAAATAAATTTTGCGCCGTCAATATTGCTTTAAAAATTGTTTTTGTTTTTCGCATAAAATTAATTTCTTTACATGTATTCCCAACCAAACTTAAACATTTTTTTTTAGTGGTATTTTAAGAGATGTCTTACATCTTCGGTTTGCTTAATTTTTTAAACTAGAAAGTAGCTTGCGCGAGAAAAAAAACGGTTTTCTGTTTTTCATTTTAGAGGTGACACGGACTAATTCTCGCAATTAATTGGCCAAAGTTCGAAAATCATGGCACTGCCCCCACTGAAAGGATTGCTCCTCCCGCGATTCCGGCGCAGGACGGCCATGGTGTCGGCGGAGGAAGAGCACCACGACTACGCAGAGATCTACACCCCGAGCCAAGAGCTGGCCGACTTTGGGGGGTGCCCCAGGCCCGGGGGGAGGCCCCCCACGCCACCCCTGCACCGCTTCCCTTCCTGGGTCAGTGGAGGGGCGCTCTCGACCCACAAATAATTTCGAAGCGGTGATTTCTGCATCGTCCGGAGGAAAACTGCCCGTCTCTTTGGTGCATCCCAAAGGTGTTCTAAATGCGTGGTATTTATACATTCTCTGCGGGGTCGTGGCATCATGACGTCGCAGTGTCATTCAAAGGCCTGGTGTCACATGACCATCAGAAAAGCGGGTTGTCGTGTGACCTTACGTCTCGTGACGTTGCGGTGTCGCGTGACGACGGTCACACTGACGACGTCGCACAAGCACCGTGAGATCATTCCTGGTTTCACGGGAGGACGTCATTGGAAACCTTTTAAAACGCTCGTAATGTCACGCTAACGCTACGACGACATCAGCTTGACATCACCATTGAGGCTACATGTCACGCACATGAATTCTGCTAAGAGCCAGCCCTGTAAATGCTATGCCCTTAAAATGCCAACGAATTTCTATTTCATGGCCTAGCCAGTTGAACCGGTTTTTAAAAAGACACGCCTTTGCCCAAGATATCCTCAAGAGCAGAATTTCCTTGAAGCTCCTGCTCAGGGCAAAAAGTTTGCTCAAATATGTGTACATAGTGGAACCCTTCGAAAGAGCTTCAGGCACGATTAAGAAAAGAAGACAACAACAAAATTGAACTATGTACGCGGTAATTGAGCAGATGTCACAAAGAAATTTAATTGAATCTTAGTCCTTCGGAAAAAGTCTGGATCAGAATGTGCAGCATGTTTTGAGCTCTTCCCACCATTGGGGCAACAACGTTTTTGCGGCAGCACGAGTACGAAGATACCACGAAAATATACACCCATGCTAATCAAAGGAGCTCTGCTAGCTCGGGAAATAAGGTATCCAGTTACAGTAGACTCTCATTAGTTCAAACTCCAGGACGCCACAAATTTTGTTTGAATTATCGGAAGTTTGAATTATATCGCAAATTCATCAAAATATATTGCAAGATGAATGATCTGCAATATGGATGGCTACACATGCAAACCAGATTGTTGATGATTTCTTTTACACATGCCTACTAATGCCACACATGAAACATTGGAGAGATGTATGACGTAAGTTTATTCATCCGTGAAAAATGTTGTTTATTGTGGACTGTTTACGCAGCACGTGGCACCTTAAAACAAAGTTAAGTTTGTTCATCCTGCAAAAATGTTTTGTTTTGTTGACTACCATAAGATCCCGTAAGGGCGCCCTCCCCCCGAGAGATCGCCCATCTCATTTTTGTGGCTAAATATCTGTAACATCAAAATTCCGAAACATCGCCCACCCCCCGATTCCCATTGGACGTCAGGCGATGTCTGCAGGAATCGCGCATCAACGGCACGCGCGATCGGCGGTACTGGTATATCCGAGAAGCGAGTTCATAGCGGGTTTCCGCGTTTTTGTCTGCGATCTGCGCGCGATATCACTTCGCGTAACACGCTAGTTTCCGCTTGTATATTGCATCGTGAAATGCGAATCTGCTGCATTCACGATTTGCGGTATCCGTTCCCAAGTTCGTAGCAGATTCCCGTGTTTTGGTCCGCGATCTGTACGCGCAGTATCGATTTTTAGCTGTAAGTAACATGCGCGAGTTGTTCCCGCGTGCATATTGCGCAGTGAAATGCGATTCTGTTGCGTCCGCAATCTGCGGTATTTATTTCTGTGACATGCGACTCTCTAGCGTATTTCCGTGTTTTTGTCCATGATCTGCGCGAGCGATATTGGTTTCCGTGACAGGCAATATTGTAGCGGGTTCCCGCGTCTTTATTTAACTTTGAAACTTGAATCTCCTGCGTCTGCGCAAGTGGCTATGGAAACGGCTGCACGGCGCCCGTTTTTGTCGCTCATCTGTCCCCTGCTTTAGCCTCATTGAGCGTGCTTCTTACCGAGCACCGGTGCGGTGTGGAGAAGCAGCACCCGCGGAAGCGCGTCCAACGGGGCAGCGAGAACAAGAAGTATAAATTATACGAAAACGCCGTTTGAATGAAGCGACTCTGTCTAAGTACATTAAAAACGTAGTGGGACAACCCAAATCTTGAAATTTGTTAGAATTAACCGGAAGCACAAACTATCCGAGTTTGAATTATGAAGAGCCTACCTAACCGAGCGAGTGGTCAGAGGTTTGATCTTCACCGAGGGAAAGTCTTTAGTAAAAGACAGCTGGCTGTGGTATCATATTTACGTTACAATATTTTGCGATGCTCCAAGCTTGGAAACTGCTCCCAAAACACATTTTGTGTTAAAACTGCTCGTATAACAAACACACAGAGAGGAACCATCACATTTCGAGCAAGTAGCCAACGTAATGTTTTTGGGCACTAATGGTAGTTTGAACTTTGGCCGCATCAAAAGCGTACATCTGACAGAAGTTCAAGGAACATCCGGTGATCAGGCGAATCCGGCACATTGCTTGATGGGGCCTGTTTTCAAATCTGCAGTTGCGGTTTTATGTTTTTGTGGTGTTTCTATTATAACACTTTTGAGTCATGGTAACTTGGCCCCTGATTCTGCGCTGCCTTTTTTTCCCTCAGGAATCTCGTATTTACGAAGTGGCTGTCAACGGTATCACGCAGTCACTCAACCCCCTGCCATCAGGTGAGTGTCTGGGGACATTTTTATCTAGTGAGCAGACCTCTCTAAGGGGCGTTCGAAAGGAAGCTTTGGCGAAGGCACAGTGGCAACTGTGCCGCATGGCCTGTAATTGCCGGTTACTGTTGCTGATTGCTTTTTCGATCTAGACAAGGATCCAATCATCTGAGTACTAGCCTGGAAAAATGATTTTTGTTGGAATTTTAAATTTTCTCGCAAATTCTGCCCAGTGTGTTGTCAATTTCCTCTTTGTTTGATAGAAATATTAAATTCTTGCGTCTCTGCCTTGTGTCGTCCACTTTGCCTTTGTTTGGTAATTGCTGTTTTTTTTTTCACAATTGTCATTTCGCCATATTTGCTGCCTCTATTGGTGACTGGTTGGAGACGTAGTTAAAGTCGTTTAGTACCACCCGGAGACAACACTCAACCAACCAGGACCACTTCGCTAGTAGTAGACCTGTCGGAAGGAAGCTGTCGCATTCATAGAACACGGTGGACGCGGTCGTGGTCATTGTGGTGACGAACGGCGCCCATGGTGGTTGTCAAGATACCAAAATATGGGACGCCTTAGTCCAGGTTCCTTATTGCATAGGTCGTGGCGTCGAGGCTACAGGTCAAAATCAAAATGATGGTGACCCGGTTCACGGTGACGTTCTCGTGGGTGCAGACAGTACAGACTGTGCGAACCAAGTTTGAAAAATAGAGCACCAAGTTGAGTGGTGTCGAAAATTTCAATCCCCGTTATGCATGTTAGCTCTAGGGGTGAGTGACGTCGAAATGATAAGAGCCCGTGTGAAAGTTTGGTGTCCGTGTAATCGGTCGCCAACCTTGTCTAAGTTGGGGTGTTCATTTTGAGAAGAAAAAGTTTAAAAAGAAACCCCTTGACTTCTTTTTTTTTTACATGGATAGCTGTTAGGGGCTTTTCCCACTGCTGGAAATGACGTTCGTTCGAGCATGGTGCGACCGAAGTGAAAGACTTGGAGGAAGGCGCAGCAACTACTATTCGATTAGAAAATATTCGGCCTGACCACTATTGGTCTAGAGCTCAAAAACCGCTTATTTCTACACACCTATGAACATGTCCTATCCAAGCAATTAAAGGGCAACTCCGCTCAATTTCGAAGATTTCGGGATAATGATTGATTTCTAATTAAAAAGCCCTAGTAAAACACACTACGTCGTTTGTTTTGCGAAAAATGGGATATATATTTTTAAATCTAATTTTAAACACGATCGGAAATCGAAACCGAAACTTCGGCTCCGCCCGGCAACATTGGCCTCGGGTCGCCAAGTGCATGGCCATCATGTGGTACGAGATGTCACGTGATCCTCGGCCCAACGACGGGCGGGATTGGGGCGGGCGTGTGGCAGGCGCGAGTGTCGTCTGCACCGCACTCTTCACCACGTTTTGGTGTCTACGGCATTCGACGACGTCTGCACAACTGCGGCATAAGTCTGCGCACGTGCTGTCCGTAGTGTGGACGAAACTCCGAGAGACGATAATCACAATCGGTGAGACGACGACGGCGGTTGTGACGTGGAAGACGGCGGTAACGACGGGACCACGGCGGGCGGCCGGACGGCTCCCAAGAAACGCGCTGCTCAGGCGAGTTACACCAATCACGTGGACACCGCTGAGTGCCGAGAGGCAACGTTGCTGACGTCATGCGCTACGCTCACCCGGAGAAGTGAAAACAAGCAAAAGGGGGCCATGATAATGACGTTTAGCTCAATGTTGGCTCCGCCCATGACGTAGCCTTGACTGCACTGTTGGTTGCGCCTGAATTCGCCTGCTCAAGTCAGCCGATTTTGGCAACTTGGCGAGTTGCAAAGTTTGCCGGACCGTTTAAGAAACATTTAGACAGAACTGCGTCGTAACATTTCACGTGTGGTCTTCCTAGGCGATACTGAAAAGGTCTGCATTGTTTTTTCAAAACCAAAAATGAAGCGGAGTTGCCCTTTAAGGAGGCAAATTTTCTAGGAGTTTCTTCAAACCCCAAACATTTCTGAACTTTCTCCTGAAACTTTCCGAGTGTCTGCTCACTTGTGTGCACTTTTCCCGCTTACAGTCGTGTCGAGCATCAACGGATTGTCGTCTGCGGCAGACAGCAGGATGAACAGTGCCTTCTCCGAGCTCAGCGTTCCGGTGTATGCGGCCGTCAAAGGCGTGAGACCCCATCTGTTGCCCCTCTTTCTTTGGGGCTTCATGTCGCACCCACAGCTCACCTCGTTTAAAATGTACTACCCTATTTATTTGCATAATGAATGCACTCGCATAATGAACACATCCCCCACAACGGGTACCAATATTTGAACTTTTTTTCCTCGCATAATGAACGCACCTCCAATTTTCGGCTCCGCAAGTCTCGAATCGCGTCCAATTTAGCTAGCCACCAAGCCAATTTTCTTTTGCCGCCAAGCGGTCGGGCCATGTCAAGCCGAGCCAAGCCGTTCTCTTAATGGCTGCAAGTTCATAGTTGTGGTAGCTGTAGAAGTGATCAACCGTGAAACCAAGCGGCGCGCACACTTGACGAAGCTTGGGTCTAGGAATTGTTCAGCCCCGGACATTTTTCGCTTATCGTATGCATTGATGTCAACAAACACACTGTTGTCTGTGGTCCGCTTTCGGATAATGAAATCATTAAAGTGGTTAGGCCTAAAAATGGTTGCGTTGCTCTCCGTGCTGAGTGAGCTTTGTAGGGCGATTTTTCTTCGGCAAAAGGCACGCCGAAAGCGCCCTAAAAAGCCGCAATTTATAAAGCATGGTTACTGTGGCGCGCCTCCCACCAGCCGTGGGTGTGCCTCCATCAGTGGAGACGTGCCACAGTACCTTGCCGTGTCATATTGGCACCTAATATGGCATTTCCACGAAGTGTGTAAATGCAAAAATTTTGCCCCGCGTAGCCCCCCTGAATATGTGTCAGTTTTTCGAGCAAAAGAGTGTTCATTATGCGAGTGGATAAAATATCTTGCAGTAATTCTTTTCTTTTTTTTTTTAAAGGGCTAGTAAAAGATAGAGTCAATATTCAGGGTGTTCCTCAATTATCAACTGGCTTGCAACCTGTCCAGATCGAGAAGCATCTGATGGAAATATTGACGGCGAAAAGTTGTTGCCTTCCTTCCGTTCGGTTTCATTCAGGCGCGTCTGCTTCCGTAACGTTCCGGCGGTCTTCGGACCGTGAAACGGCGGTAGTTTACGGAGCCCGTCCGTCGAGCGACGAGCTCCTGTCTTCTGAATTCTATTCCGAGAAGCGTTGAAAAGTCAAAGTTGGAAATGCGGGTGCTCCATTGCCACCGTCGCGAAGCCTGCCGCCACGCGAAACGACCGTCTTGCGCACATCCTGCGCACGGAGTGCCTAATTGGGGAACCATAAATGGCTTCAGCGAGATGAAGTAGGGTGTGATTGCAATGTTTACAGTTCCCCGAGGACGTAACAAATAGCGGCGCAAATAGAGGCGGTTTCGCATTTAGATGGGAACCTCCAAATCTATTGTTGTCACCGTATGTGCACAATGGGGATCGCACACTTTAAAATGACCGCCTAAAGTGGCAGTGCAACGATTCTTGTACTCTGTGTAAATACCGCTTAGAAGGAATGCCTGACGTTAGTAACCTATAAAACACGCATTAGCTTTTCTCCTCGAGCAGCAATAGTTGCAAAAACAATTTAAAGAAAGAACGAGCGGCGTTTTTTTTCCTGGACTAGCCGCCAGAACAGGCGGTCGTGTGATCTGGAGCTGATTATATGCTGTCAGCGTTTATTGTAACGACTTGCCGGGGTTGCCAAGGTGCAGGCGATGCACCGAGTTCCAGACATTGCTAGGGTTCGGCTATTGTCGTCATTTAAGCCATTGGGCACGAGCCACTACCCAAATGCTCATCGAGCTGTTGACTACCGCGAGCCCAAATCGAGTGCTGACGCGATGTTCGGATCCGATTCTACGAGCCGCTTTCAAATATCCTTACAGGGGGAGTAAGCTGACACTGCGACGTCCAAACTACGTCTTCAAATTTTGTGAAGGAGAGATTGCAAGAAAAGGCTCTCTTTTACTTTTTAAGTTACACCGCAACAAAGATGTTTCTTGGTCAATGGTGTTGCATGCGAGTACGCTCGGGTCGCACTAGTGCCAATAAGCTCGTGTAAAGTAAAAAAAAAAAAAAAAAAATTCCAACCGAATGTCGTTGCACCATCCCTTCAAACGCAAAACTGTGCTCACTGCGGGGGGGTGTTACTAGGTATTTGTTATGTCTTTGGCAGACTCTAAACCTTATTATGGCGCGATGTTTTGCTTTGCTGGGGCTATTTATAGCCTTCAAATTAGACGCTCCACGCACGTGACTCTCACTTGGCATACGAGTGGAGCGCTGGCTCTTCCGATTCAGGCTTCCGACGCTTCTGCAAATTAATGAGAGCTCGTGACCCAACGGAGAGGCTTCGTAAAGTACCTACGGTTAGAGAATCTGACGCCGCAGGAATGTGGCAGAAGCGGATGCACCAAAATGAAACCAAATGGAAGAAAGGTGACATCTTTTTGCCTTCACTAATTTTATTTGATGTTTCTAAACCTAAACAGCTTGCAAGCACTGTACGTGCTCCCGGTAGACGAGAAAAAAACCTGCGCATTGACCCTTTCTTTATACTGTTGCTTTGGAAACAAAACCCGACCGCTAATGTTTGTTTCCAAAGCGATTTTTGAAACTTTTTAGTGACACGACGGCAGCCGATGAAGCCTACGAGTGAATGGTGTCGGCTATCAGGAATGGGCCCCATTTCTTTACTGGAAATTAAATTGCTCGAAACTTTTGGATTGGATAGCGGCGTGTTTGGGAACTTTGATATCTAGTCCAGATCGTGTGGGCAAAGGCAGAGCATTTGATGATGTACTATTGCGAACAGTACGAGCGGGAAAGCCAGCGCAGGCGGTCTTCGATACACGCTGTGCTACCTCAAAGCCGATAAAACGGCATGGTGGAGAGAAGGGGGACTTCATGGGTGGGCACGCTGAAGTGCACACACTTTTACAGTCCCTCTCTACTCCACAGTTTTTTCAGCCCCAAGATAGCTCAGCGTGTATCAAAGGCGACGCGCTCCAGTGTTCCTGCTCATACTGTTCGCTATAGTACAGTTGACTTTCGCGGCAAAGCAAACAGCGTACCATAATATTCCGAGAGAAAGCCCACCTAAAATCGAGAGCGAATCGGATGAAAACAAGAAGTGGGCTAACTTTCTGTGTACATTCGAGAAAAGTAAGAAAAAAAAAAGTGAAAGCCGTTTACAACTCCCTGTAACACCGAATTAGAGTGCGGCTCTTGAGGAGGAGGAGGGAAGGGTACTGGGGGGGTGAAGTGACCTTGGGGGTCATGTGACGATGCCGATGATGTCATCAGTGACGTCACTGATGACGTCATCAGTGACGACAATGCGGACTCCGATGACGTCATCAGCGATGATGACGATGACGACGCGGATGTCGGTGACGTCATCAGTGACGTCACTGATGACGTCGTCTGTGATGATGACGATGACGATGCGGATGCCGGTGACGTCATCAGTGACGTCACTGATGACGTCATCAGTGATGATGACGATGCGGATGCCGGTGAGGTCATCGGTGATGTCACTGATGACGTCATCAGTGATGATGACGATGACGATGCGGATGCTGGTGACGTCATCAGTGATGATGACGTCATCGGGGTGGTCCTCGGGGGGGTGTCAACTGACTTCGGGGGGGGGGGAGGGGGGGGGTAACGTGACTTGGGGAGTCACGTGACTTTGGGTGTCATGTGACCTTGTGGGCCACATGACCCTAGGGGAGGGGTCACGTGACCTCTGCGGGTCACATGACCTTGGGGGTCACGTGACCTTGCGGTGATCTTGGGGGTCATGCGACCTTGGGATGACCTTGGGGGTCATGTGACCTTGGGGTGACCTTGGTTACGCCGGCGCCGACGGCGACGGCGACGCCGCTCAAGCCAGGAACGGGCCCCTAAGAGCTGCTCTCTAAAACTATATTTTTTGACCTTGTTTTCCTGCCAAACTTGTTATCGCTGCGAGGGACAATGAAGCAAAGATGATCATACTTTCCAGGCAGCCATGTTCGCTTATATCCCGCCATAGCTAACTAGCTGCATTTACTCAGAGTTCATTATTGATACAAACACTACGATTAGTAATACAAGCGGGCTATCTTCCGTTCTTAAAAAAAAAAAAATAGCAAATTAAGCCAAAAATGGGGTTGGGTTATCTTTCGGGGGTGGAGCATCCCTAGGAATATTACGGTAAATTTGTTTCGTGAATACTTGGTACAATGACACAGCTCAAACTCTATCTGAGAGGTGAAGTACATAGGGCAGGCTTATTGATAGGCTTTCCGGCCCACGGGAACTGTGCGGTCTCCCCCAGCGTGCGTCCCAGATCCGGTCGGTGCCCTTCACGGGTGACTCGTCGGACTCTTCGGACAACGAGGACAACACGCGGGCTACGACCAGCGGGGCGGACACGGAGTCGAGCCTGTCGGCGGGCAGCCCCACGGGAGGGTGCCCCCCGCCGGCCGTGCCGGGCTCCAGGGGTCCCCTGCCCTCCCCCACCAAGTCAGTTCACAGGGGTGAGTCCCCGCCGGCGGCGTGCTTTGCCGGAGCCGTGGCGATTTCAAGACTAGGGCGAGAGCATGGGCAGGCCAGTTTGAGATGGACGTCTCAAACCGGAATGTCGCGTCATCTTTCTTGTCTCAGTGTTGTTATTTGTGATCTTTCGCCACATAGTTTAATCATGACACAAATCTTTGGGCGAGAATTTGGTTTGAAATTTTGTTTTGCCACCTCTTAGCGCTTCCTAGCCCGAATCTTGGATGTAGGGTTAATAATGTGAAGTCCAGAGCATGCAGCCGTCAATCGTATGAAGGTAATTGCAGTCGGAATCTCCATGTGCAGTCGGAATCTATACTTGGAGCGAGGAGTCTCCTCAGTGTGCACCGAATGGCATCAAAGCAGACTTTACATACTATTAAAACTGTCGCTCGCGGGCTTTGTGTTGGGTTTTTGCTGGGCCCGACAATGGCGGGCGTAGCGGGGTGGAGAGGAAGAGCAAAAGATGCGGCTGCAGGACGAGAGTGCCGGGCTCAGCAGCAACAGGAGGTCAGTTGCCATTAGACGGCGGCCAACTGGGGCCAGTACAGAGACAATCCATTTGGTGCAGTGTGTACGTAATGTGTACGATCGACCGGTTTTGGGCGGCCGTGAGCAAAGGTGTTCTAAAGGAGAACGCCTTTGGGATATGCCAAAGAGACAGCTGATTTTTTGTCGGGCAGTGTAAGGCCCCAAGAGCTCGACAAAGCCAAGGTATAACTGGACCTGATATACTTTGGCCAGAACCTGAATATCTTGAACCTAAACTGCCAAACAAGAACTCAGAGTTAAGCTTCCTCGGCCAGTCGTTCGGTCTTCACCTCGCTTCTTTGGACCTCAGCTTTTGAGTAAATGCCTGAATTAGGCTTCACTGCTGGTTGTTTGGTTGTCACCGGGCGTTCTTGGCTCGTGTATATGTTGGCACTTCCATGTGCCAAGGTTGACAAAAACGGGGCAGGTGCTGAGTTGCAGACATACTGTGAAATCCGGTAAGGGCACCCGCCCGAAATGAAGATGTAAATGGTGAAAAAAATGAGGTGGACTATCTTTGAAGATGAGACATGAAAATTTCATAAAATATTAATGATAAGCACAAGGGGCACTCCCTACAAACCTGTTGACACGGGAACTGATACTGCAGATTGTGGACACGGCAAATTAGCGTTTCACAATGTGACCAACACGCGGGAATTCGCTATGAACTTGCGCATCACGGGAAAAGATGCCACAGACTGTGGATGCGGCAGATCCGTGTTTCATGGCACCATAAACACACGGAAGCCGGCCAAACTTGCGGGCCATGAGAACCGACATCGCGCGCGCAGATTGCGGATAAAAAACGCGGGAACCTGTTGCGAACCCGCTTGTCACACGTACCGGTACCGCAGATCTTGCGCTTGATGGCATTCCCGTCGGACGTCGTGCGATGTACAATAGGAACTGGGGGTGGACGATGTTTCGGAATTCCTATGTTACGGATGTTTATCCAGAAAAATGGGATGGGCTATCTTTTGGGTGAGGCTGCCCTTACTGGATTTTATGGTAGTTGGGGTTTAGCTGTTCCCTTCATTTCCAGCGACCAAACACCAGCCACTACACGAATACATGTTGAGGCAGTGATTGTCACGAGCCAAAATTAAATGCTCACGCAGTCAGTGCTCGTATTTACTGTATGAGCTGCACTAGACTGTGAGGTAATTTTCACGACCCCAAAGAAACTGCGGTGTCCGTGAGTAACTGCGGTGTCCGTGAGTCAAGTCTGTTCTTTGCTTTCGCAAAGAACAGACTTGAAAGAAAAAGCCTGCTTTTGTGCTTGAAATTAAGCTGCCACAAAGAAGCTTCCTGCTAAATTGACCCGTTGCTAAAGATACAGCGCCGCGATGGCAGGAGATTTTGGGAACCCTCGGTACAGATCATGCGCTTTCTCATTACGTCTCCGCGACTGCGCGCGAGTTGTGGCAGCCATCCGCCGGAACGTTGTACGTCTGTGGGTATCCGTTATGAACCCAAACCAAAACGATACCTGTGGCAGCGTAAACGCATTGCGACAGTTGAAGCAATTCAGTTTATTTGAGTAGGTAATGCATCGTAACTTACCTTCACGTCGTGCAGTGTCACCGAGTCTATTTATTTTGCACCGCAACCGCGGTGGGGTTCGACTAGGTTCGACAAAGCATTGGTGTAGCAGACGACGGTGCCACTACAAAAGAGAGGGACGAGAAAGAGGTAGCTTCACAAGCTATCCGATGTGATACCCTTTGCCCCATTTCCGTGCACTTGTCCAACTCGGCCGCTCGACCGTTGTTGCCTCGGTAACCTGCGCCTGCTCGCGCACGTCACGTGGTAGCGGCAGGAAAGACGATGGGAGGAGTCTACCGAAAACTCCGTAATTTGTCGTGCGGTGCGCGCGGTGTTTTGGTATTTTTGTAAAGGGTCTATTGCTTTCTGCATTGAAGCCTACTTGGGCCACGGCATCACCAGTTAGGCCGTCTAAAGTGAGAAGCGTTCCAACCCAATATTGTTGTGCATCGCCCGCAGAGACGTCGGTGGAGTCGGTGCTGTCGGACGACTACGCCATTCCCCCGGACGCGGTGTCCACGGACACCCTCAGCCTGGACTCGGTGGACCCGTTTCCCCCGCCACGGCCGGTGCGGCTCTCGGAGATCACCAGCCCCAGAAAGGTGCCTGCATACACGCGGTTCCTACGGGGGGTCGTGAAAGTGTGGTGCCTCAAACGCTTCTCCGGCCGGTGTGTTTGCGGGGTCCTCAGATGCGATCCCCCGACTCGCTCCCGACGACGTCACACTCGTGTCGTGCCGCTGCCTGCTGCGATCCTGGCGGTTGGAAGGCAGATGAGGCGGATGTAACGGGTGCCTGTTCCGCTGTAGGTCGTTCTCCAGCTTGACGTTTCCTGGAAGCTTTGGCAGGCAGGAGCGGGGACGACGCGACGACAACGACACTTGCGTTCGCTCCTACAATTTTCATGGCCTCTGCGGTACTGGGCTTGTACTGGGCGAGTGCAGTGATGGAAGTGCTGCGCCATTTACTTGAAATTGCGCCATCATGGAAAGTATGCTACATCTTGCGCCAAAATGCTACTTTTGCTCAGAATTTGGCCACACCTGCTCCGAGACGTGCTTCGGCAAAGCAAAAAATAACAATATGTCATTATTGGTTGCCCTTAATGTTCGAAGAAGTAGGAGGAAAGAACAAAGTGGTACAAATATATGTATTTCACAGCGTCTCTACACACCGTAGAGTTTGTTTTATGTTAGGACAGAACACAGTCAAAGGCTCGAACATGTGCAACCTCGAAGGCGCATATTTAAAGTGCAAGTTAGAAACATTCGCGGCGCTCCACTTTGTCGATGAAAGAACACGTGTGCAGGAAGATGGACGAATGCCACGATGTCGCGCTTTGATGCTGTTTGGTTAATTCCATTGGCTCGCATCCTCGGGCTGTGCTTTGAATTATTGTGAAATGAAGCATACAAATTGCTCGTCTACCGTGCTTGCCGGTTGATGGGCTGGCGGGTTGATTGCCAATTAGGTCCCAGTTAAAATTTCCGTAAGATGTGGGCGACGTCAGGAGCTAAAATTTACGAGAAAAGACTGCATAAGATGGTAGGATGGCGGCTGCATGTGATAAGACAGAACCAGGGTCTTGACCCCTGATGAGAACGATCATGTCTGCCGCACGCCTCGGTGCCACCTCTCAGCAAGTCTCACCAGCGTGTGCGCGTCGGGCTTCACCGCTTTGCACCCAAGTGCTAGGAGCAGTAGCTGACACGGGGGAGCGCCTGGGTCAGCACGATGGGCTCGGAAATTATGCTCAGCACTATTGCAGGTCTACCTACTTTGGTCTTGATTCTAGGTTAATCACTCGTTAAAAAAAGAAGAAAAAAAAAAAAAGAAGAAAAAAAGAAAAAAGAAGAAATATGCATTAAGAAAGAAAGAAAAAAAAAATCTGGATTTATGTTTGAGTCAAGGTTGTTACCGTGCAGCCGTCAATAGAAACAGCATTGATATTTGACTTCAGCCTGGTTTCAAAGCTGCTAAGAAAACAGTGCCACTTTTAAAGCACAAGCGTAGCTTTTCATCATATTTGTGGGGGATCTTTTTTATTTTTTAGCTTATATTATTAGGGCCTTGACTATGGTAGGTTCACAGAACTTGGGCTATGCGTTAAATTTTTATTGATTGACGTGTGACGGATTTTCTGGTTCTTGGTGGCATTTTAAAAAACATGTTTACGGAATAAATAAACTAACGAGTGTAAAATGGGGAGGGGAGAAGGGTTGGTATTCCAACTGAAGGGTTGCGCTATGCTTTATTATTCGACAATTGTTTTAGTAACCATCGTAAGTGGAATCTACTAAGACCAAAGCCTTATTTCTAAAAAGAAAGCTCTTGTGTTCTTTTGGCGTCCTATCTACTCTTATTACCAAAACTAGTAAATAATATGCACCAGTAGCCAAGAGAAACCGTCAATTATAATCATAGATGCACTATTTAGAGATGCAATCACTTTTTTTTATTTTCAAGTGATCTGATAACCGTTGTTGGCGTCCACTCCAGACATGTCAGTGGGTGCTCCAAACCAATATTTTGCCCGCTACTGAACGTGCTACAAAAGGTCAAATGCTGCTTCCATCACTGCGAGTGTCATTTCACCGAAAACACAACCGCCAAATATGATCGAAGTCGTGGTAATTGAAGGCATGCACACAATATTAAAAATAGAAAAGAGATATGATACTCATTTTTTGTGGCTTCTAAAAAGCTGCAAATACGTTGATTGGAAACAAAGATGTTGCACAGCCACGTGACTTCCGCCAACTCCCTCCTCCTCTATATTTCTTCTTCCTCCCCAGTCCAGTTTTGGTTTTGAGCAGTTGCATTTTTTGTCTTTATTAAAAATAGACGTTATGCAGTAGCAAAATATTGATTGGGTAGTCTTCTGACCTCATAATAAAGTGCCTGGCAAACAATTAAAAAATAAATCTTGGGGATTGTCAGTGTCCTTTTAAGGTCTACAGAAACGCATCTCCCGTTGTTCCGCAGTCTCCTCGGCACGTTGCCATCGCTGCGCCTTGGCACGCTTTCGCTTGAGACATTCCTTGTCTGACAAGCGTTGCGCCTCACCAACTCGATTACAACATCTGAAAAAGCTCCTCTCCCACAGAGAAGAAGTACTTTCAGACCACACAATCTCTCCACAGCAGCCAGTGCTGGCTTCATTAGTTACAAACCAAAAGACAGACAGAAAACTGCAGAAGGTTTGCTCAAAAATAGTATCTCATTCGGAAGTCGTTGCTCGTTCCGGTGATCGTTGCCGGTAAGCATGCCGGCCGGTGCTGCGTCCGCTTGTCTCTTTGAACAAGAGGGGGCAATCCTCTGTGCAAGCGTCGCAGTGCTTCCTTCTGCCATAGGAGTCCCTGGAGAAGAGCGGCTACCTCACCAAGCTCGGGGGAAAGCTGAAGACCTGGAAGAGGCGCTGGTTCGTGCTCAAGAACGGTGCTCTTCGCTACTACAAGTCTCAGGTGAGCTTCCCGTTTGAACATAGAATACGTCACTGGTAGGGTTCCCTCTTTTTGGGGTTTATTTCTTTTCGAATAGAGGGGGTGTTTTCTTTGGGGGGGAGGGGGGGAAGAGGGAAGTTTGTTTCTACAAATTTGGTTTTTAGGGTCGGACACTAAATCAGTGTTTTCTGGAAGACACGGGCCCCGCCTCTTTATAAGAGAAGAAAACGAGATCAGGGGCATGGTTTGCGAAGAAAGCAGCAGCCTCGCAGACTGTGGGCTGTATTCTGCGTCGCCATGGAATGAGGATATTTCATCTCGTGAGGCCAGGCTTTTTCTCATTTGAGGATAGCTTTAATCCAGGCTTTTTCAGTTTTCCAGGATTTTCATAAGACCAGCTTGGGGGTCATTCTCTGGGGTTTATCAGTATAATACTGAAAACACCAAACCCTAATTACAGGGGAGGGCTAGGCACTTTCTCAGCAGTATGAAAAAGCCTTATGAAAAAAAGTCATATTTTTTTCCCACAATCTAAAAAGATACGAAGGCGATAGCTGTTGCACAGTTGTGCAATGCGGGTGGAATGGTGCCGTCGCATACCCGGGGACGGAGGAACGACGTGGTTATTTCTCATGGCCGTCATGGTTGGCGTCATGGATGCCACGGACGACTGCCGTTAGATTGCAGTGATCCGTGAAGTGGGTAAGCGCGGTGGAAGTTTCTAAGAGGCAGCGACTATTTCGACGTCTACTTTTGAAATAATTGCAAATACTATTTCGACGTCCGTGACACCACTTGCTGAAGATGTGAAGATATTTTAAAAATCATTTTAATGCCCCACATTGAAATATTTCTTTATCCTTATTTTGACCCCTCAAACTTAGAAATTTGGAGCTTCGGAGTTTGTACTGGAAAGTGATTGAAAGTAACGGTCAAACAAACATTTTGCTTGTGGGGAGCGTTGCGGTTCAACGCATATTTTCCGAAAAACATTTGTGCAGCCGACTGCAGTTTCTATGACCTTTTAAAATGCTGTGGAATGCAAAAAAAAACAAAAAAATTCTCTAAGTATGTCAGCTATCAGGCCGCACGTAACGTTTTGTTGGTTGTGCCCAACATTACGGAATGTGGCACTGCTGCTTTTCATGATCTATTTCATTTGTTTTATATAGACAAAGGCGGACTCTTCTGTCATAAAATTTGCAGTTGATTGGAAAATGTGTGTATCTTGTACCATTGTGCCAGGACCTTCGTTCGTTCGCACCGGTCAAGAAACATCAAGGACGTAGTTTGCGTTTGCAACCTTTTATTTAAGATCCCGATTGTTTCCCAATTAATCGGCTCAATATACACAAACGAAACTGGAAATCTAACCTAAACAACAAACTCACGAAATGTGGTCAAAAACAGGGCGGGAGTCAGATGCAGAGCGAGACTGCAACCATATGAAGGCGCGCTCGCACGATACGAGAGTCGTACGAGGGAGAAATGCGCATCAGACAGTGACTGCAGACATGTCTTTTGAATAACATATTAGCGGCAGGATTGCAGCCTAGAAGCACGCCTCTGAAACATCTCGTCTTCTCTATCCCCAGAATCCCAAGGGGGGACTCTGGGGATGCCCATGGCGATGAGGCACAAACGCATTCTCGTGCCGGTTTCAGGGTGACACGGCGAGGAAGCCTCGTGGCCAGATCACGCTGGATGACGTCTGTCGGGTGACTCGGTCGGAGGGTGCTGCCACGTTCGAGGTGAGTGCCCCATCACCAGTCTTTTGCTTAGCAAAACTTCGCCGTAACTCGACCCGCAACCCGACTTCACGACGTGTCACGTGGCACCGGGTTACGCGATGCCCCGACATTGTGCAACTTGACGTCACCCAGCGTCGAGTCGCAGTGTCGCGTAATTTCGTCCCCGTCGCGCAACGTGACTCATAATGGCACCAGTCACGAGACCACGTGACCGGTAGTGGCGTCCTGTTGAATTTAGCGAGGCATTAGCCTGCTAAATATGTAATAATAATACGCTAATTTCAGCGGGAGCGGCATGCTCTGACTTGCAAACTGCGAGTCAGAGTTGTTTGCTTTATGAACCAGCCACTTATTTCGCATATCCGAATTCGAAGTAAACCAGCATACCTATATGGGTGTTGAATATCATCTGAGATTTTAAGGTATGTTTTATAACTTCACAGCTTCTAGTTTCAGGCATGGAATAAGCTGCAAAGGTTTTTATTGAACGACATATTCACTCCGAGGCTCTGCGCGTAGTCATTGAAAGTCTCACTTTCCTACTTTCCTTCTCTGGTCTGTTGCATGTTTAGAATAGTAGAACTAACTCCTACCAAAGCTCTCTGCTCACTGTGGTCGCTTTCTTCCCCACTCTCCAACTCTGCTAAATAGGAAGGCTTTGTTGGCAGAAGCCTGTCCCACTATTTTTAGTTCGCAGCTGTCTGTGTACGCTAAATTTATGCGTTGCCCTGCACCGGGCGACAACCATGGTTGTCCGCGGTAGAGTTTGACGGGGCAACTGTGGCTCGCACCGCAGATTGCGACCGGGAAGCGGTCCTTCTACCTGAGTGCGGAATCGACGTCCACCATGGAGGAGTGGGTGAAAGGTGAGGCCGCATCACCGTCCCACCGCGTCTCTTTGTCGACGGGTCGCACCAGCTTGAGGCAAAGGGGATCGTAGATTTAGCGCGGCAAGCGAGTCTGCGGAATTTTAGCTGCATTTCTTACATTTCGGGGGTGTTTTGTTTATGAAGGAATGCCCATCTCCATTCCTCGATAGCGGAAGGCAGGGGCTCCGGAACCGGGGGGTGTCCGCCCCCCTCATGTTTTTTTTGTAGGGGTCATGCCCCCCTGTCGCTGAAGGCTGACCCACAACCCTCCCTTAATGTAGTCAGAGCAACATGCTACCGCACCTTCCAAGCTTGAAGCAGAATAAGATAGGACAGCGACGTTTTGTCGGGACGAGAATTGGTAGTGAAGCTGATACCCCTGTTAAGTGCTGGAGTAAACGTTTCTTCTGAGCCAACCTTGAGGCGCACGTATTGGTCACATCTTAATCACTGGCAGCGGGATGGGGACAGCTTAGGAAAGGCACCTTTCTACCATTCCTTGTCATCGGAAAGGAGGGAGGAGGCCTCCCTCCGGCTCTGGATAAGCCTCCCCAAACGTAAAGCCTTTTGCCGCGGGAAATTGGTCTCTGGCAGAGCGCTTCGACGAACAGCAGTCCGGAGCATATGTCCTTGGAGGGACTGCACACTCTCTTTGACGAGTTTTGCTTGGGATCGGCTCTTTCAAGCTCAGCCATGCCAATACCGTGTCAATTAAGCGCACTTATCCCATGATGGCCGGAGAGGGTTCAGAGCTGGCCTAGCATGGGAGGCGCCCCTTGAAGTTTCTGCACGACGCCTAGACGCGAAAAGCATTTCTGCCATCCGTCAATCATTTTCATACTTTTGTTCGGTGTGACAGGAGAGGCCACGGAAACGCTCCTGTGTGCTAGAGATTTTGAAGATCTCTTTTTGTTATTCAGAAAAGATTTCGGCTAAACAAAGGTCGCTGCCTCCATTTCGGTTTTTCCGCGCGTACAATCTTCAAAGTTGGGGGGGGGGGGGGGGGGAGTCTGCACTGCAAGGATGTGAGCCTTGACCCCCGCCCCCCCCCGATCAGAATTGACTTTTGGAGCCCCTGGTGGAAGGACCCGTCTAGCTTTCGGTATCGACGGGATAAAGCGGTGCAGGGGCCTATGGACCCTGTAGACTGTGATGCCGAGGTTGAGGAGCGTTTGGTGCGTAAGTCGCGCTTCAGTCGTTAACTCAGATCTTCTGAAATAGGGCTCGAACTGGGGAACCCTTTGGGGTACCCGGGCGGAGGTTTTTGTCACGGCCTCGCCTGTTAAAGTCGCAAATTCCGCCGACTGTATTTTCAACTGGATAGCTGCGGTGTCATGCTTCCAAAGCTTGTAATGCGAAACGTGTTTTAGGGCTGGCTTCGAAGCCCAGAGCGTCGGGAAATGTTGTAACGAAAGTATGATGATGCGGCCGGTCGTCTTTACGAAAGACTGCGTCCCCCGGCGGGATTAGAACTGCTGACCTCCCGCTTAGCGATTCAATACCTTGTCCTCCTCGCTAGCGGAGTGACTTCGATTTGAGTGGTTATAGTTTCTATATGTGCGTTCGTGTTGCCGCGGTAACTTTGCTCCCCAACGGTGGGAGACGAGCAGAGACGAGGGTTGCACCTCTCTTCTCATCTCCTACTTTGCCCTCCACTCGACGTATTATACCGAGGCAGGAGAGAGCATTGCTCTTTTCCTTGTGACAGTTTGCAATATCGAACGATCGTTCCACATCTAACAATATGGAACGATAGTTGTAGCGATTGGATGAGTACTTGACGAGAAAGATAAGCGTGCGGAGTGAGCTACAGGAGTCAACTCCGAAGGTGCCGGGCTCTCGCGGCACCGTGTGGCGGTGCCACCGCAAGTCGTAAAAGGCGCCAAATTCAGAACGCCGCTGTAACATTCCGAAAGGTGACCCGCCTACGAAACGGTTTGTACACAATTTTCTGTTCTTAGAAAAACGGCAGAAGGCGACGTCAAGTGGACCCGTGCAGCGGAGTAGATGACCCGAGCCTTGAGTGCTCTGGCACTTTTTGCAAGTTGCAATGGCCGAATAAATGGAGACCTCACTCCGTCCTCGGGGCCCCCAAACTGGGCTCCCGGGAACCCAGGGGCCTCTCGGAGTGCCCTCGGGGCCCGAACTCCCGAATTTCCTCGACTGTTCCCAGCCCCGAGTAAAGTGTTTTCTCGGTCTCTCTCTTAGCAGATGCAAGCCAGCCACAGGCTGGCTCGCATCTGGTTTCAGGAACGCGACGGCGGAAACGTGAGGCCGTCGCATTCTTGAAACCAACACCGTCGAAGTTGACCGACTGACGTTGTTTGATTATTCTTGTCGATGAAGGTGGTATAATACGACTGAAGGACACCGATCCTCCTAAAAGGTTATAGTGCCCATTCGGCCAATCGTGGCTTGCCGTGGCGACACCTTTGCTTCGTCTGCCAACTGCTAAAAAAGATAATTGCACCCTTGGAAGAGATAAGGTTTGCCTCCTCTTTTGGAGGTCAGCGGATGCCCGTGCAGGGCAGGTAGGGTTTCTAGAGACCGAAAATTGTAAGAAGCCCTGTTCCAAATCGTACGACGCTTGCGACGTGAGCTGGTCGTTTCCCGAACTTGTCCACGAGTGTCCCCCGCTCTCTCTCCACCCTGCAGTGCTTCAGTGTGTCCTTCGTCGCAATGCAACGCGTCTCCTGCTGAGCAAGGAGGACCACAAGCCTGCCATCGACGGCTGGCTCACCAAGGTCGGTGTCTTCTCATGCTTTCTGCCTTCTTTGCAAGGCCGTGGACAGTGACCTGCGGTACTCGCACGAATCTAGGATGACCTTTTACAGCAGAGCTGTTAAGGGCTAGTTTCCCCAAAATCGTGCGCCCCGCAAAAAAATGAAGACACCAAACTCTGGACACCTACCGCCATCTATGAGCGACGGCTGCAAGCCACGTATCTGGCTGCTTTCGTTGCTTATAGATGGTGGCAGCCTTTCTACTCTGGCTTGCCGACTTGCGGCCGGCCATTTCTTTCTTTTCTACAGCTCTGCTGGTCTTCCTTCTTCACCAGAGGGGAAAGGCTGAAAGTTTTTTTTTCCAAAAATGCGCAGTGCCGTTGTTTTCTGTCCTTTTTTTTTTTTTTTCAGGGTGTCTGATATATTGCCATCTTGTGAGTCTAGTCTGTAGCGGGCAGTTTCGTAAAGCCAGTTTTTTTTGTTAAAAAAAAGAGCAAAATGTAAAGGAAAAGGGCTGAAAAGTGAGGACATCCCCTCCCTCTGCAAATTCAGTGAGTGTGGATGTTTTTTTTTTGTGCCTCAGTTTCAGACCTTACTCATTTTAAAAGGCTAATATTGTAAAAAAGGTTTGGCGTTTTGGAAAATAACTGTACTTGTAATTTAAAAAAAGTTCAATGTAATGATGCCTCCAAGCCTTCTGCTTGGCCATCTTGTTTTGGGATTTCGATGCATGTACAGGTGTAGAGAAGCCGCCAAGGGATGTGGATTTATTGAGCTTTGTTGGTAACTAGGTAGAACTTAAGCTGAACATATGTTTCAGTCTGACAACCCCTTTGTTGAAATTAGAATATGTACCATATTTTCTGATGTATAAGTACTGTGCCTATGGGGGTACCGAGCAGAAAATCGAATGCGAGCTACATCGAGCCACGCTGCTCAATGGCACTCGTGCAAGGGTCACGGTACCTACTCTCACGGTGCAGAAAATAGGTACTCAAAGACGTAAATGATCATTTTCGTTAATCTACTAAAGTTTGAAGATTGGAGTGAATATACAGTGTAGACCGCATATAACGTATGTCTCGGGAGTCGCGAAAATCCGCACTATAAGCGGTACCGCACTATAACCAAAACATCAATTTTTCAGGCCAAAATACGTGCCATGAGACAACTTACCTTTGTAAAAGAATTTATTTTATGTTAGATGAAAAAATAAGCTTAGTTTGAGGAAAGTCTTTATTTCAATAGACGAGCACAGTTATGTCTCAAGTGTGTCACACATTTTAGAAGAAATTAGCGGCTTTTGCCTGGCGCAGCCTTTTAACGGCGTCGCGGGTTGCGGACGGACGTTGCGAGCGTTCAGGATTGCTAACCCTAATCACTTTTCGCCGATGAAAGCGCGTGAAAATTCGCATCCTTCATACGGTACGCGTCAGTAATAACTTGAACTTGAGCACACGCATGAAATGCGCCAAATAAGAAATCCGGGCGATGTTCGAGGACACAAATGCTTAGAAATCACCACTGTAGTCGAAGTAAACAAACACGACGACACAGGCGTTTCTGCCGTCTTGAGAGCGCCGCCACGACATCGCCGACATCGCCGCACGAGTAGGTGGATCTTCCCTTCTAGTGCGTGCTGGGTTATCATAGCGACACACAACGAAAATTCACAGTCAAGGATAGCGCTTTTACGCAGAACGATGAGATGCACGCCGTCTACGACGACGATCACAACCGACGCCTTGTTTGCGGAATAGAAGCAGCCGGCCCGTGACCGGCACACCGTCATGCAACGCGCGCGAACACTTCTCCTCGACCTGCGATTGGTCTGTCGTTGCGGTTGTTTGTTTCTTTGTTTCCAACGCAGCGGAGGGACGCACGCACGTGAACGACTCGTGCGTGCGTCCCTCCGTCGCTATGGCAACTGAAGCCTCTCTCTTCGCTTCTCCCGCGTTTTCGAGTAACCTCCTTGCCCCGCGAGTGCAGCTTGTGGCTCGCGCCGTCAGCGCCGTTATCTAGTGTCGCACAGGGAAGCCAGCTCGCTGCTCCGGTCGTCGGCGCGGTCGGCGGGCTGTGCCGAAAACCGCACTATAACCGGTATTTCCCTTCGCGCGCCTGCATTTTAAGCGGTATGTAATTACATGGAGTTCTATGGGAGGTGAACCGGTGGTTTAAAAAAACCGCGTTATACCCGGTCCTGCACTATAAGCGGTTACGTTGTAAGTGGTCTATACTGTAATATGTAAAATAAAAGTAAAGGTATGCAATGGTGTCTCGCAGGATGGAGGGAACACTATCCTTGCTTAGGCAGGAACAATCTCTTGCGAGCTGAGTGACTTCTTCGTTGATGATGTGAGAGCAATGCTGCACGATGAATTGTTCTTCAATGTGGAGTTCACAAATCACTGACTGGGGCTGAAATTCTTTGCTCCCCCATCGAAGCATGATCTTCAATTTCCGAAAAAGTTCAGGATCTTTGGGCACAGAAGTTAATCTCACTCTCGATCCTTGTCTCGCAGACCTGCAGCCTGTCTTGCAGAGCGGCGCAAAGCAGATGGTGTCCTTCTTGATCTTCATTAAAAATGGGAGAATGTCGTCCATCGTAGCCGAGGAGTACCGACGAGACTCTTTACATTTTAGTGACTAGAAATGAGCTATCTATGTGTATGTGGGAACAAAGCAACAGCCCGAGAAGAAAGAATCGGAACAAAAGTACAACACTGTAATTCAAAATCACGTTCCAGAATGCCTTGCAGCATAATACGCTGCGGAAGCTACAAGTGCGAGGCAGTTGTTTCGAACAGCGCTTGCATTGCACGAATGCACTTGCATGACGGGTCTTGCATGGTCAAAGCAGCATAGACACACCATGCCACTTTGAGCGAGAATGCTCCGGTACCCTGGCTGCAGCACCACTTTTGTTGTCATGAAGCACCTGGAACTAACCAAGAATGCAGAGCGCTTGATACACCTACCTCTAGAGGCACCGTAGTATAAGTCACATTTTTGTTTTCAAAACTTTCGTCGATGCGTTTTATGTATTGGTGTGACTAATACTTTTTTTAAAAATGAGTATGAACTAGCTGTACAAGATGTAGGCTGCACAGACATTTACGACAAAAGAGGGGCAGAGTACCTGCCGACGACTCACTGTTCCGACAGTCTGGAGGTGGTCTGAAGTGTGGCAGCTTAGATTCACGGTTGACATAACTTTGTAGCACATAACTTCATAGCTTTTCGAGAGTTCCAGCCTCTGGGGTCAACTTCTGGTTGCCACATTTGCTTTTCTCGCTTTTGTAGCGTGGGTTACACTGGCCGAGGTTGAGCAGTTTCACGTGGCTCCCAAAGAGCCGTGCTGCGCAAGCACGAGGAGCAGTGACATCGCACGGTGCACAGCTGGCGCGCCGGAGATGCCGTCGCCGCGTGCTTCTGGCCGGTCTGCGCATTCCAGAGGAGTGACGTTATAGTTGCGGCAGACGCACTGGCGCCGCCTTGTGCCCGGCTGTGCGCCTCCGTTGCGCAGTAGCCAAGTCTGACGCTGCACCCGAGCCGCTTGATGGCACCTCTCATTTTGTGCGCATAAGCTCACGTTACGTATATCCTGGCATAGCCAAGCTAAGCCACCGCAATTTTTTTTAATGCCTCGCAAACTCTACACTGGCGTTGTGCACCACTACGGTGCAGTCCACTTATCGCGATACTGTCGAGACCGGTTATAACAAAGTCAATGGGAATCGAAAATCATTTCGCTATATTTGCTATTTTGTTATAACCGACTGGTTATAACAAAGAGCAAAAGGGAATGGGATGTTGTGATTGCTTTGCTGTAGCTGCTATTTCATTATAACCAACTTTGTTATAACCGGTCTCGACAGTACCACATACAGTGATGTACCGCTTATAACGATCATTTTTTAGAGTTTCTAGACTAGACATGATCAGTTTCTAGCCCAGATACAACGATAATTGGTTATAACAATTGAATTTTCGGGTTTTCTCTTTATCATTATAAGTGGATTGCTCTGTAGTACCGTAAAATTTTATATGAATGCCCTCCCTGGAGAGATTGCCCATCCCATTTTTCTGGCTAATTATCCGTAGCTTAAAAATTCCAAAACCCATGCCAATCCCCGATTCCCGACGGATGAACCACGCGATTTGCGGTATCACTAGATGTGACAAGTGAGCTTGCAGCAAGTTCCCGCATGTTTATCACACCATTGAATGTGGTTCTGCCGTGTCCACGACCTGCAGTATCGGTTCCTGTGCCATGTGGTTGAAGCAGGTGCCATGGTGTATATCGGTAATTTTTTAGAGCGCAGCTCTTAGGGGCCCGTTTCCGGCTTGAGCGGCGTCGCCGTTGGCGTCGGCGTAACCGCGCGGTGCATCATGGGAAATGTCCCATAATGCACCGCGCGAGCCCCCCACCGGGGTCACGTGACTTCGTGGGGGGGCACGTGACCCCCCCGAGGTCACGTGACCCCCTGAAGTCACGTGACTCCCCTGAGGTCACGTGACTCCCCTGAGGTCACGTGACCCCCTCCTCGAGGTCACGTGACCCCCTCCTCGAGGTCACGTGACCCCCCGAGGTCACGTGACCTCCGCCGATGTCGCGTGGCCCCCCGATGACGTCATCGACACTGATGACGTCACCGGCATCCACATCGTCATCGTCATCATCACTGATGACGTCATCATCAGTGATGATGACGATGACGATGCGGATGCCGGTGACGTCATCAGTGATCATGACGATGAAGATGTGGATGCCGGTGACGTCATCAGTGATGATGACGATGACGATGTGGATGCCGGCGACGTCATCAGTGATGATGATGTCATCAATGATGATGACATCATCAGTGACGATGACGATGTGGATGCCGGTGACGTCATCAGTGATGATGACGATGTGGATGGCGGTGACGTCATCAGTGATGACGATGACGATGCGGATGCCGGTGACGTCATCAGTGATGATGACGATGACGATGTGGATGCCGGTGACGTCATCAGTGATGATGACGATGACGATGTGGATGCCGGTGACGTCATCAGTGATGATGACGATGACGATGTGGATGCCGGTGACGTTACCGACATCCGCATCGTCATCGTCATCATCACTGATGACGTCATCAGTGACGTCACTGATGTCGTCACCGGCATCCGCATCGTCATCGTCATCATCACTGATGACGTTGTCAGCGACGTCACTGATGACGTCACCGACATTCGCATCGTCATCGTCATCATCACTGATGACGTCATCAGTGACGTCACTGATGTCACCGGCATCCGCATCGTCATCGTCATCATCACTGATGACGTCGTCAGCGATGTCACTGATGACGTCACCGACATCCGCATCGTCATCGTTATCATCACTGATGACGTCATCAGTGACGTCACTGATGTCGTCACCGGCATCCGCATCGTCATCGTCATCATCACTGATGACGTCGTCAGCGACGTCACTGATGACGTCACCGACATTCGCATCGTCATCGTCATCATCACTGGTGGTCATCAGTAACGTCACTAATGACGTCATCGGTACCCGCATCGTCATCGTCACTGATGACATCATCAGTTACGTCAGTGATGACATCATCGGCATTGGGGGTCACGTGACCCCCAAGGTCACATGACCCCCCAAGGTCACGTGACCCCCCTGGTTAGTCTAACCCCCCCCCAGCGCCCTTCCCTCCTCCTCCTCAAGAGCTGCGCTCTAATTCGGCGTTACAGGGAGTTGTAAGCGGCTTTCACTTTTTATGAACTTTGGCAATCTCATTTTCAAAGATATCCATCCCGACATTTTTCGCCATTTATGTCTTCAAAATGGGTGAGTGCATTTAATGGGATTTTACGGTAGATGGTTGTATTGGTTTCATCGCAACATGCCGCCGCCAAGGTCTGGGAAGGGCCACACTGCAAGATTCAGGTTGAACGTTATTGCATGTGTAGCCGAAAACAGAAATGGGGCTGCAAGAAAACGCTTCAACGTTGGTGAGAAATCGTGTGTGACTGGCTACTGGCCGTGACTGGCTTACTGGCTGGTACATTGAAACAAATTTGCCGCGGTGATTATAGTATTTTCTTGTTTGATCCACTGGCAAGAATATTGACAGCAGTTCCCACCCGGGCATATATCGTGATCACAATATAGATATGCGGGCCGATCAATGTGGTTTTGGCCCACCGACCGTACTGAAAAATGCGACTTATACAAAGGTGCAATTTACGGGCCAAAAAATATTGTAAATGGCCCGCTTTTAAATGGCCGATATTTCGATGGTGTGAGCTAGCTACGCTTAAAATCTCTACATCTTGTGAGCTTTTTTATGGCAGTGCAATTTGAGTGAGCCTCACTAACTGAAAACCATTTATAAAACTTTTGCCTTTTTTAAGGGAGTTGCAATGTATAGCCGTATTGTTGTTCCTTTCGATACCGTTATATTTGTGGTCTTAACCAAAATTTTGGCAGTGGCATGTATGCCACACTGTCTTTCGGATCGCAAGTGATGGTGATGGTAGCGACGATAGGTCAAGACGTTTAAGTCAAATCATAACGTTTATTGTTTCAGTGAACTCTATTTCTGTCGAGATGTCATCGGTCAATCTGACACGCAGGTGAAGCACGGTCATTCGAGGCGTTGCTGGTGCTCTCTGATTGGCCGGACGTTCCTGTACTTCAAGACGCCCAATGACATGGTGAGCCGTACCTCTCAGCTCGGTGTTAGGCTCAGGGGTTTTTCTGTTGCTCACGTCTGCAATACTGACACTTAAAGAGCCTGTTCGAGCACCTTTCGGTTCCCACATAACATTCTTGAATCGCAAACCTTCCCCTCGTTTCTTTAGTAACTAAAGTAAAAATGGCTCTTTAAGTTTTCTGCCTGGCCTCCGATTGCTTTGTATAATGTTCCGAGTCACTTTACGTGTTCAATGCATTTTCATTTGGTCTCAAGTAAAATCTTAGGGCTATCAAATAATACACAAAAAAGTTAAATACATTTTGATTTGATTAAGAGTGAGCTCTAAAGGTTATAAAATGTGAGAAATATCACAACAGAGTTCACTTCTGCTACCAGAAAAGGCATGCGACTGTTACTGCCGCATTCGGCTCCGCTGCCGCGATACTGCCGGGATCGCGGCCAAGGATGACGCAGCTCTTTTTGATGACGTCCTTGGGTGGAAATTGAGGAGTTCCTTTTTATGACGCAGTAAACTTGCCGGTCGAAGATGTGTTCTGGGCATCATGACATCAGTAACTCAAACATTGCCTGTAAAAAAAAATACAGCTACGGAAACAAAATGAAAAAGGCACGGGTAGACGCAGGTATAGAAGCGGGTTTTTGGATGCACTCAAATGAGTCTCGCAACTAAAAAAGAATTGAGGTAAAAAAAAAATTTTTTTCTCTTTTTTTGGGGCAGCAAGTTTATTTTTGTGACATACATTCGGGCACTTACATTTTTTATTTGTTTGTGTTTGTGCGAGTTGAGTGCCATTTTAAGGGGAGACGCAATCAGAGCTCTTCGATGTAAAAAAAATACAAAAAAAAAAAAAAAACAATCACATTTTTTAAATTTTGTTTTTGAAGATTGACGGGCACTCATCAAAGAATAGTAAATGGGTCTTTGCATGTTTTTACCTGTTATTTGAGAATGAACATTTTACACACTTTGCTGTTTTATAAAAGCCATATCCCATCCAATATTTCTTATTTATTCTTTCCTTGATAGGTATATAAGCGAGGTATCTAACGAGGGGTCGACATATGTTAAATATGGCATCTGTCTCTTTAAAACCTTCCTCTACCTTAGCAAAAAAAAAAAAAAAAAAGTTAAGACTGAAAAACTTAAAAGTGTTATTAAAAACATATAAATCATCCTAGAGGGGTTCTGCAGACCGTTCAGGTTACAGAGACACATTTTTTTTTTTTTATTATTTCAGTATTTAAATTTGTCTTAATGCTGTGCATAATCTTTACAAGCGAAAATTTCAGTTTCAACAGAACTCTAACTAAGGTATATCAAATCCGAGTACATATCTGTAGTCAGGCTGCGAAGGGAGATGAGCCACGCAGGTTTAACTCTTACGGGGTCGCAAGTCACATAGAAAGCCCCGGAAGCGGCGCTCCCCGTGGGGTCATGTGGGCCGTGGCCGACCGTCCTCGGACCCGTGTGCAGACACCCCTGGGCCAGATCAGCATGCGGGAGGTGCGGGTGGAGGAAGTGGTGCACGTGTCGGACTCGGACGAGGAGGGGTCCAGCCGGGAGGGCCCTGTGGGGCGCTCCGAGTACACCGTAGGCATCTTCCCGCCCCACCAGAGCCCCACCTACCTGCTCATGGCCAGCAAGCAGGAGCTGGTAGGTGCCCGACACCACACGGCACGTACAAATGGGTGCCAGTTGCGCTCATTCGTGTTTGTCTCGGCGTCTTTCTTGTCTCGGCGTCGTCGTTTTCAATCCGTCGTGGCACAGCTTAGTTAAAGGGAACACGAAATGATTTTTCCATTTCTTCCTCTAGCTCCTCAACTCATAAGCGATATGAAAAGTCACATAATCGTGACGTGTTTGGGCATCGGAGGCGGCGACTCCAAGCGTCCACCGTGCTTTTTAAGCACACCATGGAACGTTTCATTCGCAAGCAATGACAAGTGCCGTCACGGCACTCATTGACCATGAACGCGGATTAAAATATCCGTCGACGGATTGATTGTTGACGAGCGCATACACCCGAGTGACACAGTGCTTATTTCCAATGCGTGAGCTAGGTTTGGCTGACATACTTGACGAAGGCTTTGCAGTGAAAAGGAGGAAAGCTTTCAAAGGAAAAGAGGTACGAAATAGTCCGCTATATTTTCGAACTTTCTTACCGAAAAGCGGGCTTTACGCTTTCTACGCTTGTGAAGTAGTTTTTTTTGGCGCAGCAAGCAATATGCGATTAGTAAAATTCCAAGTTATCCCAGCCGAAAATTCATTTCATGGTCCCTTTAAAGTAAAGATGGGCCATTAATTCATCAATTAGTCAAAGATCAAATCAGATTTGTCAGTCAACCGATTAACCAATCAATAAAATCAATACATAAGACACTTGACTCAATTGATCGGAAGCGAATCAGACAGATTATTTATTCGTCGCATTGTCAGTTCAGATCTCCGTTTAAATTTCTTCCAAGACCTCCCACACGTTGTAATGCTCAAGGAAGATGTGGGTTGACATTGTACTCTTTCATTGTTTCAATGTCCACGATTACGTGGCTCAAAAACTCAACGTTAAATGCATCACTTCTCTGTGGCTGTATATCTAAGTAATCTTATTTCAGAAAAAAAAAAATGTGTACATTGTGTGCAAAACAAAAATACAAAGACAAAGAGAATGTAGGCAGAACAAACGTTTCAGTGCTTTTGCAGTCTACTTCTCTTTGTTTGCCTTGGTTGTTTTTTGGGGGCGTCTACATTCATGCAAGTGGACGTAGCCAAGTCGGGAGGATGAACGACTCCCACCCCTTGCGCTATGTCACTTTCGGAACTGGAAGTTCCGAAGGTGACATATCTCCTTGTTTTTGTTACGGCCAGGCAGGAATTGACTTCCGGTTTGGTCTCCTTTGTTTTGTTTGACCCGCTTTGCCATATGTGTTCAACATTCTTTCCTGTCCAGAGGGCTGTTCACAAATGGTTTTGTGCAAGTCATTTAGAGTTGTTTGAAGTGGTCCCTTAACATTTTCTGATTTGGTGACTGCTTTCCATGCAGAATATACGTATCTAGTGTATCTGTGGATATTTTTAACTTGAATCTCTTCATTTGTTTGGTCATCAGTGCACTAGAACGCTTGCACCTCCGACATGCCTCGTGCTTAGGTTGCCGGTGATTCGATGGTTAATTACATCGATATATTTCCCATCGAAAACTTGAGTGGCTGTTGAAGTGCTGGCGTTTAGTGACACGAGGATCGCAAACCTTTTTTCCCAGGTGTCTGACGTCCTGTCCGATTTCGACACTGTCATTTTGCACGTTGGCACCAACACCAGCGTTAGTGCTAGCGTGTCGTTCGATAAATATAGCCGGCTGCCCGTGAGATCTCGCAACTCAGTCCAATGATGCAGACTGCCTCTTCTGCCCTTTTTCCGAAACAAGAGAGCATTGAAGTGGCAGAGTAGGCACAATCAGGCTTTTGTGCCTGTGGAACAACATGCCTTTTTTTATTGAATAATGGTTGAATGTTGCATCCTGGCTCATTTTCATAGCTGGCTTCTGTGCCGTTGAAGGCAGGAAAAGGTGTAATAAATTCCTTCCTCAATCTTCATTTGTTCAATATCCTCGATCAAATGCCCGGTGCAAGTACTTTGCCATCGAACCACTGGCAACCAAAACTCGAAGCACGTCCAATGTGCGACGTGCTAGTCCACAGATGTCCAAACATTTCAACTCCTTGAAGTTATAAACGTCTGTGGAAACACTAGGCATGTGTAACCTGCATGGAAAGATAGAAGCACTGAAGGAAACATTCGGAAAACGCTGCAAGTGCTAAAGCTGCTCCGAATTGCTCGGGCAAAGTCAGTTAGGAACAGCAGTCCGTCGAGCAATCGGAAGTCAATTTCTGCATTGATGTAGCAGAGTCGGATGGGGTGGAGGGTAGTAACATTCACGCCGGAGTGACGTTTATGCGTGGATGGAGTCGCTTTACCTGCGCGTGGACACAATCTCTGCCTCACTTCTTCATCCTGTGTACTCTCATATTAAGCATAAATCACGTTGTCCGCATCACTACTTTGAATCAGCTTCTTTCTCACTAAACTAGAAGTGTGCTTTCTGGTGTGGACGACTTGTTTGCTTTAACCAAAATAAAAACGCTGTAGGAGCACCGATTGCCCTAGCTGTCGTCCACTACCATTTCTTTGTCGAGTAAACCCCACGGCAGCACTCAATGCTATTTTCGATCTCCACAAAAATAGGTGCCTCTTCATTGTTTTTTTCTTAGGTCGATCAAATTGAGGGGTAGCGAACTGGGGGGTGTCCTGTCCCTGTGCAGGACACGTGGCTGTACCACCTGACAGTGGTGTCGTCCGGGGACAGCGTGGTGGGGACTCAGTACGAGCAACTCATGAGCAAGTTGATGGAGGTGGACGGAGACGAAAGTGAGTTCGACGGTACCCCGACATTCCTTATGCATTAGGTGGTCTTCTCAAGCCCGACGCCATCGGTTTTTTGCAAAGATTGCGAGGTGGTTGTACGTTGACTGGGGTTGTCTGTATTTCCGTAAAAGTAGGAGAGCTTGCAAGAATATTTTTAAAACTAGAACACACAATTTAAATTGCTGTGGAATTTTTTTTGGCTTAGCAAAGTTAGAAGTGTCAAGTTGATCTGGGCAAATGTTCGAAAAATTGCGTTACATTAGCAAGGGTTCTCAAACTGGGTTCCGTGGAACACAGGGGTTCCACGATTTGGGCTCATGGGTTCCGCAAACACCCAAATTGCATGTCCCCCGCCCGCCCCCCTAGCTTGACCTTTTACGGATTGAGTCATGGATTGAGCTAGTGTTGCAGGCAAAGCGACCTTACCCTTCGCACTAATATGTACATAAATATTTTACATTGTGCACTGGGTAATAAACTTTTGTTTACTATCTGAATGCCTTTATTGCTAAGTATTATCGGTTGCCAACAATGGGGAGGGGGGGGGGGGCAGTGATGTGATTGCTGCGCCAATTGCACCAAACTGTGCCAAGGGGCTAACCCTGCTACATCCTGCTACATTTTGCCAAAATATGGGTAAATCTGCGCCAAGCCTGCGCCAAAAGTTCAATTTTGGTCGTCTTTCAAAACCGAAACTAAACTGAGTACCATAATTGAGCATGCATGAGCTAGGTAGCGCAAGCGGCCGCCCAACAAGAAGTACCCTGTATCAATTGTCCATCCGGTCTTGCATAGTTTTTCCCGCCACCTCTCGTTTCACGCCCTCGTCGTTCACGTGTCTCGTTTCGCGTTTTTATTTTTTTTTTTTAATTTCAACGATAGACGCGGGTGTGTGTTGACGCCTCAGTGCTTCAGTCGTTGTACAAAGCGCTACAAGTACTTTTTGACCCGAACTCGCGATGTCTTGTTTTGACCTGACTCGCTCAGGTTCTTTTTTTTTTTTTGTGTGTGTTTAGCTTGTACCTTGCCTGCCGGCCTCGCAAGCACGTGCCGCTGGACTGTTTTTTTGTCGTATGCTGGACAATTACATTTTCCATAGAATTTTGGGAACCAGTTGTCGACGGACCGGAGTGGCAGGGTGTCTGTTTCGATCGAACAGCCATCTCCGCTCGCTTGACGAAGCACGTGCAAATGCAAGCCTGCCGAGGTTGCCCTCATGTGCACGCGAAGATGACTGCACGACAGAGGCACCAGCCGGGACACTTGCAACCCATTGTTTTACGTTTGCTTACTTTTGACGAAAATCTGGCACGTCGGGAAGCAGTAAAACGATGGCAAGCGGTTTTTCGGAATTGCTCGGCAACGTCCACAGCACTGTCCACTTGTGGAATGTCTCAATGAGACATACAAAGTGGGAATTCATTACTAGCCAAAGGCAAAGCGAGGCTTGCAGCAGCCTTGTAGAGTGTTTCGAAAAGCAAAAAGAAAAGTACCCGCTAGTCGTAATGCACCTTTGTCTTGTGTACAATTCGCATTGCACTGCAGTAGTTACGTGTTTCATCAGTCGGAGACAGCTTCTATTTATTATATTATATAACTACGGTAGTCAACCTAATGCTGTGATATTTACTAATAATCTGGTCACTTTCAAATAAATTTTAATATGTGCAGTTTGGTTCTTATTTATCTATAACGGTACATATATATGTATAATTTAACGGAAGCATTGCAAAATGTGTCATGTCATTGGCATTTCAGTTACATGTTGAAAGACTCCCAGGTGGTCGAACTTGACCATAATTTGTTTATTGCGGCGAGCGAAGTGTCCTTCATTCGTCCAGCACTTTAAGCGAATATGTTTATTTTTGTAAGAATATCTGCTCCAAAAGCAACTTTTTCTGCTCCAAAACACTGTTTTGTCTGCTCTAAGAGCCACTTTTGCTGCTCCAAAACACTGTTTTGTCTGCTCCAAAGGCCAAATTTGCTGCTCCAAAACACCGTTTTGGCTGCTCCAAAAGGTGCTCCAAAACGGCTTAGGACAATCACATCACTGGGGGGGGGTCCTTGGGACTTTTTGAGGCTTGTTGGGCTTCCCTGGGGCAGAAAAGATTGAGAACGCCCGTATTGTTGCATCCTTCCCTTAAGGGGCAATATGAGGTTTTAGAGTAATTTTCTTATTTAGAAAAGAATACTTTTCATATTATACACTAATCTAACTCATCTTGCACCTATTCCAAATATGCAATCAGATATTGAATATCTTTACTAGAACCCGAGTTATGGGAGATCTGTCCAATTTGATTAACATAAAATCCCAAGCAAGCACCCACTCAAAATGTTTAGATAATTATGTATAAAACCGGGGGATGAATGCTTCTTAGGTCAACAATATGTCCTTTGTGTATTTTTTAAATGTTACAAAATTGAGAGGTTGGCCCTTATTGTGGAATGGGCGGATTCTTGGTACATTACCGGAGGTCATTTGTTACGGGCCATTAGAAAAACATTATTCGTAAACAGGGATGGGCAAAATACATGCAAATATGTATCAAAATACAAATACAAAATACTATGTCAAAAATGTATTTAATTGCAAATCTAATTACATTTCCAGAAAAGCATTTAAGTACAAGATACAAATACAACCAAATGTATTTAATCTCCTCCAAATACTTTTCAAATACATTCCTCAAAATTTGCGTCAGCGACTTCAGGGCACCGGCAACGGGTTTCTGAGTATTTCATTTTAATTTTGCATCGCACACTCTTGAGTTAGTGTGCGAGGCTCTAGTAACGTAATAGAAACATAATCACCGAAAAATGTAATCAGCTTGGACGTAATAGGTGAAAAAAGTGCAGAGCTTCAAGCAGCTTTTTTTGCCGATTACATTTTGGTATAGACCAACAAAGAACCGAGACGACCAAGACGCGCGGCACTAGCTAGAGAATTTTTTATTGTTGCAACTCGCACCAGTTACGAAAATCTGGACAACCCGCACATTTAGAATGTTCCAGGCAAAAATATGAATGGAAATCAGGCTGGAAAGCATCACAAGTTGTCGCAGGCACTTATTTAGCCAGTCTGCCTGTGAACGTCGATTTCGTCACTATCCTTGCCCTGGACTAGCACCGTAATCACAAAGTAACTAGGGTAAACGCTTGTGCTTGATTGAGAGGCACTGCATTCGGTGCAGAACATAGTTTTCTTCCTGCTCTGGACAGTGACAATAACTTTGAGGGATGTATTTTCGCCCACAAAATTGTATTTAATTACAGTTGTATTTGAAATACCCACGTTTTAGTATTTAAATACACACATCAAATACATTACCCAATTTGTAATTAAATACAATTGTAAAATACACAAAGAATTTGAAATACGTATTTCAAATACTTGTATTTGAAATACTGCCCATCCCTGTTTGTAAATTACCAAATTTTTAAGGCAACTTCATTCACAAAGGTGTAATTTGTGCGGTGATGCTATTTTTGATCTTGCTCAAGAGGGTTATGTTACTAAAAAACAATTGTAATTAAACTGTAAAAGACATGCTTTCTCGTTATTTAAGAAAGTAATTAATTGGTAAGTACTCTAATTTGGAAGACCATAAAAATAGCATCATCGCACAGTTCCATTCTTCCCAATTAAAATGGCACCAAACGTGTTAATACAGTATAGACCACTTACAACGTAACCGCTTATAGTGCAGAACCGGGTCTAACGCGGCTTTTTTAAACCACCGGTTTGCCTCCCATAGAACGCCATGTAATTACATACCGCTTAAAATGCAGGCGCGCGAAGGGAAATACCGGTTATAGTGCGGTTTTCGGAACAGCCCGGCGACCACGCCAACCGCGCCGACTGACCGACGTAGAGAGCACGCTTCCCTGTGCGACACTAGATAACGGCGCGAGCCGCAACAACACGCGGCACTCGCGGGGCAAGGAGGGTGCTCGAAGAAGCGGTGAAAAACAAAGAGAGAGGCTTCAGTTGCCATAGCGACGGAGGGATGCACGCACGTGTCGTTCACGTGCGTGCGTCCCTCCGCAACCGCAACGACAGGCCAATCGCAGGTCGAGGAGAAGTGTTCGCGCGCGTTGCATGCCGGTCGCGGCCCGGGTACTTCTATCCGCAAACATGGCCTCGGTTGTGATCGTCGACATAGACGGCGTGGTTCGTTCCGCGTAAAAGCGCTATCCTTGACTGAATTTTCGCTGTGTTGCTATGATAACCCAGCACGTACTAGAAGGGAAGATCCACCTACTCGTGCGGCGATGTCGTGGCGGCTCTCTCAAGACGGCAGAAACGTTCGTGTCGTCGTGTTCGTTTACTTCGACTACAGTGGTGACTTCTGCATTTGTGTTTTCGAACATCGCCCGGATTTCTTATTTTGAGCATTTCATGCCTGTGCTAAATTTGAAGGTATTACTGGCGCGTACCGTATAAAGGATGCGAATTTTCACGCGTTTTCATCACCGTAGAAAAGTGATTAGGGTTAGCAATCCTGAACGCTAGCAACGTCCGTCCGCAACCCGCGACGCCGTTAAAGGCTGCGCCAGGCAAAAGTCGCTCATTTCTTTCAAAATGTGTGATACACTGGAGAGAGAAGTGTACTAGTCTGGTGAAATAAAGACTTTCCTCAAATTAAGCTTTATTTTTCATCTAATATAAAATAAATTTGTTTTACAAAGGTAAGTTGTCTCATGGCATGTATTTTGGCCTGAAAAGTTGATGTTTTGGTTATAACGCGGTACTGCTTATACGCTCCGTGCGGGAACTATAGGGGGCGCTTTCAAAAACGCGCGTAGCGCCGCTAGCGGAGGAGCTGGCGTTCGACAGTGAGGCGCGCTGAGCAGCCTGCGGCGCCTTTTCGCGTGCGAAGCTGTGGCGGCGGAAGCGCGCACGGACGGAACTTTTGCTTTTTGAGCCGATAAGTTGAGGGTGACGTTGCATGAGTGCTGGGAGAGATTTGGGAAAGGCTTTTAGGCTGTTCTCCCCTCCTTATATATTGAGTTTGAGTTGTTATTAGGGGTAATTTCTTTAGTTGTGGTCGAAAAAGGGGTCTGAGAAATTTTCCGAAAAGCAAGACGGCCGCCACCAGCTCTCAGTGGGAAATTTGTTTCGCTCGTCACTGTAAACGTAGGACTGCTGGGACGATGATATTTGGAGGTGAGTAAGATGTTTACTAAGTGGGCCAAGTTTTATTGACAGCAGGTGTGAAAGTTACGGTTCTAACGAATAAAGGAATAAAGCTGTCAGGAATATCCAATATTGGATCCAAAATCTTGTATAACCGGGCTGTGTGAAGTGCAGATTTGGACACACAGTTTTTTGGACATGACCGTAACTTGACACAACAGTTATAATACCAAAAATAGGTGGCATAGGGAAACCAGGTGGAAATTAGGTTTGGGCGGCGTAACTGAATGGGAAACAGTTTTGACCGTGAAAGGGCTGTGAAGAGAATACCACTGGTCATGGGAGATGGAGACTTTACAGGTAGGAAGAGACTAGTGCACTGTACTTCCAATTGAAGCAACTTTACAAAAGGTTGCTTCAAAGCTGAGAAAACCAAGTTTTCCGGCCAATTAACACACGGTTTGGCCGTCAAAGGCTTTTGCGGTCAGCTGTTGTGTAGTAATCTGGTTGTGCGAGGGTCTGATTTTCGGCACACAGGTACTTGGACAACCGTAACTTGACAAAACACATATACCTAGAAAAGATGGCATAGTTTAACCAGGTGGAAATATTTTTGAGCGGCGTAACTAAATAGGAACCGGTTTTGACCGTCAAAGGCTGTCAAGAGAATACCACTCATCATGGCCTGGAGGTGCACACTTTACAGGTAGGAAGGTACCAGTGGACGGTACTTCCAGTTCGAACAACTTTGCGATAAGTAGCTCTAAAGCCGAGAAAAAAAAATTGTCTACAAGACTCGGGGTGTCAGTGTTTCCACATCCAAAAGGAGGCCGATCAAAAAAGAAAGCACACCACATAAACTTCCATACTCAAACATTGATTGTCCATTCATTCCAAGTTTCATTGTAGTTTTCCTTAGATTCATATTGGTCGCTTTTTGTACCGTCCGAATCTTTCTTCATGAAGTACAGACTGCGTGCCATACTGGTCCTAAAATATCATTGACACGTACGAGAAGGACGAAACTTCCTTGGAGGGCATTCCTTCAACGAAATTCGCACTGCATACCCGTGAACGTGGGATGGCATTACTGGTACGAAAACAAACGCAGAGCGCAAAGCGGCAGTGTAGAATATGTCAGCCGTGCCGACACAGTGGCAGACATGATCGAGAGACCAAATTTCTCGCGTCTTACGCGACCGGTCCATCATTGTCGCTGTCCCACAAAACATCGGCGAGCTGAAAAACTGAAATTTCGTCCCTGTAAGATACGACGCATAACTATTGGAGCACTTAACGACACAGCAGTTCATGTTGTCAACCCGACGCAACCACACCGCTCCGACTTCAATGCGTACCAGTGTACGCGGCGTGGTTTCGTTTCGCTGGGACTCTCACTGCCTACCTTCGGTAACGGCCGCGCAGCGGCGCGCCGGTCGCGTCGCACGGAGTGTGTACTCCCGCGACATATGTTATATGCGGTCTACACTGTATTGTCCGAGACAATTTTTAAAAAATGCCTGTGAGGCATCAATAAACAAAATGTAAGGGCGCAAACGAGCTGGTGTACATAGCACATGGCTGAAAAAGCCCCGAGACTGTGCCTCGAGACTCAAAGATAAGAGAAGTGCATGACGCAGAGTCCGTTGTCCTTGTTGTTTAGTCAGAGGTTATGTTGGTGGAAAGTGGCATTCTTTGGGGTTCTCACCCTTTCCCCCTTTTGTTCTTTTGTATCGAAGTGCCTATATAACCAGATTTCGGAAAATAAAAATTTCAGCTGTGTTAGAGATTTTTTAGTGTTGTGTTGTTTACCCGCAGTCTCGGTTTTTTTTTCAACCAGGCATCAATACTTGTGAAAAAAGTGTGAAGAGAGAAAAAAAGCCCTTGAGTATGTGTATTTCTACTGAATGTTCATAGATAAGACTTCATCTGTTCATGTTCTTTCATATTTGAAAATTAGATAGAGCTGTAATATTTTGCTCAGAGCTGGGTGAGTGTGTCCAAATATCAGAAAAGCCTTTTTTTCAAAAATGACTTTTCCGCAACTTTTTACCATTTGGAGACCAGCCTCTTTCCTCCCTGCCCGCATTCTCGTGACTAGAATGCAACTCGTTGAAGTATGTGTATACCCCTAAATAAGCCAATGATTGTGCAAGCATCATCGTAAATGCTAAGCCCAGATCTAATCCGCTTTGAGCTCACAGAACAGATTTCTAATGACTCACCATTTTCATTGAACTAATGGTTTTAAACCTCCCTTCCAAATTAATCTAGGAATCTCGGTAATATACTAGTCCGGAGAAACTTGGGGGAGTCGGGGAACTCCGGATCACGTTTTAGGCAAACGCCGACGAACTTGGCTCGTCCGTCTGACATTGCGACAATGGTGGGTGCCCGCCGTCTGTTGTTTCTGTGCAGACAGTGTGGTGTGGAGGCATCCGCTGCTTCTGCACACGAAGGAGAGCATTGCGCAGCCGCTCACCACCCTCCCGTCGGAAGCCTTGCAGACCGAAGCCGTCAAGCTCTTCAAGGTGGGTCTCACGAGCCGCATTGGCGCAGCTACTCTGCCAGCAACGCCTCTCCGATTACTGCGCTCGCGGTATCCTCAAAAGTGGCTACTCGATTTCTGCCCGACGACGTCGCGGAAGTGTTGCGTCGCCGGCCGCTGACGTGGCGCGGACGCCCGTTTCGCTGCAGGTTGCCTCCCAACTCGACAGTCCACGGAACTTTTAGCGTCCACAAGTTGAGACTAGGCGACGACGGAGACACTCGCGTTCGCTCATACTTTTTGTCGGGACCTCCGGCACTACGGAAGTGAGAAACTTCCGGAGGTGACGCGATGCCAGCGGAGGTGAAGTCAGAAGTGTGGAGGGACATGCCCCGAACGACGACCAAAACCATGGCTGTTTTGGTCATCGTTGGGGGGCTGTCCCTCGACACTTCTGGCTTCACCTCCGCTGGCGTCGCGTCACCTCCTGAAGCTTCCTACCACCGTGTCTGGTACAAACTGTTGGGATCGCAATGTCTGACGACGCAAAGCGCCGGTTGTGACGCCATTTGATTCCACTTGGGGACCTCTTTTGATGTACGGGTGGCATAGGATGCTAAACGCGTTTGCCAGTCGGAGTTGCATTTCAAGGGAGGTCAAAATGCGTGTGTATATTATAGGGTCGGCTGGATTTCGGGGAGAGGGGGCTGAAGCCCCATAGGTCTCCCCCCTGGCAATGGATTAAGTACAAATGAATTTTTACATAGCTTATCTGCCTCTATCATCCGACTACAAATATCTATACTTGTCTTTCATGTGGCCTACCGTAGAATACCGTGCATCCACCCATTTTGCAGTAAGCGCCCACCCTTAAAATTTGAAACATCTGAAAATGTATGCACAGTATATTCAGGCAACGAGGTGCAGTCATATTTCTTATTTTGCTTCAAATTTTTATATTTTGTGGCGCATGTTCCAAGAATAACAATCCTTTTTATTTTAATGCCCTTACATGTTTAGTTCCCGAGAAAAAAAAATTCTCAAAGAAGCGGGAAAGTACGACGAGGTTTTGACGATTGTCGTGTGTGGCGTTTTTGAATCACTCTCAATCTCAAAGTATTCAAAAGAGAGCGGCTATATTTTTTAAGTGTGATATGTATGCAAGTAGGTAAGATGACATTATAACTACTATTTATTATTCGTCGCTCCAATCTTTCTAAATATCCCCAAACATGCCTCCGCAAACAACTGTGACCTAAATTGCGGATTTCTTTTTTTGAGTCGACTATGTTTAGTATTGCTTTTAAAATAATGCCACGTCTAGAACCTTTCATTACCTTCCAAATAAAGCAAAGTTTGTGCCTTCATCACGTACGAGTACTGAGAAGTAAATTATGAGACAGAGAAGGTTTTCACTTTTCGTTCAACTTCAGCATGCTGTATAACAAAAAAAAAAATTACCCAGAATACATTCCATTAGAGGTGTATGCACTTGTTTTGAGTTTTAAGCCTCTAATATGCGACAGTAAATAACATGTGCAGGCCCTTCTGAATTAATATTTCAAGATGGAAGAGACTCATTTCACAAAACACTTAAAAACTAGATGGTAAGTGCCTGTTCATCTTCAAAAAATTACAATTAAAAAAATGTGTTTGTGAAACTTTTTTGCTTCAAAGAGCAGAGCCTCCCCTTTGGGGGCACACCCCCTGGGAGGGTCAACTTTAGAACCCCTGGCTTAAAATTAATGAAACTTACAGGGTGGGCTGGAGGTAATGCTAGAGGGTGCATAACAAAATTTCAGGTCTGTCGGTTAAGTGAGAAGGAAAGTAGAGCAGGCTTTTATCAGCAACATGCCTACATTGTTTATTTAGTTAATCTATTGTCAGAAAACTATCACAATATTCCAGATTTTTATTCGCTAGTTATGTAGCAGAATACCTAGGGGGTGCGGCTATGAAAAGATTTTTGTAAAAGTCATTTATTTCTATAAATTTTCTGTTGTGCAAAAGTGCCCAACTTTTCGGTCTTCAGTGTCTTGGACAAAATGTCAAGATTTTTTATAAAAGACATGCGTAAAGTGACAAAAAATTTCCATAGCTGCATTCTTTATTAAATTTCACTCAGGAAAAGTGAAGAACGAGCCTTCCCTGTGTTGCCATTATCAAACGATAAATTGACTAAAATGGAATTTATATCAAAAAGGGGTACGGAGAAAAATTCGTTCAAGGTGCTCCCAAGTCGACCTTTTTTTTTTAGCTTTGGTGGACAGAAAATAATTTATAAAAGAATTAACTATGTAGTGTAAACTAATTAAACTTTCTGGGAATACTCTCTAGATGTTGATGGATGTAAATATGTCATTTTTCAGAATCAATGTTTTTTGCAGAATTTTTTTTTCTTTCTGTGTAGTGTTCCCCCTTCATTAAAATATTCGGGGAAAACCTGGAAAACTTGAGAGGCATGAATTTGGCAGAGCGTGCTCCAACTGGGCGATTGATTTCTGGCCAGTCGATCCAGCTGTTCATCTCGGTGCCCCTGGACGCGTCCGGCATCGACTACCACGTGGCGCTGGCGCAGAATGCCCTGGCCCAGTGCCTGGGGCAGCCGGAGCTCCAGAACGAGCTCTTCTGCCAGCTGATCAAGCAGACCTCGCGCCACTCCCACCACAAGCTGGGAGTCCAGGTGGGCAGCCATCTATGCAGGGTGACAGGGAAGCAGTCATGGTACGGTAGAACCCTGTTGACACTTTCTAATGCAGCATTTTAACGGAAGCTAACAACTGGGTCATATGTATTCAGCTGCACTGTGCTGGCTGTGCACTGCGCTGACCGGATGTTCCTGCAGCACTTCTGATCTGCAATCAATAAAATCAAACCAATCATTCGAATGTGGGGGTTTTATGTGCCGAATCAACGAAGAGCATCTGGCACGCCCCAGCGGAGGACTGAGGATTCATTTCGACCACCTGGAGATCTTTTGACGTGCAACCGAATATGCCTCCGTTATATTGCGAGCCCCTTGTCGGGATTCAAACCCGCCACCTGGTTATCTGTAGGCCGGTGCTTTGCCTCGGAACCACCGAGGCAGCATTCTGATCTACATGTAAAGGCCTGTCCAAACAGGATACTACAAAACTCACGACTTCGGCAAATCGTGCCGTGCTCTGCCGCGATCCGCTTCCGGCCGTCGGAGGGAAATTTCCCTCCGTCAATTCTTCCCGGGGGGAAACTTCCCTCCGTCAAATCTCCCCCTCGCTTCCTCCACGGCGGCCTTGCTCTGCTCATCACGTGGGTCCGGAGAGCCACTCACACGCTCTGTTGGCTGTCGGTCAATCGCTCAAGGCCTCCGCTCACAATACGGAACCGCGTCGGACGCCATCACGACGGAAGTGAATCTCGACAAAGAAAGCAGATCCGAGGCGGGCGAAACGCACCCTTGGACGCAGGAATGTCCCAAATCCACCCGAAGCCGGACCCCCTTGGCCTTCGAGCCGAGGCGACAACGGTACGCGAGGTCGTTGGCGAGGTGAGCCAGATACAGGTGGCGTGTGACGTCAAAGAAAAGTGGAGGAGGCGAGGAGAGCGGTCGTGATCGTAAAAATTTTCACGACTCCTGCAAACATTTTCACGACTCTGACAGATCGTAAAAATAGAAGCGTCCGCTTCAATTTTCACGATTTGTCGGAGTCGTGCATTTTGTAGTGTCCTGTTTGGACACCCCTTCACTGGACCAAAGGTTTTGCAGGGTTTGCAAGTTCAAATCTACGTCCAGGACAGGGTTCTCATCTGGAATTTAACCACAATATGAGCGGCGGCGGTGGTGGGGCGTGCAGTTCGCAACGCAGCACGATCTGGCTTGCCGACAGAAGGCACTTTGCATAGGTCCTCTAACTTTGCGGCCCTGTGATTGCCGGCACACCACGGTAATAAAACCAAAACCAAAATGCCAGAAAAAAAAAAAAAAAAGTGGGGAAGGAAAGATGGGGAGTGAGCGAAGAGGTGAGGATAAAGCAAGCCACGGCGCGAGCAAGCATTGAGCAGTGAAAGAAAAGTCGTCTTGGCTTGCTGCTTTCTGGCACTCACTGCCTGCGGAGAGAACTGCTGCGCGATGCGCTTTTGTGGTGTCTGCTTCTTTTGTGTTTCTTCTCAACTGAACACCCACCCCCCCCCCCCCACCCCCCCCGCCTCATCTTCCTTCCCTTCCTTCTCTTTACTGCCGGCGGCGCTCTGCGGTTCCGCTCTCCTTGTTTGAAAGAGTGGCAGCAGTGGGCGATGGGATAACATGCGGTAATGTGGCGGTGTGCAGGCCTGCTGAGTACAACAATCTGCAGCCATGTGCTCAGGCAAAATCGCATTGTCATCTTGTGGTATAATTGAGCGGCGGGCTGTCTGTCAGTGCAATATGCGGTCAGCCGGAGCGGTGGCCAGCAGAGCCAGTGCCGCCCACCGTGATAGAAACCCTAGTCCAGAACATATATGATCTTCTGATATAATGCACTGGAGTGTTCCAGCATCGCTGTCTCTTTTGAACGGGTAATGGAATTTCTTAGCAGTATTGGCCTTTTACACCGACTCTAGCCTTTTGGTCAATCTTTTGTAAAACTTTTCCTTTAATACAATGATCCTTACAATTAGTTTGGCGCAGATGGCCTCGTAGCTTTTGCGCCATTAACCCCCCAAAATCTCCCCAGCATCGCTAAAAGAGGTGGTGGCAGAGGTTGATTGCACTGGCACATTCTGGAATTGCTAGTAAGAGAATAGAGGTGACGACAGGGATCAATTGTGCAGGAATGTTCCGGTATTGCTAATGGACGAATGAAAGCGGAAGCAACAGAAGTCTAATACACTTTAACGTTCTGGCATTGTTGACGAAAGAATAGAAAAGGCGGTGACAAGCATTGAAGCCTGTGCCCAGCATGGGGAATAACTGCTCCACCAAATGGCCATGCGTACAACTAGGGTGACCACCCGTCCCGCGACTCGCGGGACTGTTCCGCGTCCTGCAAGAAGTACCAAAATCTTTAAAATGTTCCGCATTTCACATTGTCGTAGCATTCACTACCCAAATTATGGCGCTTTTGAAGAGCGGGCCACGGGGTAGCGCGAGGGTCATTAATAAACTTGTGAATCTCGATGGTGTGCCATTTCCTATACAAGCACTGCGGAAAGCGACCATCGTTCTTGCAGGAGACGGACATGCATGTGCCGTTGCACCTCTCCCCTTGATGGCAAAATACTGCGAGCGAAAATTGCTCTCCTAAAGTTGAAAAATAACCATTGTAATTATTTGCAAATCATACTGTGCAATCTGAAAGAGTTGTTCCGGAACGCTTTTTTTTTTTTTGTGAAGACGACCACACAAGGCAAAGACCCTGCAATTCACAAAGGTCGAAAAAACAACACAAGGTTCTAATTTTATGCAAGAGCATGTTAGTATAAGAGTAAGTATCGTCGGGAAACAATAAGCCGGAAAAGATTTACTGTTTCTTATTTCCCTTTCATGCATTGGGGTCTGCTGCAGTCGATTTTTATGTTTTCGACTTCGACACACTAATATCTAAGTTGTATGTCTTAGACATACAACTTAGTCTTACAACTTAGACATACAACCGTAATATAATATTTTCCATTACAATTACACACAAAATGTATCACTGCGACTGAAAATAATTTTAGCTTAATTGCCGCCACGCAAGTTTAGGTGTATAATATGCTTTCGGACATCATAGGATTTTGGGGTGTGCGTGATGGTGAATTTTTTTAATACGTTTATCTTGAGTCGTGAAAATACTGTCCTCCTCTTAGTCCCTCCCTCTCCTTCCCTTCCCCCCCCCCCCCATCCCTCATTTCGCCCTCAGGAAGGTGGTCACCCTACGTACAACAGTAGTAAGACTTGGAGTGCCACATTCAAGCATATTTGAGCACACTCCTGTGCAGGTTTCAGTCTCAATTTGCTCCCTGCCCGTCCCAACTGAGTTGTCGATTTTATTTTTACGTGTAGAGTAATGTTTTGTCTCGAAATAACCCTCGTTGATCTTACCTTGGAAAGTTTTGTTTGGGAGACTTCCATCACGGCTTGGTCCTTCTTGGTTCCAGAAAGGCGAATCTGCGTCACTCAACCTTGTGCTTCGTGGCGAACGCTGAGATCTAGAAGTTATTAGTAAAGTAATTGAGTAATAAACTAAATGAGGAAGTCTCAGTTCCAAATGAAAAATGCTGTCCGAGGCCATTCGAAAAGAGTGACCCCAGGGTGCGAGGCCGGGGCACCGCTCTGCATAGTACCCTGTCTCCAAAAGTATGATTTGGTAAAATATAACATAGGTGGGAGGCATGTGGGCATTGATTATTAACTTTGAGCCCATAGATAGCTTTGTCTTTGATCGATAGATCTACGCCTTAAAGAACACTACAGATTTTCTTTTTCTTCGCGGGACCAAACTTTGTGTTCGATGTGCAGGAAAAAAAAAACAAAAACACCCTGCACTCAAAGGGCTAACAAGGTTTTAGCGCAGTGGTTCTCAACCATAGATGTTTCGCGGACCCCTTGTGGATCGGCGGATATGACTGAGGACCCTGTTTGCGGTGAGGGGAGAGAAACATTATAGGTTCAATATAATAATTATATATTAAATGGTCTTGTGTGAAGTAGACTTCTCTTATTGACATATGCACAAGAAAACTCGCTCGAAATTTGAAAAGAAAAAAGTATTTTTGACCTGAAAAAAGACAACTTTTGTTGCGGGACTTGACTGATGAGGCAAGGCTTCACGGACCCCTCGAGTGCCTTTGCGCACCCCAAAGGGTTCGCGGACCCCCATTTGAGAACCACTGTTCTAGCGTATTGTTGTGATGTTTGATGGAGCCCTCTCTGGTAGAAGAATGCTTGAACGAACGCTTGACAGCCGTCTCGCGTCGGTCCTCACAGCAGCTGCTGCTGTGCGCCACCCAGTCGCTGTTCCTGTGCGACACCGCCTCGAGTTCGTCGGGAGACAAGGGCTCCCCCACGTCCCAGCTCGCCCCATCCCCGGAGAAGGGGGGCAGCCCCAAGGGCCCCGCAGAGGGCAAGCAGAACCCGCCCCCCTTCGTGTTGATCCAAGGCTGGCAGTTGCTGGCCCTGGCCGTCAGCCTCTTCCCGCCCCGTAACCGCACCCTCTGGTACCTCAGGGCACACCTGCACAGGAACGCGGACACCAAGTGAGGGGCCTCCCAGTTTCTCGTCGTCCTCGTCGACGCGATTCGTTAACCCGCCCGTGCGGGCACTGTACGAAGGGCGAGGAAGAGCGAGATGTCGTTGGAGGCTCTTCGATTCGTCTTTGTCGTCGTCATCTTTCATTAAATCTCGAGGGCCCGTACGGGTATCGCACGAGGGTCGAGGATATGCAACACATAGTTACGCTCATGTCTCCTTAATATTGTCGCGGATGGAAAATGGTAGATGAACGTAAGACTCGAAATAAATGTTTCATGAGGCGAGCTTGAGCCAACGAACGTTAAGAGAATTTGCCACGTGCCTTGCATCAAGGAGGGAAGGGCGGCTGTCCCAAAGCGGCTAGTTACTGCCGCTTTTACGCACATGGTAGGTTTGGGGACTTTCCAGACCGGGACGCTCGACAACGGCTGAGAACGGGCCGCAACTTTCCGGAGGAGAACAAATTAATGAAAGAAAGATCTGGGACAAGCGTGGTTTGAATCCCGTTTCTACGCGTGGCAGCCTCGTGCGTTGCCAACTCCCCCGTCCACGTGGCGGTGGGGACCTCCATTAATGCAAACGCTCCACTGTCGGGACAAACTTTTTGGGGACTGCTCTGTTCCCGTACGGTTCTGCCTACTTAATGTAGAAACCCGTAGTCTGGACTGTAGACAGTTAGTTTGGGAACACCGACTGGGCCAATAGAAGCATTTCTGGCTCATCATTGGGGATGAAAGCTTTTCGAATACAGTCCACAAATGCCAAGGAAGATTTGGGATTCCCTTGGGTCACAAAGTACACCTAGAGCTTCATTACTGCTTGTTGTCGGGCAAAATGGCTCCCTTGCCCTTCTCTCCCTGCGTGTGTCGCAGCTGCCGATGACAAATTTGAAGAACATTCATAGGTCATAGGTACGCCATGTGCATAAAAGTGGAGGCAGCGCACTTTCGTTACCACTGAGAAGTAGTTAAGGTTGCGACCTGGGTCTATGATGTGCAGGCTTTTGTAGCAAAGGTTGTTTACTGTTGGCTCTAATCTTGACTTCGATTCATTATTACGGAAAAGTCGCATTATGGCTGACTTTCCTGGATCTCCATATTAACGAGACATGTACAAAAGTGCACCTCTCTCTCGCTGAAGCTCGGCAATCAGGTGGAGATCATTCAAGGCCCATATAGAGTGCCTAATTTTTCTTGGTGGTTGATATACCTCAAAATTGGCTCACTATGTAAATAGATATGGCTGAACCAGTTGTATTCCTTTGAAATAATTTGTTTTTGCAAAGTTATTCAAACTCTTAGTTTTGGTCCTCACCATTTTTTTAAACTCAAGGTGTTCATTAAAAACACCAAACAAAGGAATGCCAGTGGCACAATACCCCTTTGATATGGTACTAAAGTGGTTTTATTGAGATTATCTTTTTATGGTGCAAGATCAATCTTTTCTAGGATGCCCATACCAGGCATCCTAGAAAAGCAACATTTAGAATCATGCTTGGACGTTTTTCCTATTAAAAATGCAGCAAACGTCACTGCACCCTTTTTTTTTTTTTCAGAGATCTATCTTGCGAAGAGAAGTGTGTTTAAACTTTTCGTCGCAATTTTAATAGAAAAAAGGCCACGCACGATTCTGAGGGTCGCTTTTCTGGTGCAGACACCGTAAAATACCGAGTACAGTGGTGAGTTGGGCTAGTTGGTTTTGCATTTTAAAATACCATTTTAAAGATAACTTTTAAAATACTGAGCATATGCCTATAAGCGCCTAGTACCTACTGTTGAAACATTTGAAATCCATATGGACAAATGGCCTACCAAGCGCCCACCCCAGCGAGCTTCCGTGACTTCTGAGCAAACCAAAGCACTCCTCCGTATCAAATGCCTCTCTGAGAAGCCAGGTCAAAGCGGTGAACCTTCGCGCTTATGCGTCAGTGTGAAGCAGCAAAGTTTGACGTGCGAGTACCAGAATGAAACAGCCTTTCTATCATCTTAGACGGCGTCTACTTGCGCTCATTCTCGCTCGGAAAGCAGCACTGACGATAGCGACACGGGAACAAAAGGAGCGCGAGAAAAAAGAAAATGTCGGCCTCAGGCACCCATAGTTGCCAGACTTCTTTGCGGCTTTTTTGTCAATGGCCGAAACGTAGGACAAGGGTCAATTTTTTATCGTGCATTCCCTCCAAAAAGTTAGACATGTATTCAGGTTTATACGGTAACAAGCACTTATCCCCATATTTTTTACTCTGATCTCCAACTTCTGCACGAGCGCTTGCTCGGTACTTTATGGTAGGTTGAGTTTGTACTACAAAGACGATATCGCGATGCACCCCTCTTTTCGGGATATATCTCAGAAAAGAGGCTTAATGGTTGCATTTTTAAATAAAGAAGACGGCCAGACACGAACGTAATTTCGGGTTTTCTAGGATGCTCATCGCGTCCCGGCATGTACGTCGAGCGAGCTCTATAGAAGCGCAATCTAAGAAAGTGCCTTAAGGTGCGTGAAACCCCGTCGGTGCGCTCGCAGGACGGAGCCGGGCAAGTACGCCGTGTTCTGCCAGCGCGCCCTGGAGCGAGCCCTGGGTGCAGGGGAGCGAGAGTGCAAGCCCTCTCGGATGGAGGTGCTCAGCATCCTGCTCAAGAACCCCTTCCACCACTCCAACCCGCACAGCATCCCCGTACACTTCCTCAACTCCACCTACCTGGTGGGCATCCAAGGCTCTGCAGCACGGGGCTTGGGACGACCGAGTCGCCGCAGAGCTCCGTCGAAATCAAGATGGTCGCCGATTTGCCTCAAATTCGCTTTAACACGTCGACGGACGTGGCCGAACTAGTACTCGGAATAATTGGTTTGTGCAGTTGCAGAATTTTAAAATTTTGTTTTAACCATTTTTTTTAGACTGAATGGCTCTACCGGTATTGCTGAAAACGTGCTGGCAGACATAATTTCGTCAGCTCAGCTCATTCTCGACGTGTCGGGAGAAGCTTGGCGGCACGAAACTAGTGCCGGGAAGTTTGACCCGGCGGTACGAGAAAGGTGCGCGACGTACTCGGTTTTGTAGACTGCCCGCTTGACCTTTGAGTTTTTCAGCAGGCCACCGGCAATCAGAGAAATCTGAACATTGGTTTTCGGCTTCAGCTTCATAATTTAGAAAATAAAGATTGTGCCAGAAAGAGTCAAGTCCCGGTAGTCTAAGAACGTAGTTAGTTCAGGTAGCTGATAAAAGAAGACGCTGCATGTGCAACTGAGTCTGTTTATTTATTTATTTGTTTACATTATACTGCCAGCAACCAACTGAAAAAAAAAAAGAAAGCATGAATGGGTATAAATTGGGTAGAACACATAATCGCAAGTACAACATTACAACAGCATGTTTGAGGGAAGCTTTTTTTTTTTTTTTTGCAAATAAAGATACGCCCTGAATTTTCGACTTCTCTTCCATGCAGGCTATCCCAGTCATGTAGAGATTTCAAAAACGAGAATTTCAAAATATCTGGAGACTAGTGGATCAAAATGCTTGTTTAGCTTTTTTCTGATATGGGGGACAGAAAATAGTATATGTCGTTCTTTGTTGAACTTTTGGATATCATCAATAATTGAAAAGAGCACTCTAAGGCTATTTATTGTCGCGATTCGGTAACTGATGTGATTGATCTAGAGTTATAAATAAAGCGCAGTGCTAACTCTTGAGTGTAAAGGGGAAAAAAAAAAGAAGAAAAAGATGATTAAGTTTTTTTTTTATTGCAAGAATAAACTGTGCATCACCGAATGATCACTCCCATCTTCATGCAGCACTGGCGGTCCTCATCAGATACCAAATTCTCAAAACTTGCTGTTATCTAAATAAAAGGTTATAAGCAATGTTTCTTTTAATTTTTGAAGAAAGAATTAGGTTTGTTTTTGGTAGAAGACTTTATTCTTCTTCATATACTCGCATACTTTCTTCGGTCACCATATTCTTTTTGTAAAATTTCGAAAATTGCTCATAAGCATTTATTTAGATAACGACAGGCTTTGAGGGCTGGTCCAGACAACTAGCACAACATTTGGACGGAGACCGGACGCTCGCCGATGCTTTCGGTACAATCTCGTATAGATGCCTACACCGAGAGATTGCCCGTCCAGATGTTCTGGCTAGACACACACGCTCATAGCGGGTTCCCACGTGTCTGTTGTGTCATGAAATGGCAATTCGCCGCATCTGCGATCTCCGGTACCAGTTCCCTTTTCATATGGTTGATAGCGAGTGCCATGATGTTGATTGCTCATTTGTGATAAACTTTTACCGTTGCATCTCAATATTTTGCTCAGTTTCTTTCTTCATCATGGGTGGGTGTTTAATCGGGGTGAAGAAAACGTCGTAATTTGTTTTCCGAGGCACCCTGCTCTTCGCGAGCGAGCACGGTCATACGGTCACGATCCGACCCGACTTTCCGTCGTCCTCCACAATTGCAGGTGGTGGGGTTTGACGGCTCCACGACGGTGGAGGAGTTCATCGGGACGCTGAACGCAGAGGCAGGCATGCGAGACACGTCGCAGTCGGGCTTTGCTCTGTACAGCGACGACCCCATCGACAAGGGCATCGAGCACTGCCTCAACCTCTCCACCAAGGTGGGGACGCTGCTACGGTGGGGCGCTACGCCTTTTGAGTGCCAGGAATTTTTCTCCTCATGCCAAATGCAAATTTTGGTCTCAGTAGCACTGCATTACGCTCCGAGAAGAATATTCATTTATAAAAGATACGTGTCATCTATACACTATGTCATCATGTCGCCATTAGATGTGGCATCGGGTGCCTTAATGGTACCAGCTAACCACCTTTCTGCAGTGCCGTGTCTCTCTTGAACCAAAATTCATATTAATATTACTATTACGTTATACTTTATGGGAAAGAATATAAATCCAACCTATGGCATATTACTTCCATTGTACTTTTCGAGATGCGGTGTTATGCGGTGGCACCTCGACCTCACACCCCGAGGTCACTCTTTTGGGCGACCTTACTCAGCCTTTGTTTGCTCGGGACTGTAACTCCCTTGTTTTCGCGATTGAATGCCGAGTTCATTGGAAATTTTTAGATTTTGGTGCTTGCCACGAAGTGCGACATTGAAAAAGATAGATTTGCCATTATGTAACAACGAAGGTGCATATACCGAAACAAAATTTGCCTAAACAAAAAAAGCTTACATGCCATCAGAAAGTTATTTTAGAAAGTAAGACACTGTTTTCGTCGCTCGCTCATATATACCGATGCATGTAAAAAAAAGAAAAGAAAAAAGGGTCACCTCTTTCCTACGTTAGCATGGCAAAGGCAGTGGCAACAGAATGTGATGCGTTAGTGTGGACAAACTGTGTACACACATGGATGGTGCAAGGTAAGCACGTGAGTGCTCCATGAACGTCTTACTCGTGAGTGCCGTCTTCCGTGGCTGGCTGCAGTGTAAGTGCGACTTTTCTCGGAGCTCGTTGGAGCACGAGACGCAGCAGACGAAGCGCGCGGAAAACGGAACAATTGGATTGCGGCAATGCCAAACAGAGCCCTTGCACGAGCTCGTGGCGAAAAAGAACCAAACACTCGGAACTACCTCATCCAGTTGCGGCAAAGGAGTGTGCTTAATTTTTTTCTCTCTGCTTTTCCGTTGCTCTTTCTTGCACTTTTTCTCTGGGGGAGCCCGGAGGACGCTTGCTGACAGAGCAGAGCTCTGCTGCACGTCTGAATACGCGAGGTTTTACCTTTGCCGGGAGTAACAGGCAGGCGCTCGAGGAAGAGGCTCGGCTGGCATTCGGCCTGTCGACTTCTGTTGCTGGCACCTTGCTGGATATTAGGGATGTGTGAATAGGGATTTTTTCATTTGCAGCAAACAGTTCGGTTGTATGAATAATTTCAAATCGAATACAATAATTTCGAAGCGAAGCGAATAGTTTGTGGCTGTCAATACAGTCGTGGTAGAGAACACTTGAGATGAGAACAAAAGAAAAGGACAGGGACGATAAGGTCTGAAGGTTTCTCTACCCTTATCATTCACCACACGTCAGCACAGTTACTCTTATTTCGATGCAGTCATCTCTGGTGGAGAAAAGCACATGGCCAAATTGGGATGGTGCATTTTCCCTGGTGTATTTGAAAAGGAACAAACTTTGTCAGTGTTGATATCTACAGTGCAGTAAAAGTTTCAAAATTAAGCTGTGACTGTTATGTAAGAGTATATGTTGGCAGAGCTATCCTGACAATTTGTGTTCATCACTCATAGTCGTGATAGTTTTTTTTTTTTCTTTCAAATTCCAGATTGAATAAAAATATTTGGTTACAGCAATATTTGTAATGCTATCCATTAGGTATAGCTGGGTATCTCTATACGTCTAATTTTATGTGACATTCGTCATTTACTTGCCATCCCAAGGCATCAGACTTTTCATAAACATAGATTAGCTTGAGGACAACTTTCACGAGTTTAGCTGGGTTTTCGTTTAAGCATAGTGCAACAGTAATGAAAGGCTCGGAGAAACTATTAGATGTTCGATTTGAAAACGTTCAGCCATAACCACCATATTCGCTCATAATTAGTCATGTCTCATTAGTATAGACACTTTCTTATCGTCCATAATCTGAATCGTCTTTCATGTCAGAATTGAGTTGTGTTAGAATTGTGCAAATATGATACATACAAATGTATGCAGCATTATTTTAATTTTCTTTATTACTTTTTTTTTTCAGAAGCCAGAGTCGTTGCTTTCTGACGAGGTGTTTCAGCATGCCTCGGTCAAGGTAAATGCAAACTGTTTTCTTGCCAGCAGTGTGTTGTAGCGCTGTGCTGTAGTTTGTTGGTGTTCGAGCAGTCTATTTCTTAGATAAATAGAGCTCTGTAAATGTGATTGTTGATGCTACCGGCGTATGCTCAAAAGTCAAGCCAGGCACAGTCTTCTCTTAATATTTTTCTTACTAGAAAATTTGATTTCCCAGCGTTTTCATTGCGTTAGAGATGTGCAAAATTAACCATAACTGTACAGTAAATTTTCGTTAGTTCGACCTCGACGGAACCTCGAAATTTGGTCGAATTATCCGAATGATCGAATTAAAAAAAAAAAGACAGAAAAACTGTTAAAATTAAACTTCCCTTTATTGTCCACAGTACTCATGGATGGTATGCTGCCGTCTGCTCTTAAAACGCGCACCTAAAAGCATGCTCCGGAGAACAACGTAACTACCGTATTTACTCGCACAATGAACGCACTCGCGTAATGAACGCACCCCCCAAGTTGGCTCACAAAATTTCAACTTTTTTTTTCACTCGCGTAATAAACGCACCCCCAACTCGAAGGTCAAAATTTTGATGCCCTCCCCCCACGCGCGCGAAATGGACGCACTTTTCTATCCTGGTGCAGCGAGGTCGCGAATGCATGGGGCGCGTTCAGTAGCGCCTCCCTTGCCTCCGAACGGAGTGCCTCGAGTCGGAGTCATCGGAGCGCCTACTGAACGGCAAAACAACCCGCGGCTCCAAACCTGCTTCTACGCAACTTCCGCTTCCTCCCCTGTGCCAGACGGTCTCCGAATAAACTGGAAGCAGACGATGGCGAGCACGATCGCTTTTATTTGACGCCGGTATTGAAGAAGTCTTTACAAGGTCGTTGAAGAAAAAGCGGGTGATTGTACACATCAGCGCTGCTGTTCGAAGCGATGCAACGCGATCGAGCCCTTCGCTTGGCGGTGCAAAGGCAGCTACTGTTATAAAAGCCGACAAAAATCGTCGTCAGTACACGCAAAATACAGAGCTCAGCGAATCTACCCCGCCGGTTGCGATACTTTTATACGGCCATAAGTTTGTTCTGCCCTTCGTAACGAACTTCCTATAAAATGTATTTGTATACACACGGGAAGTTCGGCCGCGCTCGGCGGTCAAGGTTTTGCCGGCCGAAGCGAGCCTCAGCCAACGTGCACCCCGATTTAGCTACGCAAACAAAACATTAATCGGTATCATGCTCTGCATGAGTGTCCAACCGGCTTCCAAAGTCGCGTTCATACCCTGTTTTTCTCTGTTGAGCGCGGACAGGACTATCGTCAATAGTACCGAGTTTCCGTGCAACGGCGATCAAGACACGGCGCGTCAAATGAACGTTTGCGTTGTTTATTAGCATATTCAAACCAAACAAAATACGGTTCAATGCATTTTCCGAAAGAGCCTTACCTCAAAAAGATATCCGAACGCGTTATTCGTCTTACCTTGAGCACTTTTCATTAACAAAAGCGAGCAAACCGCGCACCCGCGACAGAACCGAAGCAGCTTATCCCGCCATATTGTTTGTTTTTTCCTCTTTTAGCGCCGGAAATCGTCACCAGTCAGGAAATGACGTCATTTTAGCTCCTTTGACTCTACGTGCACCGTCTCCGGACTCGGTGCTTCGGAGCTTGACTCCGAAGCCCCGGAGTTACGTGCACCGGAAGTGACTTTTGGCCGTCCAGTGGAAAGAGTCAGTGACCCCTTGACTCCGGGGCCGCTACTGAACGCGCCCATGGGCAGCGGGGCGAACAAAACGCCTTGCAAAAGGCGTTAAAAAATTTGCGAAGATCCAACGGAAGCAAGAAAAAAAAAAAGCATGGAGAGGAGCTTTTTTTTTTTTTACAAAGCGCAGTCTGGATTTTGGGTTCGCGCGCCGCCGCGTGCAAGGAGGTAAGAAAGAGAATCGCGAACGAAACAGCCTCCAAAATGCGAAAAAAAGAAAAAAAAAACCCCACGGAATTAAGAGAAAACAAAAACAAAGAGGAGCTTTTCTTTTCTTTTTTTTGCACAGCGCAGTTTGGTTACCTGGGGTCGCCGCGCAAGGAGGTAAGAAAGAGGAGCGGAGAAGCCCTCTAAGCAAACGAAACAGCCTTTCAAAACAGCTTGCAAAAGGCGGCAAAAAAAATAAACAACCCACGGAACTGAGAAAAAAAACAAAAGAAAAAGAGGAGCTCTTTTTATTTTTTTTTTGCACTGCGCAGTTTGGTTACAGCGAGTCGCGTCGCGCGCCACACGCTAGGGGATAAGGAAGATAAGTGGAGAGCCCTCGCCTAAGCGAACAAAACAACTTGCGAAAGGCGGCAAAAAAAAAAAAAAAAAAAAACACCCATGAAATTAAAAGAAAAAAAAAAAAGGATTTTTTTTTTTTGCACAGTTTAGTTTGGTTAAGGGGTCGGGCGCAGCGCGCAGAGAAATAAGAAGTTACTTCGATTTTTCAAGATAAAAGGTCCCCTCATTATGCGAGTAAATAGGGACGCAAAAATTTTACTTCGCGTAATGAACGCCTCCCCCAGCTTTGCATCGATTTTTCGGAAAAAAAAGTGTGTTCATTCTGCGAGTAAAGTAAACGTCACAACCCCCCCCCCCCCCCCCAAAAAAAAAAAGAAAAAAAAAGTAAATTTTACGAGTTGATTTTGATGCTGGGCAGCCAGACCTTCGGCGACAGAGAAAGATAACAAAAACAAAAAGGAAAAGAGAACCCGCGCTTTCTGACGCGCAAGATGCACCCTACATGATGCTACAGAAAAACGCTTTGGGAGCGCGCATAGAAAGCTTTACGAGCGAGCAACTTTGGCGCCGGGCGGCCAAACTATCGGCGACAGAGAAAAATAACAACAAAATAAAGGAAAAGAGAACTCTCACCTTCCAGCGCTCAAGATGGACCGCACACGATGCTACACGCCGCTTTGAGAGCGCGCACGCATGCTGTCTCAGCGCCCGATCACGTCTATGTTCTCCGCGCTACTCCACGCCAGATTGGTTGCGCTAACTCATGTCATCGTGCCAATCACTGCAGTCCATCTCAACGGCAGGCGCATATTGGCGCACATTCGGCTTTCCAGCAAAGGGCCCGTGTTTCGCCGTACGTTGGTGGTTTCTCTCCTGTGGTGCCGTGCAACTTGAGCCTGCGCACTTTTGCTTGGGACGAATTATCCGATGCAATGTCTTCCCGAATTCAAACTCTCCAATTTTTCCTCCCATAGAAATGTATGGGCGCTTGCCGGGACTTTTGAACACGATCGAATTAAACGAAAAGTAGAATTAATCGAGGTCGAACTAACGAAAGTTTACTGTATTCTAGTCGCCGAAGAAAGCATGCCTGGCAACCGCCGACGCAGTTTGCTTGTCGGTGGTGCTTCCGACGTCTCCACAATTCTTGCAAGGTCTGAGACTTTGTGGTTTTCGCCGTCTTGGCACAACTCGAGCTGTGCCAAGGCTTTCGATGGATGTGAAGCGCGAACTGTTAACAGCACAAGCTGACGAACCCCAACCGTTTGGATTTCGGAAAATTAAAATAGCTCACTGGCGCTTACAACGTTGATCGTTCCGAAATGCGGCGTCCAGCCAATACAAATGCGCCTTGCTCCCCTCAAAATTTTTGGGGCTTTTAATTTGCAGTACTGTAATTTTCCGAGTCATTGCTTATCCCCGAGTCGTCGCTTACCCCACTTTTTAGCGAATATCGATTTCCCCCAAAGAAACACCAAGTGATCGCTCGTGCCTACAAATACTCCAACGCAGATTCCGCAATGCAGCAAAACACCTCTTACCCAAATGACGCGGCCACGGACCTTATGGTTGGAGGGTTCCGTGACAAAATAAAATGAAGGAGGGAAAGACACTTCACTTTCTTTACGTATTTCCTTTCTGATTTCCGAGGCCCCAAAGTCGCGGAATGTAAAGTCAAAGATGTCAGGTCAAAGTCCGTCTCCATCGAAATAAGGTCACCGCAAACCCGCTCTTTCTCCTGGAACGTCACGACCACGGATGGTAACGTTATGCGATGTTTCGGACAAAGCCTACGGGTAAATAAAGATTTGCTGGAATCCCACACACAGACGTTTGTAAAGCGTCCCAGCTCTGTTTACGTGATGCCGTCCATGCCACGCAGCAACGCCGCCCCAACCCACGTTGATAGCAGGCCGTGCACAGATGCACACATGTATGTACATAATAAGAAAGATGCACAAGAGCCTGCTCCTTGTGATTGACAAGGCATCCGACTTGGCCCAACGCCAAACTATTTGGCAACTCGATCGATCGCCAGCTTTCCTGCTTCCCCAGCTTCGGTCTTTGTCACTTCTTTTGCCCACGTGTTCGCTTGTTGCGCCTGTTGGTCTTTTCTATTTTCTCATTCAGTCACCTTGCTTACTTCATTTATTCTTTATCTACAGATCAGCAAAAGCTAGGGAGCCTAACAAAGGGAACATAGCGGTTTTCAAAACATGGTTTCAGAGAACAAGCGTTTGCGTTGTATGCCGATCGGCGGTGTTCATTGCACATATGCAAGCGTCGGACTTCGCGATAGTAAAACATTCTTTCATGAGAGCGTTTGTATAAAACAATGAAACTAATTAGAGATTTTAGTTTATTGTACTCCTTGCAGTTGCACTAGACACATACAAAATAGTAAGCTTTTTTTTTTAGCTTTTTCTAATTTTTTTGTGCTCACCCACCGAGGTATGGCTCACCCCTCTTTTTTTCACGAATGTTAGGTGTCAGGGTGGTGGTCGATGACTCTGCATGTTACGTCAAATGGTGTTTTATAGTGCCATACATTAAAAAGCCAGGACCTTTACTTTGAGCTAACCAAAAAATCAAATAAAGTGACGTTGAGTTACCGATACATTGGCAAAGGTAGCATCCATAAATATTTTTTTGGATTTTTTCTTCATTCGTCAGTTTCTAATCTAACAGACTTGAAAAGAAGTTGATTGAGTCATGTCTCAAGAAGGTCTGAGTGTTTAGTTTACAAAGTCTGTAAAAGTGAGACCATGCATAAGTGACGTATATACAAACATCTATTTAATATAGTCACAGACAGGATGAGAACAACAGGAAGGAGTGTCAGTTGTCCTGCCTCCAATGCGAGCTTCCTCTTTTTGATAACAGTTTGGCATTTTGTCAGTCTTGAGCGTCTACGTGCAGCCAATGCCTGGCAGAAGGCAACTAGCGCACTCTGGAGGCGTTTGAAAGAGACATCCAGTTGCCATCCTCGCCTTGTCAGTGACTACACTCATCCACATTTTCTCTCTTAATCCGCGAGGCTTCTTTTAATGAACCTCCGAAGAAAAACTAAAAAAAAAGGGTAACCGACTTCTTTTGTGATGGTTGCTCATCTATCGGTTTCGAGCTAGGGTCTAACAGCATCGGCAATGCTCGGCCAATGCTGGGATGGGACAGCCTAGAGACACCAAACAAAGCTACGCTGCAGAGTAACGACACCCAGCAGGCATCTCGCTGCTAAATTCATTTTGTTCCTGCGATTTCAGATTCAGACACATATATTCAATATCGCAGGAAATGCTTTTTCATCTTCCATATCTCGTACGATGGTATTGTCACGGATGGAGAAGGATCGACGAGCGTAAAATTGAAAATAAAGTTTGAAGGCCCGTTCACACTCTTGCGACCGAGTGCGACCGAGTACGACTGAGAGAGACGACTTCTCTTAAAACTTGCTAAATGTTTTTAAAATGAGGGAACAAACTGGCATTGTGGCGCCATCTATGCGGTGACCCTGGAACTGCATTTCACAAGAGCGAAGGTTTTGCGGGATTTCCGAGGTCAAATGTGCGTAATACCCATAGAAAGGCTCGTTTATAAAATTGACAAAAGTTTTTCGAGCCAAAAAAGAAAGGATAATGCGCGAGAAATAAAAAAAAAAATGCCGGACCGCCGAGTTTACACTGCTTCCCAATAGATGGCACCAGTGTGTTTTCTGGTTTAAGAAGTTGTAAGGAACCTAGGTTTAAGAGGTCGCAAGAGTGTGAACGGGCCTTTAATCGGCAAACTTGTGCTACAAACAAAAGAAAGAATGAGCGTCGACAAAGCAGAAGCGAGCATCGAGGTATCGGTTTGACGGCTGGCTGGCGTAACAGTGTTGGCAAGGCCACGCTGGCCTCCTTATTCATTATCCTCAGCATCTCAAACACTCGGCCTAGAATGTTTGAGCGTTGAGCTAGGACGGGACTGACTTGGTAAGGCCACGCTGGCGTCCTTTTTTATTGCCCTCGGTATCTTGAACATTTGGCCTAGAATGTTTGAGCTTCGAGCTAGGGCGGGACTGACTTGGCAAGGCCATGCTGGCCTCCTTATTTATTACCCTCAGTATCTTGAACATTTGGCCTCAAATGATTTAGCGTTGAACCTTTGCGGTTAGAGTGAACACGAATCTTATAGAAGTATGCAATGGCGTTTCCTCTCGGCCATGTGCATGGCAATATCCCCCGAGCTTTTCGGTGCCATTGTTCAAGGCTCGGGAAGTTGCATTTTCTAATCAGAACTGTCGCCCATTGCGCCTGCTCCACGCTAGGCAACAAAATGGTGGAGCCCATGAGACACTCGGGGTACGGAGTGTTGGTACTCGAAGCGTGACCTTTTTAGCAACCCTAGGATGGCTATCTGCAGTGGCTAACTACTGTAAAGCGGGGCCTTTTCTGTGGGATGCACAGTGGCACCTCTCGTTGTGCAGCTATGCGACGTCATCTCTCGTTGGGAGCAAGCCCTACGGGAAAAGCACCTGGGGAAGTTTGAGAACACCAGGGTCATCAAGCTCACCTACAAGAACAGGCGAGTTGATAGCCTCCACTCTTTTTCTCTCGTTGTGGATGCCTGGATTAGAAGGAATACGTTGCCTATAGAATTAATTAGAACTAAATTAGATGAAGCAGTGGAGCAGGCACCTATTGCTTCTATGTGATACTAGACAGCTAGCTCACTTTGAAGGAATCGAACCTGCCGTGCAGTTGACGCTAGCAAAAGGTTGCATAGAACTGTGAAAGCAAGGCATGTTTTCACAGTTCACAGATGGTCCAACACACAAATCTTAACATATAATATTTCCAGTGGTACGAATAACCAAAGTGTGAGCTTCTGCTCCAAAAGTGCTTTTTGCTCCTCCAAAAGGTACTCCAAAATGACCAGGGCCAATCACCTCACTGGCATTGCCAGAGTCATTACTCAAGAACAGCGGTTCTCAAACTGATCTGCGGACATTTTGTGGTCTGCAGGGACATTAGTGGAGTCTTCCACTTGATTCGGGGCTTGCTTTAAAGGGGTGAGGCACTGAAGAGGGATAAAATCGACAGACCAAACGTTTATGCAGCTACAATAGAGCTCTCATGAATCACAGTGCGTTCTTGCTGAGTTCTTTAAGTGTGAGGGCATTTTTTATACAGGCCTTCTTGGAGGAAGTGCTCAGGGACGTGTTGCCACTTTTGCCTTCCACTGTGAAACCGTTTTGTTTGGGCTCGTCCGCACGATGCCAACGACGATGAACGCGATTTTAATTCGGGCGGGCTGACCAGTTCAACTTTCTTCGATGTACGGTGATGTAAGTTTCTTGACGTATGCAATGCATTTTTGTCATATAAACATATTCAATGCGGGTCCAAAAATGAACCCCTAAAATAGTTTGGGGTCTGCAGTGACGCAAAGTTTGAGAAGCGCCAGTCTAGAAGTTGGCTTCCTAAGTATGAAATTGTAGTGCTAAAGACCTTGAGAAAGGATTACAAGGACCACACAAAAACAGCAGCAAAGAACAATGTTTCCCTGGCGTCTTTTGGTGTTCTAGTATTTTTATTTGAACTACTCATAAGGAAAGATGCCGATGTAGAAACCTTTTAACTTTTTTATAGGGGTCTCTTACATGTATGTGGAACAGCCTTCTGAGTAGTGTCCTGCACAATTAGCGAGATTTTATATCTGCACTGTTCAGTGAAAATGCAATGATAAATGCAAGAACAGGTCTTCTGCAGCTCTTTGGATTCTCATTCAATGTTTCTTTTTATGTGTGCAGCCAAACCATTTATCAGATACTAACTGTAGTCAGGCTGATAACAATTTTGTCTCAACGGTTGCAGTTTCTATGATTATATGATTTTTCCACGTCTGCCAAAAAGCAGAAGGTTCTAATGTATTTGAACGAAAAGCTGTCCAACTCTGCCTTTCGAAGGCAGAGTTGGACAGCTTTCCATTTTACCACTTTTTTGCAGCATGTAAGCATTCAGAGAAAGCAACAGACCTCTAGGCACATTAGTGCTTGCACGTGTGTATGCTACTGTAATCTATTGAAAATTGACAAAAATAGGACAGAAGCTGTTATGTTAGTCTCTGCTATATGCTGGATGACCATGGTGTGCCAGATATAATAAAATACATACATAGGGTACATATTTTGTATTCCCATCGATTTCGTTTGAACCGGGTCTGACTGCGATTTAGATTTTTGCCTGTCAGTGGGAGCGGTAGGGTGTGAGAGCTCAGTTGCATGCATTGTTTTGTGACACAAGAGGGCAGGCCACTTGAGGTTGGTGGGAGGGAGTTTTGAGTTGGGTTCGGGAGTTTTTGATGTTTTACCTCTTTATGTGTTTGTCAGGCTCAGCTTTTTACAATGCATGAGCTTATTTTCGCAGAGAGTGATAAAAGCCTCTGTGGCTTTCATTTTCACAGAAAGTTACGATCACCTCTGTTGCCTCTGTTGTCACAAGGGGTGACAATAGCCTGTATAGTCTTTAGCGTTCAAGAGTGACAGTAGCCTTTATGACCTCTACATTCATATGTGACAATTGCCTCTGTGGTTTTTGTTGTCACAGGGAGTGACAACTGTCTCTATGGCCTCTGCTGTCACATTGGGTGACAATAGCTTCTACAGTCTCTCTTGTCCTAGAAAGCGAAAGCAGCCTCTATGAAATCTATTACCCTCTATCGCCTGTTGTCTCGGAGTGACAAAAACCTGTGTATTGTCGCAGAGGGACAATTATTTTTATGGCCTGTTGTTGTCACGGAGAGTGACAACCACATTGATGAAATCTATTGTCTTCTGCGGCCTCTATTGTTGCAGAGCGACATTAGCCGTATTATTAAAAGAAAATTTGTTAGCTTTTATAGCCTGTTGTCACAGAGCAACAATGGCCTGTGACTTATCACAGGGTAACAATTATTACAAAGAATGACAATAGCCTCATGGCCTCCAACGTCACAGAGAGTGACAATAGCCTCCATTGTCAGAGTTGAGCGACAATAGCCTCTATGACCTCTGATGTCAACAAGAGTGACAATAGCTTCTATGAGAGAGTGAGGGAATGATTGAAATGCAAAGAGGTTAGCCTGAGCGCATGGCTCTAGCAGACTGCTCTACACTGTGGGAAGGGGATAGGAAAAGGATTTGCAAGATGAAATGAGATGAGGGAGGAAATATGGACGATGATCTAGTGATTAGATTGACATTATCTCACGTCTCAGAAGGTCCGTGCCAGTCCTGTGTCTCATAAAAAGACACTGAGGGTATCGGTGGCCCTAACGGAGCATTGAATTAAGCCCCAGCCACCGAGCACTTTCTCAACGGTATGTGGTGTTGCATGTTTGGCAGTTCGGACTGGTGGCCTTTCTTGATTTTATGGCAAAACTTCCTCGTGAAAGCTAATCCAAGACGTAATCCGCGGATTGTAGTCTACTCGACGAGGAAGACCAGATGGAAATTAGATAGCTTCTGTGGAACCCGCTGTCCTCTACGGCCTCCATCACTGCAGAGGGTGACAGTAGCCTCGCGGCGACTGTCTTGCAGGCTGTGCTTCCGGCAGCTCCTCAAGGCCGAGACAGACAAGGAGCGTCTCCTGACCGCCTACCACCTCAACGAGGACCTGGTGCAGGGCCGGTTCCCCCTCAGCCAGGAACTCTCCCTTGAACTGGCCGCCCTCATGGCGCAGGTATGTCGACCAAGCGTCCTTCGGCGCCGCTGGAGTTTTCGAAACGTGTCTTCGACCAGTAGAGGCATTCCTATACCGCCCACACATCTGAGGTGGTCCTCGAGTGCCGGCAAACAATGTCGCAAGAGTGTGGTCGGATGGCGCGATCCTGCCGGTCGCTCGTTGAAGTGCCGATCAAAAAGCATGTGCAAACGCGATTTTCACTGTCGTCATGGTGTGCTAACTTCTGACCGCTTAAGTTTCCGTGGACTGTCAAGATGGAGCACGACCTCTAGCATAACAGGGTTGTTCCACACGGGGGGGTTTTGAAGACGGGAACTGAACACGGCGAAACTCGGGTGCCGACATCAGTGGTCTTGAGAGGAAGAATGAGAAAGAGAACGACGGAGGAACGGAGCCGGAAGGCGGATGAAAGTTTATAGGCTTGTTCGTTTTGCTACGACGGGTTGAGGTTGCTCGAGTGCTTGTCTATCTTATTTAATTTTATACAGTGCTCGATTCCAATGTTTTTTTGCAAAGCAATCTAGAAAAGAACTAGGTACAGACCTTGCGTAGTGATGTTTTCCTGCCTCTTTGCGTATGTAAAGGCGTCACTGGCAATATGGGCCCGTCGGGACCACCAACTGGGTTTGCCAGTGTCCGCGTCTATAGCCCGCCCGCTCCAAAGCGGCCCGAATGCGTGGGACCCTTCCCTCTAGGTCGGTGGTTCTCAGCCATTGATGATCTGCGGACTCCTTGTGGATTGGCTAAGGTGATGGAGGACCGCTTTTGGGGTGGGGGGAAGAAAGAGGTATATGTTAGTTATGATGGTGGTTTAATAAATTAATAAATCTAAGGGCTAGTGTGAAGTACGCTTTTCTTATTGACATACACACGAGAAACCTCACCCAAAAATTGAAACGTCTCTTCTCAATCTGAAAAAAGACGACTTTTATTGCCAGGCTCAACTGATCAGGCAGGGCTTCGCGAATCTCTAAAATGCCTTCATGGACCTCCCTTTGAGAACCATTGGTCTAGATTATTATATTAACTCTACAGTGCCACATCCACCTCTGCTGCTCTGGCACCGCCAGGATCTTGGCTCGCAATGCCACGCGGTTGCGATAGCACACAATATGCATCGCCAAAATGTTTTTGTTTCTTTGCTTCCCGACGTGAGTGACATCTCTGGTTCTCCCCACACGCCTTGCAGTGCTGCGTGATGGCGGAAGCGGTACTTGGCTGCATTTAAAAGAAAGGTTATCTTCGCATCCAAGAGCAGGCAACAGCAGAGCTGGGTGAAGGTTTGTGGTGAACGAAGGCCGCACTCGTGGATGGAAGAGACCGAAACGAGCCCTTTTCGCGTGCAAGAGTGTGAGAAAACGTTTCCGGAGGCCAAAGAAAGGAAAGTTAGCAAAGACCAAACTGGACCCATTGGTTTGCCAAGGAACAACGTGCTCTACACTCACCGTAAACACTGAGCTGCTGCGGGCAAAGGCCACAGACTTGCGTGTTCCTGGGTCGTATTATATGCGGATCATACTTTCTTTTCGCTGGTCTCGAATTGCATTTTGCAGTAGGTGTGGGTTTGTATCATGCAGGTATTTACGGTAGTATACTTTTAGTGTATCGCTTCTTGCTGAGGGTTCGTACTGCACTCGGTGTTTGCGCATGTGCGAAAATGGTCCAAAACATTGCTCCGGTAGACAACGGATCAGATCCCCGACGAAGCCGACACGTTGCCTGTTGCACCGTTGCAGATCGAGTTTGGGGACTACAACGGCGAGCGTGCCCGTGGCAGCGGCAGCACGCCCAAGCTGAACCCACCGCAGCAGCTGCAGCTGGTCGTGGAGCGCTTCTTCCCCAAGCAGTACCGGGAGCCCGGAAGGGACAAGTGAGACGCTCTTTGACACCTCCCAGACAAGAAGGATGTAGTGCTGGATCGTCTGTACCAGCTACCGTAGACCATTTCTTTTAAGCTCTTACATAGAAGCGGCGGGATCTTTTCTAGCCATGGGGGGGCGGGCCCGTGCCACCCCTCCTGGACTCCTCAAGCCACCCTCTACAACTGTTCCCACCACCCTGATTGAAACTGTCTACCAATGCACTCGTACAAAATAACTGCAGAGCACCGATTAAAATAGCTTTTGTCTCAATTATGGAAAATTGTTTTCTGAGACGACGAAAAGGAAATTGTGTTCTGCCCAAGTCCCTGCAGGCAGGCAGCCTCAAGATTTGTGGTTCTAACGAGTCTAGATATTCCTCTAACTGGGTCTCAGAGTGAAGAGGCCAACACGTTGAGGTCGCTGTGCCTCCTCAAAAGGAGTTAAAGCGCCGTAGGAGGGGCGACGTTGCAGCGACTTTACGGAGCGGCGGTGGGAGGGAGAAAGTACCACCCATACAAGGGCCGTCAGAGATTGCGCCTTTTCACTCTAGCCTGGCCGTGTCTGCACTGGTGTAGACTGGTGCAGGTAAACCGAACGTGCCCGGTATCTCGTTGCACGTTGTCCTCTCCCCTAGAATTTGCTCCTTCATCTCTTCCCTGGACTGCCGAATTGAGTATGAAGACACCTTTCAACGGAGACTTTGACACAGGTGCACCATGGAGGCGATCAGAGAGAGGTGGTCCGCACTGAAGGGAAAGCCGGTCTTCGACTGCGTCCGGATCTACCTCAACTGTGTCCGCAAGTGGTCCTTCTGCGGAGCCAGGCTCTTCAGTGCCAGGGTGAGCACTTCAGAGCATTCCTTTCCGTCCCGCCCCCGCTTTCATCTTCGGACATAGTCGGAACGGTCTACGACTAGGGTTCTGCCTCGGTACTGGTGTGACGGAATAATTTCCCGACCCATACGGGGCTGTGCGTGCGGCCACGTGTGCGTGTGTGTGTTTGTGTGTGTCCCACTGTGGCGTTCGCGCCAGATTACGAAGAATCCTCGCCTCACAGCCAGCGGAGAAAGAAAAGGAAGAAGGGGGGGCGGAAAAAAGGGTGGTTAGGCATTGCAAGCCTTCGGACGGAGAAAGTCTTAGTAGTTGTCTGTGTCGTGCACCCAAGCTGAGTTTAGATAAAACCACAGGTGCCGGAACTAGTGCTGGGTACTGTGTCTCCTTGACGTCGGACTTTGACAAGGTGTGTGTGCAGCTCCTAACCAGAGCCTTCATATTGGGTGGCCAGGTGAACTTCCGGTAGTGCGTGTATTTGTTCTTCAGCAACGCAGAGCGATCGGGTAAGGCCTCATTCACACAGCTGGCACCTCTCCCATCCTGGTACCGTCATGGGAGCACGCTGGGGTGGGGACGCGACGGCAGGGTGTCCGAACAGGCCGCGCAAGCAAAGCGACGACGGCCACGATGGCAGGATTGGATTGGATCGAATAGCTTATTTATTCAACTTAAATTACAAAATCCAGGAATAATTGTGCCTGAACATTAGTGTGCATGTTTCTTTTTGTTGTTTTTTTGTAAATTAAGGATTTGTGTCTGCTATCAGCAATTCCCGCCGAAAATGAACAAGAAAAACAACACAACAAGTGTTGGCTCACTGTTGGTAACCGAACAATGAAAAATCTTCGAAACTTAGCAAAGCTTTTCTATTTTGTGATTCGTCGGTTTACGATGGGGGTGTGACTCCGTCTTCCGACGGGACGCCGGTGCCGTAGAGCAGCTCCCTACGTCGCCCGGCACCCGGCGCGGCACAGCTTTTTGGCGAAAACCGGGCCGAAAATCCTTTCCACTGACGGGAATGCCCCTTGTGACGGTGACAGGATGGGAGAAACGCCGACTGTGTGAATGAGGCCTAAAAAGGTTTCTTTTTCTGAGAGCCATTCGTAATACATGTGTAAGAACCTGCACACATTGTAGAAAGTAGTAAAAATAACGATAGGATGCGAGATGAAAAGAAGTAGAGGAGAACCGTGAGTTTGCAGGGGACTGCCGACAGCGGGCGGCAGCAAGCATCTTTCTAAATAAACATCAGCATATACTTGTTTTAGGAAAATTGATGAAAACCAGAAAACCTTGATTTTTTAAATGAGAAAAACTTAAGCCTCACTAGAGACAAACTTTTATCTACAGTTTTATTATGTGTTGGCAAGGCTACTTTTTTCTTTGGGAACCCCTTATCTCATTTCCTTCTCTTACTGGGTACGTTTCCCGAGTATTCGGGTTGCACGCACGTTCCTTGTAGATGGGGGAGACCAGTGATCTACTCTGTTTTAACATAAGCCCCGACAAACACTCATTTTTGGTCCAACATTGAAATTTGACACCTAACGCCACCGAGCTTGTCTTAACTGGAACACCCCACTCCCAGTAATTTGTCCGTCCATGCATAGACCGTGGCGAAGCATGTCGGTGCAACTGGTTTGGTTTTGTGGCAGCGTAACCAAGACAATGTATACGAGCAGTTACTCCGAATTACATCGATACACAGTGCAGTCCACTTATAACAATATTATTAAATGCGGAAAGCCCAATCGTTATAACCGATTATCGTTGTATCTGGACTGACCCTGAAAACTGCCCAAAATAGTCCCCCAAGCAGAAGGTTACTCACCAGTGTTCACTGAATCACACCACAGAAGAAGCACCGCAATAAAACAAAATTTTATTGTAGGGTCATCAGCAGGCACACAATGAAATGGTGTTAAGAACGCTAAAAAAAATCCAAGATCTCCGCTTGCTTGTGTGGCAGCTGGAGCTTGACTATTGCAGTGCGCATCGCGTCTAGTTGCTGCACGTACGTTGACGGTAGTCCTTTGGAGTACGTTGACGGTAGTCACACCAGAACGTCACTTTCGTTTTCACTGTTTACATCGTCCACCCTTACAAAGCCTGCATTCCTGAAACAGGTCTTGAACGTGGTCTGCTTCACTTCATACCTCGCGCCGTACACAAAACGCACGGCCTTCATCAAAGTGATCTTGAGATCAGGAGGGCTGCGAATCACGTAGGATTTGCTTTTTTACCTCGAAGGAGACAGCTTTCCGCTTTGTCGGAGCCATCTTTCACGCCAGCGACGCGGGGAAGAGAAGGGCCGAGAGGGGCAGGCTGGGCAGGCTGGGCAGTCATCAAGGTTACGGGGTTACGGTTATGATTATGATGATAGCGCCGAGGTATTCAGGCCGCGCGCAGCGCCTACTCGTGGACTATTTGGTCGGGGCCCATTGGTGATGATCGCATCCGCTGATCTCAGTCGTTTCTTTGCGGAATTGCACAATCTTTGCCACATTTTCTGTTGAATTTTTGTAGTAAACATGTTCTATGCGATCATTTATTGATCGTTGTATCTGATATGCCGGGGAAAAATGCATCGCTATATATGGTTTATTTTTACATAAACTAATGCAAAAATTGATGCTTCTATAAAATTTGATTGTTATAACCTATATATCGTTATGAGTGAACTGCACTGTATACGCGTCCTCCACTGTGAATCGAACCCAGTCACTCCCAGTCCACAGCACTATGCTCTATCTCCACACCATCTAGACAATTCTTTAAAATTTTCGCTACGTAATGCCAGCTGCACGACTTTCTATGTGCAGTGGCTAAGCTCCATGCGCTTTGTCTCACTGAATGTTATAAATGCTCATACTAAAGAATGTTTGCATGGACGGATGGCTCAGACTTCCAAACGGCCACACATCGACGGCTTGGATCTTCTGAAGTAGCAATCACCCGAGGAACGGTCGAGGAAACCTCGGTGAACCCCGGGGTATGGTGCCTGGAATCTAATCGGCGCGTTTAGCGTCCCATCTTGCTCGTGCATTGAACGCGGTCTCAAAGTGGAAACAAACGACGCTGGAAAAGCCGGAGTGCCACGCTGTCCGACGTCGCGGTCCCGGCGGTTGGTCGGTCGTAAAATAGCCGGCGAAAAGCACGAGCAAACGCGAGCGTTGCCCGAAGCTTTCGTGGACTGTCGAGCCGAAGAGTAACTCGCGGGGGAACGGGTGTATGCCACAGGCACCGCCACTGCTGGATTGCAGCTGGCGACGGCACGATGCTTGTAGGATGTCGTTGGGCGGAAGTCGAGGGACCACTCTTTTGGACGCGGTAAAGAGACCGGTCAGAGACCCGTTCCGGGTACCATACCCTGGGTTGTTACGAACCCACATTGAGAACTCGTGCTCTAAACCTGGAATCTCCAGACTCTGGCCCATAGTGGGAAGGCCAGGAAGGCCTTTCCGCTGCTACTGGCGCAAAGACAAGCGTGCGTAAAGTAACTGTGCCGTGACACTCGGCAAATGCATGGTACTCGTTTTGATTCCTAGCTGATACTGCCATGTCATATATGCCGTACGTATATTGCCCTTTGTCATCCCCAGCATCAGCGTTCTCAGCCACCTATTTCGTGTCCGTGTAACAATAGATAGTGTGCATAGTGTCATCACGGGTTCCACCATCCTCATTAGTCTTTTGCCCTGTATGAACGAGGCTTAAGCTAAACTTCCTTTGCACCTCTATTTATACCCGGTGGGTTTTCTGGCTTGCAAATATCGTGCGAGATCATAATTAACTAAATATTGTGTTTTGAAATAAAGTGTAATTTATTAAACCACCTCAGATTTTGTTTACTCTAACTTGAATGTTTGTATTGGAACCTCTCTTTCGTTTCATTTATTTAGTTTCTCCTCGATTTTTGTTTACCAATTAATTTTTCACCCTCGAGACTGCAACAGATTTCAAATCTGGCCCCCGAGCCTAAAAGTCTGGAGACCCCTCCCGCTAAACCGTAGGTTTTCCAAATGGGTTCCTGAGAATGCAAAGATTTTTCAGGGTACCCGGGGTTCGTCGACCGTCTCAAAGTAGGGTTTATTTTCATTTTAGCTACCGTCTTAGCAGATCTGAGCCGCTCACAAATGCATATCTGTAGGCACGTGCACACATTCCTTATTATCTGCATTCTTGCTTACAATGTCCACAAGCTTCTATGGCTTGTAGCTTCTATGGCTTCTACTGCTTTACTGCATCTATACCCGAGCTGGGACGGGCTCCTCAGTTGCTGTTCAAGGAAGAGTGTGTGAGATAGTTCATCGCTCGTGTCGGCTTTGCCGACACGAGGGAAGAGGAAGAAGTGTATTAAAGAGCGGGCTGTTGCGTGCCTGGTTCCATGTTGAAAGGTCGCCCTTTTCATACTTCCAACATGGTGTCAGAAGTGGGATCCGGCCATGCATAATCCCTCAGCTTGCGAAACAACCGGCTCTTCAGACGCCGAAGCGACCGCAAAGCAGCTGCCACGGAACAGTTCTGGTCAACCTCTAATACAAGGTACGCAATCAGACATCAGCTCTATAATGGCGTCGTTCCAAATAGCTCCACCCGACCCATTTAACTTCACCACTCCAAACGAGTGGCCTGCTTGGAAGAAACGTTTTCTTCGGTACCGCACAGCCTCGGGATTACAAGCTGCTACCGAAGAAAAGCAAGTCGACACGCTTGTCTACTTGATGGGAACGCAAGCGGAGGACATCTTCAACACTTTCAAGCTAAGTCCTGAGAACGCTAAGAAGTTTGAAGTCGTGTTAGGCCACTACGAGACCTATTTCTTTCCAAGACGCAACATAATCTTCGAAAGAGCACGATTCAATACCCGAACACAGGGAGAGAGTGAATCAGTGGAAGACTTTGCGACGGCATTGCACACATTAGCCGACACCTGCAACTTTGGCGAGCTAAAAGAAGAACTCATCAGGGATCGCTTGGTCGTGGGCCTGCAAGACAGAAAAGTTTCAGAAAAACTACAGTTGGACTCGTCGCTGGACTTGATGAAGGCACTCACAATTGCCCGTCAGCATGAGACAGTCCGACAACAGCAGAAAGAGCTACGATTCCCAGAAAACACAGAATCAGTAGACCAGATACACACCAGAAGGAAATTTACTGCGCCGCAAAAGGCTGCAGTCGCTTGGGACAGAACTTTATCAAAACGTTACCAACACGACACCAAAGCTCAAGAACGATCCTGCATCTGGTGCGGACACGAAACACACCCTCGATCGAGATGTCCAGCAAAAGACGCGGTGTGCCGGAGTTGTGGAAAAGGAGGACACTTTATGACGGTTTGTCGGTCGACATCTTCTCTTAGAAATGTCACCGAGCAACAAGAAGGGCTCGTCTCAACAGGACAGTTAATGACTGCCTCGAAACCCGCCACCGCAACGAAGAACAATGGGAAGCAAGAGCCAGGATTTCTCGGAACGTTATCAAACTTTGGAGCCTCAAAGTGGGAATTGTCAATATTGGTCCAAAGCCAACCGGTTCTATTCAAGATAGACACCGGTGCAGATGAGACGGTGATCCCCGAAGACCTTTTTAGGAGTCTCTTCAAAGACCGCACTCTACACTCGCCGAGACGCCAGCTGCAGGGGCCCGACGGCAAGTCGCTTCACGTTCTAGGCGTCGCAAGCATGAACCTTTCGTTCAAAAACTACAGTAGCGAAGAGGAAGTTTACATTCTGCGTGGCCTCAACACACCGCTGCTTGGAAAGCCAGCTATAGAAAAACTCAAAGTACTCTCTGAAATCTGCGAGGTGCGTGGACTGTACCCTGAGGAAGATTTTCCCAGCCTTTTTCAAGGTCTCGGCACAATGGAGGGTGACTACGACGTAAAGCTTGCACCGGATGCGACGCCCTTTGCCTTGACTTCACCTCGCAGGGTCCCTCTGCCTCTTTTTAACAAGACAAAAGTGGAGCTTGAGAGGATGCAGAATCTGGGAGTCATTTCACCAGTGACAGAACCCGTGGAGTGGTGCGCCCCGATGGTAGTGGTCCCTAAGGCCTCGGGTGACATTCGCATCTGCGTTGACTTTACGCAACTGAACAAGTACGTCCAGAGGGAATGGCACCCGATCCCATCAGTGGAACACTCTTTGGGAATGTTGCAGAAGGCAACCGTTTTCTCGAAAATCGACGCTAACTCGGGGTTTTGGCAAATCCCCTTAAGTGAAAACAGCAAGCCCTTGACTACATTCATAACACCTTTTGGAAGGTTCTGTTTTAACAGGTTGCCGTTCGGAATTTCTTCGGCGCCAGAACACTTCCAAAGAAGAATGAACGATGTTCTTTTGGGTCTTGAAGGAGTGGCGTGCCATATGGACGACGTCCTGATCTGGGGATCTACAAAAGATCAACACGATAGCCATCTAAGAGCAGTCCTGGAGCGTCTCACTCAAGCGGGGATCACACTAAACAGAGAGAAATGCCTCTTCAGCGTTACGAAGATTTCTTTCCTGGGACACGTGATTGAGAACAATCAAGTTCGTCCAGATCCAGCAAAGCTGTCAGCTATTCTGCAGATGCCAAATCCAACATCAAAGAAGGAGTTACGACGCATCATGGGAATGGCAACGTATCTGGCGCGCTTCGTGCCTAATGGTGCACAGCTCCTAGAACCGCTATCGTCGATGCTAAGCACCAAGCACGACTTCGTCTGGAATCAACCTCAACAGCTTGCCTTCGACCGGTGGAAATCTATGCTTTCATCAGACCCAGTTCTAGGCATCTACGATCCAAGCAAGGAAACAGTTGTCAGTGCTGACGCATCGGCATACGGTCTAGGTGCTGTCTTACGCCAGAAAGAAGGAGAGTGGTTCAAGGTGATCGCCTACGCGTCAAGACTCCTAACAGACACTGAACGCCGATATGCACAGATCGAGAAGGAAGGCTTGGCCCTCGTATGGGCCAGCGAGAAGTTTCGAGACTACCTCGTGGGAAGAAACTTCACTCTTGAAACTGACCACAAGCCCCTCGTCTCACTCTTTGGGTCCAAAGCGCTCGATGACCTGACACCGAGGCTACAGAGGATGCGCATGAGACTCATGCGTTTCACGTATGCGATTGTTTACGTCCCTGGCAAGGATCTCACTGCAGCCGACGCTTTGTCAAGGTCTCCTATCTTACAATCCGAACCTTTCGAGCTCGAAAATGAAATTGACGGCTACATTACACACGTCGCCTCTTCTATGCCTCTGACAACATACAGTATTCAAAAAGTCGCCAGTGAACAACGTAAAGACAAAGTGTGCATGCGTCTTCAGAAAATCATTCAAACAGGGTGGCCGAGAAGAAGAGATGTGGAGCTGGATCTCAAACCCTATTGGGAAAACAAAGACAACATCTCAATTGTTGACGACGTATTAGTATACACGTCAAGAGTGATAATCCCGGAATCGATGCGCGACCAAGTCCTGCGCCAACTTCACGAAGGCCATTTCGGGATGGACAAATGCAAAGGACGAGCGAAGGACTCTGTCTGGTGGCCTGGAGTCGATTCAGACATAGAACGTTTGATCAAAAACTGTCACGTGTGCCTCAAACAGAGCGCCAATCACAAGATGCCTCTTCTGCCAACAGATTTCCCACAACGTCCATGGGAAAGAGTAGCGATGGATTTGTTTTTCTGGGATGGAGCCTGGTGGCTAATCGTAACTGATTATTTCTCACGCTACCCAGAACTGACCCGCCTTGCCAGCCTCTCGTCAAAAAGTGTGATCAATCACTGCAAGTCCATTTTTGCGAGGCATGGGATACCGGACGTGGTGTTATCTGACAACGGACCCCAGTTTTCAAGTGCCGAATTTGACAAATTTGCAAAAGAGTACAGCTTTCGCCACATTACTTCGAGTCCACGATATCCCCAAAGCAACGGAATGGCAGAAGCCGCGGTCAAAATAATAAAGACGTCACTGAAGAAAACTGGAGACCCGTATAAGACCCTGTTGGCATACAGAACAAGTCCACTGAAAAATGGGTACTCTCCGGCAGAACTCCTGATGGGCAGGAGGTTGCGAACAACTATTCCTGTTTCATCCAAGTGCCTTGTTCCCTGCCTTCCAGATCTTAGCAGCGTAAGAACATATGAAACATCCCAGAGACGAAAGCAAAAACAAGACTTCGACCGTAGGCATGGGGTCAGGGACTTGGTCGACCTTGACGAAGGAACCGACGTGTGGGTAGTGGACCTGCAACGACAAGGAGTCGTCGAAAGCAATGCAAATGAGCCCAGATCTTACTGGGTTGACACTGACGCCGGAGAGCCCATTCGCAGAAACAGAACACACCTGATTCCTTTACCAAGTCAGATTCCCAGGCCAGAAATAGTACCGGTACACGAGGATGTGCAAAGAGACGAAACTGAGCAACCGGAGCCTGGACCTCATTCCGCCGAGAACAATCACACCTACACAAGGAGTGGAAGATGTGTTCGTCCACCAAAGAGGTATCCCGAACAATGAACGTTGCCGATGTGAGACTTAGTAGGGGAGATGTGTGAGATAGTTTACTTAGTAGGGGAGATGTGTGAGATAGTTCATCGCTCGTGTCGGCTTTGCCGACACGAGGGAAGAGGAAGAAGTGTATTAAAGAGCGGGCTGTTGCGTGCCTGGTTCCATGTTGAAAGGTCGCCCTTTTCATACTTCCAACAAAGAGGAGGGGTTCCTCAAGGTTAGAAACTTTCAAGAACCCCCGCTCTAAACAATCATGCAGAGATTTTTTTTTTTGACGATCATTGTTTTTTAACGCGAGCGTGGGTACACTTTTGCTGTTGGTGCGGCAGCCGTTGTCAGTGGCGTCGTCCGCCATTGCAGATCAAGGCCAAAGAGCAGCAGACCATCTGGCTGGCCGTCACCGAGGACGGCATCTCCCTCCTGGATTGCTCTTGCATGGTGAGCCTCTCCCGGTCACGCTTCATGCTCGCCGGTTTGGCCACTGCCGTCATACGCACGCCGTTCGTGAGTGTTGGTCGGCAACCACACGTCACGAGCTCCGGGCATCGAAACGTTGTAAGACCTTGGACAAATCGGTGGGTTTATCACACTGAGGGAAGGTCGACTACAAAGGCATCCGCCAAACCATTTGAAGCAACGTTTCGCCAAACACAAGGTGCATGGGCCTCGCGAGCTTGAACCCTACTTCCTCTTCCTTTCTAGCAATGCGGCGAAACGCTCCGAGATTTCTTTGTCGGCGGCTCAACGAAGCCTGGTAAATCTACCGTATATGTGCTTCGCACGCAGAAGGGCTTCAATTCGAAGCTTTGGCGGACGAGGATTTTTAATGTTTTTCAATACCGGCGGTATTATGCAGGAAGAACCTCATTTTCTAAACGAGCAATTTTTAGAAACGCGTAATAGTCGTGTACGTTTCGAAAACAGTTTGTCACTTGAGAGCGCCGAGATGGGCTGCCGGCAACGGTGGCAGCGTTCCCCAAACCTCAGCGTGCGCCGCCTGGCGGGCGAGCCGTGAGAAAGACCTTCTTCTGAACGGAGTTGCACAACTGCAATGATCAACAGTCGCTGACAAGATGAAAATGACCGGGAGGAGCTCCAGTCATCTCGCCTCCGGTGCGAGCTTCCAGCCTTCGATGACGCGCCTCCTGAGCCCGAACGGCAGAAGGCAGCGAGTGCAAGCCGCTTGCCGGGCATTCAAAAGAGGCACCTTTTCGTTCTCGTCTTGTCAACGACTATAGCCAGGTTGGCGGAGTATGCGACTTCAGAGACACTCTCTCGTTTTCCGACCTCCCCTGCAGCAACCGTGGGCTCGTTACCCATACTCCTCGGTGATGACCTTTGGCGGCTGCAGGGACGACTTCATGCTGGTCGTCTGCCCGGACGACTCGGAGTCTTTGACGGAGCGCCTGCTCTTCGTCATGCCCAAGCCCAAGGTGGGACGGCTCTCTTACCCATAGTCCCTCTAGTGGCCTCTCAACCGAGGACGCTGTAGCATCCGCGATGCGCGACCGTTTAATGCCGACGGGGAGCGGTGCCCTGGCATCTTGTGGCGCGCAGTCCACGGATCTGCATTCACTAACGTTTTTGTTTTGAAAAGACGCATTGCAAAGCACGATGGAAATGCGACTTAAAGACATCCAATTTCAGTCGCCGATTTTGCTGTCGGATTCAGAAATATAATTATTTCACGCCTCCGCCAAATATAAATTGCCATCTTAGAGTTGTTTCCTCTGTGTTTATCTCTAAGCCTCCCAAAGTGTTACCGGTTACCATATCTTTCCAGATCATATATTTTTTTTACTGTGGTCCCTTCAAAGGGACTGTAGTTCTCAAGAAAATTTTGAAGAAGTTTTGTTGAGAAAAATTAAGCCAGCCTCTACTTGTTTTCTTATTCATTGATAGATTCACAAAATGCAGTTTATACTGAAACCATGGAAGCTTGAAATATGAGTCCAGTGTCCAGACTTGTGCCTTTCTTCTATTTTCGACGCACTGAAAATAATTGATAACAAGATAACTGTTATGCATTCACAAGTGATACTTTTTTTAAATACTCTTCAAAAGTTGGGGAACGTAACTACAGCATACTGTAAACGCTCGCGATAATTCAAAGTTAGATATTTCATACTTCTGGTTATTTCACACAAATTTGAAAATTTTGGTTTTACTTCTATGTTTTTAATGTATTCATAAGCCGCTCAATTCAAACGGCATTTTCATGTACCATATAAACCAAAATGTAGGTCGAATTTTTAAAAAAATTATGGACCTCAGAAAGTTGATTTTTGTCTTATATCACGGTCATTAGGGGAAACACAAAGATACCGTAAAATACCTGGCCAGCGCCCACTCCCAATTTCGAGATAATCGCGAAAAAATGGGGGATGGGCGCTTGTCCGGTCACCAATTTTACATATCAATGTATTGAGCATATTTTCTCAGATCTTACCAATTTGGAAATGGGCGCTTAACGTGGGGAATGGGCGGATGCACGGTATTCTACGGTAATGTCGCAACACTGGGTGGCTAAAACCGCCATTTTTTTTTTCTTTGCAATCACCTAGCACTTATCCAATTGTCACAATGGTCACGATTCATTTTCTCTTGTGCTCCTTGGTTTGTTACATCTACCGTTGCCGCTTCTGGAGTGATAATGAGCGGAATTAAAAGGCAGTTTACGGTAGACTTCAAGAAGAAAGCCATTGCCTATGCAGAGATCTACAGGAATCTTGCAGCGCAGTGAGGGTTTGATGTATCGGAGAAAAGCATATGCTACTGGCAAGGCCAGAGACGAAAACTTGCGGCGTGCAGCACGGCGAAGAAAACTCCGTTTCGTGGAAGGACTGCAGTGTACCCCAAATTGGAAAAAAAAAGGTGGCAAAATTTATTTGGGATCTGCGCGCCAGATCGCTACCTGTGACGTCAGAGTGCATCCGTACGAAAGCCGTCGAGGTCGCTCGTGCCTCCGGGCTCTCGAGGGCAGAATTCAAAGGGACGGCATGGTCCCTTTGAATCGCATTAGCGAACTCGTCGTCGGACGAAGGTTCTGAAGAATCTGAGTAGTAATGCTCATGCACTTCCTGTTTTATTGCGTGCAAAGCAATTAAATAAATGTGCCGTGTTTTCTCGTCCTTCCGTATACTTGGCCAATTTTGTTACCAAGGTAAGGTTGCATTTTCTTGCCATAAAAACTTTTTTTTTTGCTTTTTGCAACTCGTAAATTTGGGGGTCGACCTATATTCCGGTTTGACCTAATTCCAGTTTGTACAATAGTTCATACTTTTTGTTCTCTCGGCCCTGTTGAGCGCGCTTCTTTTTGAGCACTGGTGAACTGCAGAGAGGCAACACCTGCACAGCTTCCTTCCACGGGTCGTGCTTCTTTGCAGTGCATCGGTGTGGGTGAGAAGCATACTTGTCGGGGCTCATGCAGGGCACTCGTGTGCTATGAAAATGGGCACCACGTGGAAATTTTTATAACAACTTGCGCGGACACTGTGACGTCACGACATGGTATAGGTCCATGTCACAAGATCCGTGCAAGTTGCTATGAAAACTGCTGCATGGCACCCGTTTTCATTCGTTATGTGTCCCCGCCTAAAGGGGCCCTGCAAGGACTTTTTTGCTGGTTTTTAATTTGCACCAAACCTGAGTGCACTGAATGTAGTAACTTAATGAAACTTTTCTTTTCTCGAATTTCGCTTTTTTTTGATAAGTTATAGGCAAATTAATATTACAAAGACAAGCAAAAAAAATAAGCTCCTTTATGAAGGCATTGGTTGCTTGAGTGGCCGTGAACTAGTGGGGGTCAGTGAGCTCAGCGAGCGGTCACGGCTGCTGCACTCCGTGTCGACGGCTCAAGAGAGCGCCACTAAAGCATGTTCTGGATAGGCTGTGTGAACTGGGCAGCCAGGGCGGCTCACATTGCGTTTGCTGCGCGATTAAAGACTAATTCGGCATGACACTTCATTGGCCACAAACGACAGCAAACACGGGATAAAGATCAGTTCAGAAAGGGAGCCACTTCGCGCTGCCATACTGCCAAAGGGCCAAACCGCAAGCCAAAGCTGCTTGCTGAAGGCCTTCGGAACGCTCGGAACTGGTCGGATCCTCAACTGCAGCGCCGCCGTGTACATCTGGGACCTTCCTACGCTTGCCGCTCATTGGTGCCTGATCCCGTATTCCTTTCTAGTATGCGCAGCCTTTTCCACCGCTTGGTGGGAGGTATGTCGACGGGTCATTTCTTGTGTCCGTACTTTATAAACTGCATTTGTTTCTTATGTAAAATACTGAACGATAACTACTTTTATAAATAATTGAAATTGCTCGTGCCACTTATACAGTTGAACCTCAATTTTACTAAATTCGATTTTATGTTCCCGATTTAACAAAATAATTAGTGGGTCCTGGTGACTTCGTTAAATCGAGGTTCAATTGTATTTTGTATTTCGACGAAGATAAAGCTTTTAGTGGCTCTGACCAGTAGTAAGCCCAGGACCAAAGAGGTCACATACCGCACGCTTTGGGCACCGCGGGTCGCCCCCGTAGGTGGAGGAGGTTTTCGTGTCGTCCAGTTAAAATATGACGCACATATATTTAGTTCCTCTCTCCGTGCCCGCTGGCTTGCCCGAGCCCCAAGAGACGTGGACCGCAAAAAAGGTAGACACTTAAATATGATTGCAGGGCCCCTTTAATAGTCCACATTGGACAACTACTTGGTGTGATGAACAAACTTAATTTTGTTCCGAGTTTTTATGCGCTGTCTAAACAGTCCACGGTAATCATTCTTGAGAGATAAATAAAGTTGTCCTAGATTTCATAAATGTTTCACATAGGCATACCTGCTTATGATCAGTAGGTCTATGTAGAGGAAATCATCAAATATCTGCTTTGTATGTGCAGCCATACATATTAAAAAAATTCAAAAAGGCGATTTTATCTTCCATCAGATTTAGATGAATTTTTGATAATGGAAACTTCCGATAATTGCAACAAAATTTGACCTCGTGGAGTGCGAATTAATGAGAGCCTACAGTATTTCTAAATCAATATACTTTTTAAAAGGTAAAATAGACTTTTTATTAATGTATGGTGACCCAGTTGTCTAGTTTGGCGCAGTACAACTATGGTGCCTGGAACGTGTCACCCACTGCTGTATTTACTGCGTTTTAAATAGTGGGTGGTACGTGACGCTAAACACACTAGTCAAGGACATGTTCCGTGCGCCGTGACCGTTGCTGTTCGATCCATGGAACTCTGAATGCGACAACCACCATTCTCTCTGTCCGCTCCAGATCCTGGAGCTGACGCTGCTCATTGCGGACTACATGAACGCCCTGGGCACGCCGAGCGGAGGGAGCGCAAGCAGCGGCGCTCCGCCGGGCTCGCCGCTGCCAAGCACGCTGGCACGACTGGAGCGCATCCGCGCCCGCATCCGTGCCGGAAACCAGACGTCGTCGAGCGCAAACGCGTCGCCCGCCCTGTCGACGTCGTCTCGGAGGCCCCTCCTGCCGACCCCCGACTCCTGACGGTCGCCATCGACGACGCCCCGCGGAAGGCCGGACTCGTCGCTCAATGCTGCGAGCAACCAGGCGTCGTCGTCGCCCCGAAGTGGAAGGGCCACCTGGAAGTGAACCTTGCAGACACGACGTTGCAGGAACGTTGCCGGTGAATTGCAGGAAGCTTGTAGGATCGTTGCTGTTGCGTCGTGGAACTGTCGCTGGAGCATTCCGGGAAGGTTGCGGAACATTTGTCGGAACATTAGAGGAAGGTTGCTGGAATGTTGTAGGAACATTATGAATGTTGCTGGAACATTGCAGGAACAAAGGGACATTAGAGGAACGTAGCAGGAATCTCGGAAACATTGAAGGAACGTTGTAGATATGCTTCAGGATCGATGTTGCAGTAACATTGTAGAAGCGTTACAAGAATGATGCTGCATGAATGTTGTAGGAACGTAGGAGGACAGCCCAAAGTAAAGAAAGGTGTCTAGAGGTGCATTATTGTGCCCTTGCTACTTGACGTCGGCATTGTCAGCTGGCCATGAAGAGAGTTCTATTGGAGTCTTTGGGTATGCACTCGCAATCACATTCGGCCGAAGTGTGCCCTAAGGTGCAGAACTCGCGGATGGTTGCTGTGTTCTATTGCTACACCTTTTCCTTTCCATTCCCATGAACATTGCACTGGTGTGCGCTCGTGTAGTTGGGCTTATTAGAAAGTAAAGTACACTTTCTAATCAAACACGAAAATGAAGAAATGCTTGCGTTGCATATGTTCGTCTATAGGTATGACCTTCATTAATTTTTTTCACATAGTTGCATAAAAGCATTGGAATATTTGATTGGAATGTATGATTAACTTTGCGATGCCCATGCAGAAAAAACGCCCTCCAGTTTTATTCAACCAGTCCAGAACAGCAATTTTGACATCAAATTGCTGAATAAATATTAGAGTTAGATGTGACAAGATCCACCTTACAGCCTCGCACTTAACCCCAGGCAACTAACATTTGCTTTGTAAAATGAAACGAGAGCTTAGTGGACGACAACTCCAAACTGCTGAGGCCATGAAAATCGAATACAATCACAAGGCGGTTGCACAAACCTTGAAAAGTTAATCGAACCCACCGATAAGCGTTTATGGTCTTGAGACGCCTGTCTTCAAACTAATCGAGGTATAGCTCTTTGTATTTGCGTTTTAATCAAATGCATAACTTAGTTTACTTTATATTCCCTCACACTACCGCGTGATGCGCATTAAGGACTCTAATCTGCTTTTGCGGTACCCGTCTGCTTACGGTTGCACGAGACGCCACCAACTTGCTGCTCTCTAAACATTCGTGCAGCAAGGCCGCCAAGGAAACTAATCGGCAGCATTGATTGGGGAGCGACCATATGTGGGACAAAAGTAAGAGAACGTGGTATTTTATTGTTCTTTCTTTACTGAAAATCAAAAGTGTAAAGCAAAACACCATGCATGCACACATGAAAAGAAAAAACCAATGCCGGTCTCTTTCTCATAGGCACGTTACGAAACGTGATATGCGAGCCCGGAGGCTGCGGCACTCCTTGCATACGTGGACTTTTCTGACGCAAGGCATCCGATTAGTTTTAACTAAAGTTCTGTGACAAGCACTTTGTGCTTAATAGAAGTACCATCATCCTTTGAAGCTCCGACTGCGTGACGGCACAAGTTTCGTGAAGCGAACGGCTGCGCGCAGCAGCAGGATGAATCGAAAGATGCCATCTCGTTCTCGCGGAATCTGCTTTCTCCTGAAAACTGGTCGTCATCGCTCATAAAGGGAAGTATCGAAGGCCTAGCACTGCACAAAGGAGAACAGTCGTGCGCTCCGGCCAGGTGCGATTGCGACGGCATACCGGGACTGGCGCTTAGAAACGGCAGCCGGAATATTGTTTGATGACAGTCTTTCACATTCTGCAGCCTCTTACTGTCGTGAGAAGCGTTCATTTTTTTTCTTTGTTGGTTTCGCAGGTCGAAGCTAGGAGGGGTGGCAGGAGGAAGGGGAGTTTTTCAATGAACGGATCTTGCTAAATCCGAGGGCGTAACCGCTCGCCCCTTAAAGACTTAAACTGGTTTTATAACATCATAGCATTTCGCTAGTTTTTGGGAAGGAACACCGGAGGCGGAAAAAAAGATTGATGACTCCTCTGGGCTACTTACCACACATGTTTGATCTTTTGGCACTGTTATGACACTGTTATGGTCCTATAGTCAGTCGCAGGTTAAGAGAAGGGCGCATTCACCTGTGTGCTCACCCGCTCTCTAATGTTCGCTCTGCTAAAGTGGAAAGAGTGGAGGCCTCTGTGGGGCGGGGGGGGGGGAGGGAGGGAGGGAGGGGCTTGTCCCAGTATTCTTAACCTGCACCTGGACTATAGCTGATGTATTTCAGAACGTTACCCCGAAAAGTGATTGAGCAAAGATTTAGCTTTTTTTTTTTAAATTGAAGGTGCACCAAGTTGGATTTCAAGATCGTCTTTTTATGGTATAGACTGAATTATGCGCCATAAGCCTCCTCTAAAACCTCAAATTAGTCGCACATGGCCTTTCTTGCCCTTGAAAATGCGACCAAATGACGAGACGCGACCCTTTTTCGGGTTTCTCCGGAAAAGGGTATCTGTCACACTGTTTGGTCTCGTGTTTAAGGGTGAAAAAGGCTGCGCACAATTGTAATTTCGGGTTTCGTAGGATGCTTAGGGTGCGTCGGTTTAGTTTATGCCACGTCACTTTAAGGTTTAGCACATGGCCTCTCTTGCCCTTAAAATTGCGACCAAATGACAAGACGTGACCCTTTTTCCGATTTCTCCAAAAAAGGGTAGTTTCACGCTTTTTCGCCCATATTTAAGGGTGAAAAAGGCTGCGCACAATTGTAATTTCGGGTTTCGTAGGATGCTTAGGGTGTGGCGGTTGAGTTTGTGCCACGAAAAGACAATCTTGAAATCCAGCTAAGCATCCCTTAAGTTTCTTGCTGCATAAATGCTGAAAAGCGAAAATTCGCTAGCCCTTATCGGTCTCATAATTAGCTTTATTAAGAAATTTATTTTTGTTGGCTACTTTTGGAAGTCAAGCTGTCCATCCAGCTGTTTCCTTGCAATTTATTCTCCAAGAAAAGAAGCGACGGGAAAATGTGTAATTTCATTGCAGTTGCAGTTTAGTTTCCCGCACGAGTGTTCCTCTGAAGCTACTGAACGGTGAATGGGAGGGTTTTAGGCTTCTTGCTTTAGACTGCCATGCAGCTCATAAGTTCAGACCATAGGCCTTCGTCGCAGCATCAATCGCAGTCCATCGAGTCGGAGGAGTGTGAATGTGGATTGCGCGGTTGAGTTCAGCCGAGACGATTCCTGCTGCTCTTTCTTGGGCAGTCTTCTAGTGCTGACATTTCACTGTGATACCGTGTGCAGTGACGCTGGGGTAAGTGACAGCAAAGTGAAGTGTGAGTGCATTATGAAAGACACTGCTTACTACAGGTGTGTGTGGAATGCTAGTATGGAATGTTTGCTTTGAGAAATTCACTTCATTCGGGCATTGATTGTGGAACAAACAAGTTTTTGAGGTGTTTCGTCGATTGTGCGTACTGTTGATCGCACAAAGTGTGGCATTACCGATGGGCCTCTTTGAAAGCACCGCATTCTGTCGAAAGATCATGAAATAGAGTGCAATTCACTTAGAACGATAAGGAGAAAACCCAAAAATCTTTATAACTGGTCATTGTTGTATCTGAACTAGAAAATGAGCATTTCTGGTCTAGAAACTCTAGGAACTGATCGTTGTAAGCGGTACATTGTTATATATGACACTGTATGTGGATTGCACTGTGTTGCTCGGTGGTGGACTCGAGGCACAGTACCAAGCTTGCATGGGCACAAGTGCTAACGTTTACGTCATGTTTACCTCGAGAAAGGTTATTTAGACTCGGACGTCTCGTATCGCTGGCTGCTCCGCAATGGTGCATAATTTTCGGACCGCGGATGGAAGGATGAGTCTTTTGGAAAAAGTTTGCATCTTTCTACGAAAGTGCAAGGCATGCAATGAAACTCAATCTTCGTGTTCATCTTGTTTTATAGCGAGCGTATGGCAACACCTCAGGACGAACATTAAATTGCAGTGCGGGCATTATACTTTCTCGGGGGCATATTGGGCATATGGATATAAGCTGGGAGCTTAAGTGTAGATGGTGATTTTATTTGCTTTTGGAACAGGACTGCATGGTAAATATTAGTGTTATGCGGATATTAGAATAGTAGCTTTGAATAATGCGCTGTTCAATATTTGCTTGAAAATGAACTGCGATATTCATACTTTTCGAATCGTTGATCGCGGCAAGCTAGCCCTGTTGAGGGCACTTCATACTGAGCACCTCTGCACTGCAGAGAAGGAACACCCCCAGAGCTTGCAGGTATTGCTTCCTGCAGTGAACAGTTGCTCGGTGAGAAGTGCGAAGAATATAAGTTAGGCAGCAATGTCTTGGCAACCCACGCTCATCATTCAAAAGTTTGTTGTTGTTGTTGTTATTTTTGTCCAATTTGAAATTTAAAAAAATATTTGCATATAGCGAGCAGATTTATAAACCCCCTCGATTAGGATAGCTGGAACAATTTTGTTGTTTAGATTCCAAAGTTCATGAATAATGCTATACTACAATTAAAGGGAAGCTGAAACACTTCTTTGAAAAAAGGAGATATAAATTTTGATTCTAGCATAGTTTTATCCCATGAATCTGAATATCATGTTCATTTTTCCCAAAGATGTCACTAAACACGAGAGAACACGAAAATCCTCTGACCAGTTCTTACGTCACAAGAGGATGTTTTGCCGCCAAGCGCATGTCACTCGATGGCCACGCGTGCAATTGCAAGCTTGTCAGGTATATTCCCTTACACTGGCACCAGTTGCGACATCTTTTTAGGCCCTTTTTAAAAATAGCAAGAGTGCGTGTGCACGGCTTTGATAGGCGCTGAGGGTGCATGAGAGCGAAGATTCCAAAAACTCCTTTTGTGACTTCACGCTCCGGAAACTTCAACGATACTTTGAAAATGGTTTTCTGCAGCCTTTATGCACCAAATTTAAAAAAGAAAAAAAAAGAATCTCTATATTTTGGATTTTGGAGGTCGAAGGAAAACAATTTAGGTGTGTTTTCTGAAATACAAAACCGCTTCAGCTTCCCTTTGACCGAACTTAGAAGTGGACAAGTGAAAGGTTGGGAACAACCTTCATGAGTTCAACTGAATTTTCATTTAAGCATACACATGATAGTGAAAGGCTCCAAGAAACTATTCAATATTTGATTAGAAAATATTTTACCAAAACCACGATTCGCCTTGGAACTCAGAATCCACTAGTAGCACTTGACGTGTGAATCTTCATCAATGCCTTATACTTATGTACTACACTTTGCCTTCCACTACACGGTTCTGCATTCCCATCGAATATATGGATGGGATTTGAAGTCTCTCCGATGACTTATTAATTTGGCTTGTGAACTGGCTCCGGCAATTTTGCGAATTTCCCCCGAAGGGATTCTGGAGGCTTATTCTCACGGCGCTAACATGCGGCTCGAGATACGGGAAATGTGCACACGGTGCATTTTCCTGAATTTGCAGCCTGCACCAAGTTTGGTCGACAGCAGTGCCTCTCTCTCTCTCTCTCTCTCGGAATATCAGCCCAAGGTTTGCTTTTCAGACTCAGGTGGTTCACCCAATCTTTTGCACAGCACATTCTGAGAAGTATCTCTCGAAAGGGTTTATCAATAGAAAAACAAAAATAGAAAAAAAAAAAAAACACCAATTTAGGCAAATTCTTGGAACTGTTTTTCGGTCTCTTTTCGAGCCGTTGTCAAGGAACGATCGACTGACAGATTAACGACGTCTTTACTAGGTTTTATGGTATATGGCCTCACGCATGAGACGGCAGAAGAGTTGTCACGCAGTTTGGAAAATACCGGCAAACTCTGAAAATATAGCCTGAGCTGGTTTTATTACAATCGGGAGGACCGAAATGCCCCGAATGGGAGCTGTCTTTGAATGAGGGAAACCCAAGCTCGACGGAAAGGAAATTTTTGATCTCCAGCTTTATTTTGCATTCACCCAGAACACATCCCCACCAAATTGTAAGCTACACTCCTGCTTTCTTCAGAACCTCACCCCTTATTTCGTTTCCTTTTCCAATCGATCCTTAAGTCTTCTTGCAGGTGTCCGAGTCTTGCGCGTTTTCCCTGGAGGTTGGGCTGTCCCCGTGTGCTATTGGCTTCGACATTAGCCTCGATAAAAGCCATTTATTTGTCCGCCACTGAAAGTCGACACCAAAAAACACTAAATCTGTGGAGAAAAAAAAAATACTCCCAGAAAAAACACCCCCGAATTTGAAGAAAATTGAACCCCGATAGCAAGAGCTCTACACATCGTTTCACTTTTAGTCCATGCGCAGTCGATGCTACGTGCCGGTGGGACCAATCGGACGGTGTCAAGGGGGCACCGTCATGGTGTTCGCTGTGTTTCTGTATGTGTTCCATCATCACTAGACCAATCATGTACAGGCAAGGCTTTGTGACGCGTGCTTTCGATGCCGTCGGATTAGTTCCATTAGCTTATATAAAGTCGGTTGCATCTGGGCTTAAACCGAAACCAAGTATGGTTATAAGCTATTGTAAAAGACAACCTTGGGAACATTTGCGTCGAGACGGGCGTCTCCTTTTCTACGAGCGTACTATTTTGAATGCGTTTTGGAGGAAGTTTAGCCAAATGACCTACTGAAGTGGTTTTGTCTCGAAGAGAAATCGCTCCGTGGCAGTTTGTCTGGCCTTGGTGCATTTGTACGTCGCCGTTTAATGCGTGGATTTGCCGCCGAGGCTCAGAAACGTGCTCCACAATTCAGTCGTGAAAGACGGAGATTTCTCAACTAACTCTTGCGAAGGACCTTCCTTGTGTCACACATTTCTAAGTTGCCAAACTTGCTGTGGAAAGTTCTGGTGCTCCTTTCGTTAGATTGCCTTTGTTCAGAAATGAATTGGGGAACTCGCTGTGATAGGTGCTCTGCCTGGGTTCATAGCGTTTGATTTCCCAGTAACGTCCAATTCGCTTCTTCGAGTTGCGCAGCTGCATTTTCCTTATACATATTTTGTGGTTGCTAATTTTCTCTACACGACTGCCATACGATAGTGACCAGGGGTGGACAAATAAACGAGCACGTAAAGAACTGCGGTAGAAACTGGTAACTATTTGTAACAGTAAACGGTAACGATGTAGGCATGGGCCACCAATGTTGGGAATGGGTGCAGTACGAGTGAAATACACTGTAGGAATGTTTCGGACACTCTTAAGTAAAATTAATCTGGATGTTGCTAATAATACATGTCTGAATTTCAAGAAAAAAATTGCAAAGTAATTGTTTAATGATATTTTATTGTTTCTGCTCCACTTAGTGTTTTATAATGTTGTTCAAGAAGTGAGCCATATTTTTGCTCGAGATATCCTGCTTATAGAGACCAATTATATTTTTTACAAATGTCTTCTTAACTTTATTTCTCCAGTATATCCATTGAAAAGATTATTGATTGTGCATTCTTTACTTTTTTTTTTTGTATCTTTTCAAGGCTCTCAGTTTTATGTCACATTGTAGAATGCACATTTTGTCGGTAGGAGCTTGCTCACCCAATCCTGGCAATAGGCCGGCTGTCTTTCTTCTAAGTGCGTTTTATCCAGTCATGGTTGCATGAGGTAAGATGTTGATCGGAACTATTGTGGTCACAAAAACTTAATGCTTCTGCACATTTGATAAAAATTTTGCAGACCATGTTGAGAGCCACAGGTTATACTCTAACATTGCAGCCTGCGTTTTCTAGCTTTAAAGAGAAAACACCATTTTTAAGTCTGAGATTCCATGCATGTTCACATGACGGCCAAAGATAGTCTCGAATGTCCGAAGCCCCACTCTAGCTGCCCAATGTTGTTTTTCTGATTCTCTAACAGATTTGACCCTGTACATACGTGAATTGTAAATGGAGATGTAACAAACTTTTAAGCCCTCTTCAACAAGGACTGCATTTATACTCTAAGTCATCTCATTATAAGTGAGGCCCATGATGTCACATGTGTCACATTGTCTTTTCATGTGCTCAATCATGTGTACCCTATGTCGGAGCTCCCTGTGCCATATTTTATAAGAGGGTTTCTAATCCGCGTGTAGCTAGAATTTGGAGTGCAGATTAGTAACCAGTGGAGAGGTGGATTGTGCTTGGCTGGACTGTGCTAGTGTGTGTGTGTGCTTTGGATAGAATGCCTGTAGTGCTTTTCACTACGTCACCTGGACTTTCTGGAAGTGCATGTTTGCAAGTATTTTGCGTGTGAGCCTCTGTTTGTACATTGTTCCAAACATGTCTGGAGGTGAGTGGACCTGGAGAGATTAACATAGTCATTTTTTCCTAACAATAGCTTGTACATCCAAATGGAAATAAACTATTTATTTGTCACTGCATCCTCATCACTAGGCCTTTTTTAATGCGTCAGGGAAAAGCTGACGGCTGCCGACTGCACAAAAAAAAAAACAGCGGAAAGGGAAGCCCGCCGCGTAGAAACGAGGAGAGTAGTGAAGGATAAAGGCGAGAGGGAGGCCTTGTCACAAGGCAGAAGCCAATGCACGCACGGTTGCTGGGGCGATGCACAATACATGAAACCAGTGGCTGATTTAGGGAGGGGTGGAGGGATGTCTTGACCCGTTTTGATTTCAGCATGTGTATATAGGGCAAGGAAAAAAAAAGGGGGGGGGGGGAGTGCATTTTCTGAAATAACATATCAGTGTTGTGCACATTCCTTCAAAACAGGAATGAAAGACTTGTTCCTTATCAATCTTGGAATGAGTTTCTGTTACAAGTTCCAGTGGTTCAAAAGGAATGCATTATGGTTGCATTTCTAAGGTTGGAACGTTTAGTTACATTATTGTTACATTTGCATATTTTAACGAAGTATTGGGCCACTCAGTCCATAGATAAAGTGAGCAAGTGAAAAATTCACATTGTACTACATGTCGAGCTGCCACACACGTTTGTGCCACTTTTTTTTTGTTTTCGACTATATTTCAAAAATTTTGTTTAGAAATGAGTCAAGCCTGATGGAAATAACCGTAGATGAAAATCGCACATTTTTTTATATTTAAAGGGCCCATGCAACAAATACTCCAGAAGCCGGGCAAAGACATGATAAATGTAAATACAAAAACGGCTTGACATATTTTAATTTTAATTAAATTGTTATTTTTGTTATGTCAAGCCGTTTTTGTTATTACATTTATCATAAAGGGCCCATGAAACGAATTTTGGGTTGGGGTAAATCATTTTTGGATTGGGATTTTACTAATAGCACATCGTTCAGTGGGCCAAAAGAAGAAGGGTAGAAAGTTGAAAATCTGACTTTCAGTGCGAAAATCTGAAAACACAGCGGACTATTTCGTACCTCCTCCCCTTCGTAAGCTCTCTGCCTTTTCACTGAGATACATCCGCGGTCCCCAAAGCGCGTCACCAGATCCAAACGCACGTCACACAAAACCGGGCCTCACTTATTCCCTTCACCCCTAAGCTGACATTGTGGTGGAAGCTACGTGCTTGCCAGACGCCTCCCTTTCATCAATTGACCGCATATTCTGCGCGTGGGTATGCGCAAGAGAGCATGATCACGTGACAAAAATGTGGCTGGCCCAACGAGCACTTTAGCTTCCACAGCACTGTCAGCTTTGGGGTGAACGGGTTGGGGAAAGCAACTTTTTTTCTGAATTTTGAGCGACGGGCTAATCTTCTAGGGGGAGAATGGCTGTGTCCTGGTACACAAACCAGATTCCGAGCAAGAGGGGCCTCTCCTCTTTTCGTCTTTTTGAACTGTTTGGTGGAATGCATGATTTATGAGTTGAGGGAAGCTAAACAGGAAAAAGTTGGAAAAGCGTTTCATGACACCTTTAAGGACTGGTTATATTTTTTTTTGTTCCAAACGGTACACTCGAGCAAGCTCTCAAAGGGAAGCAAACGGAAAGCGCAATGCGTCAATAAATATCAAACGCAAAAAAAAAAAGATTTGCAGCTATTGTGATGTAGCAAGGCTGGCGTAGTTATGAGCTTTGGAGTTGTGGTGGCGTCAACGCGTTGCAACCGAGCCGTTCCAAGTACCCGTGGGGTGACGAGCGCCGTGCGCGTCGTGTTCGTGTGGTCCATTCCCGTCGCTCAAAACTCGGACAAAAATTGCTTCCCCCACCCCGTTTACCCCTTAGCTGACAGTGCGGTGGAAGCCATGGGCTTGTCGGACCAATCAGCCGCGGTCAGATGATGAAAGAGAGTTTCATCACTTGACCGCATACTCTGCGCATGGGTATGCGCGAGGGAGTATGATCACGTGGCAAAAGTGTCATTTGCCCAAGGAGCACGTACTTCCATAGCACTGTCAGCTTAGGGGTGAACGGGTTGGGGAAAGCACCTTTTGTTTGAGTTTTGAGCGACGGGCTAATCTCTAGGGGGAGAAGGGCTGTGTCTGGGTACACAAACGAGGCTCCGAGCCTCCTTTCCGTCTTCTTGAACCGTTAGATGCAATGCGCGACTTGTGAGTTGAGGAGGAAAGCTAAGCAGGAAAAAGTTTAAAAATCGTTTCATGACCGCTTTGAACAGTTGAGCGCACTTCCAACGAGCGGCGCTGCTCAGAGTTTAGTGCGGCTGCGTAACGGGTCTTTCTACGTCATGACTACGTAGAAAGGTCCCCAACGTTGTTAGATTTCCTCCCAAATAGGCTTCACAGGCGTCCACCAGAGGCACATTGAAAGATTGTTGAATTAGCTTTAAATTTAGTTTTCTTGTACCTTTCAACGAAAGACTGGTGTTTTTGAGGTTATGCTGCAACATGCAACAGATTAAAGCTAAAAAATAAGCGCTGGAATTTTGTTTCCATAACCCTTTCAAATCGATCGAATAATCGATAATTCAGGTAAATTTGAAAATAAAAAAGTACCCGTTTTTTTTTGCTGTTTCCTTGAAAACGTGACGAGTTCCCGTTACAGTCCCACCGATGCTAGGTGGAACGGCGACATTTCTCCTTTCCTCCTAAAAAAAAACCCGTTCCAGGAACGTCGTTCCTTGGAACGCCACTCCGTATAACACTTGCACATATGCGCCGACAAAGGTCGTTGTTCACTAAAACAAAAAAAAACCAGCTTGTAGATAATTTTGCTGTAGTGGTACCGCAAGCTACCATGTGCAGGGCAATGCAGGTAGAAAGTGAGGGAGAGGAGACGAGAGGGGACGTCAGAATGCCGAGCTCTGGTTGGAATGATTATTGGGTAGACTTTAGCTAGCTGCATCTATCTCCGCTGCACTCGTCGTGCGCGTTCGAATGCTCAAGCCAAACGGCGGACGCTGGCGTGCCGCGTTGCTACGCGTTGGACGAGTGCAGTGGAGACGAAGACAGCCAGCTTGCGCCGGACGTGCTGTCCGAAAAAGCGCGAAAAAGAGTCCCGGAGAAAGTCTGGGTGCTCTGTTTCTAGTTGATGAGTTACATTGATCTGCAGTTGTTGATGGACGAAACGAAAGGCACATTGGTGTTAGTGAGTTCTTAAAATCCAAATTGAATGCATACTTCCAAAAATGTGGGGATAATGGTTGATTCTAGCAGATTAAAGTACATGAAACTCAATCCGGTTTTTCGGCCTGCATAAGTAAAGCATTGCACAAAGCTGAAACTGCGTGAGAAATGCGCGCTAGTGGTGGTGCAAAATTGAACACCAGCAATTCAGCGGAAAAGGCGAGCACAAGAGAGACGGTGCATGTGTCTTACTTAAACTCGTCTTTCGCACTGAATTTGCTGTCATGAATTACCAACTAAACCCTAGCTAGCATATTACGTTACCTGGATCAAAAGGGACAAAAGAAAAACCGCAGCCGCCGACGCGCTCCCCCATCCCTTACCCCTATCATATGGCCAATAAACGCTTTCTGAACTGATCCACCTAAGCCTATAGTTCTTTGCAACTCAAGAAGGTAGGCCGAGGGAAAGGAAGGCCGGGGAGGAGGAAGCAGACAAAACGCTAAAGAGAGTAAAATGTTTCCCCTCTCCACTCCAGCGTTCCGTCTGCTTCCTCCTCTCCAGCCGTCCTTTCCCTCGCCTTCCCTTCTTGAGCTGTAACTGTAAACGACTACATTTTCGCGAGGACCTAATTTTCGATAATTTTGCGAATTGCCTACAATTTCCGAAAAATACGCCCCGCGAACAATTCGGGCTTAAGAGGGCATAGTACTTCCAAGCGCCATAGAGAATACATGTAGATTTTTGACGTTTTCAAAACATTCCTACATGAGAACCGCCCTTCGTATTTGCTTTAAAATTTTACGATAAAGAGATTACTACTTAGTTGTTTCATTGGCGCAGATCATATTTCTCAGTATTTAGCACAAATATATATTTTTAAATCGTGAAATCGACTCAAAACGGCAGTTTTGACACTTTTGGGTTTAATGACGTTTTACATAATCTACCAATTTTAAGAAAACAGTTGTGTTCGCGCAAGTGCCTCTAAAATTTAATACGGAATCGATTGGTATCAAAATAATTAGTGTAGGTTAATCCGTTTCGGAACTACAGCGATATTTCCGAAAACGAGTTTTTTCTTTCGGAAAAGAAAAAAATTTTCGTGTGTTTTGCATTTTGTTTTTCTCCCGCTAGATGGCGGTCTCTGTCCGTAGTTTGAGTTCGGTGCACACATTTTTTTTTGTATTCATACGCGATCTTCTTTCGTTCGAGCGACAGCGAACGCGGTTCAGTTCAACGCTGCGGCGCTTGGCGTTTGGTGCGTTCGAATATTTGCCGTTCGGAAGTGTTGCGTTCGCCTCTGGCGTCATGGGTCGAAAGCAGGCTTCCTACGGCAAGCGAAAGCTAAAGAAGTGTCTGATTGAGAATACTCGTAAGCGACAGTGTGTGGAAGCTTCGCACGTCGAGGTTCCTGGTGAGATCGAGCCATCGTGTTCCAGCCCGGATGGTTTTGTTAGCGAGAGGAGCGAAGGTGGTCCTCAAGCCGCGACCGTGTGAGGCTCGCCGTAAGGTGTTCTTCTGCGGCCGTTTTCCGCGCCCGTATCCTGTTTCATTGTGCACGCAGCCGTATACCGCGCCCTCTTAACGTGAACGCTACGGAGGCTACACTGGATTTGCAAAATTAGAACCCGCGAATAATTTCAAATTTTCAGCTTTGGCCCGATTCGCGAAAATTTGAGTCGTTTACAGTATTCATCAAACCGAACTTTGAGATTGGAAAACCTTTTACAAAGAAAGCAAACAATATCGTCTTTTATAAGTAACAAGTTTTTAATTGTCATAAATGCTACATGAGTCCACAATCCCAAATTTCAATTTGATGAAGAAAAACAAAATTTCTCTACGAGCAGACGTTCACCTGAGCCTAGTATATACTAGGCTCAGGTGAACGTCTGCTCGTAGAGAAATTTTGTTTTTCTT